TCACCGGGGGGTGCACCCCTTCCATCACAAGACCTCTCCGAATTTTGAACCTTGCTATTCCTTAAAGGCGGGTTGCCTCGCCACAGTTCAAGCAGTTCGTGATGCTACCCTGATTGGGGGTGATGTGACTGGGGGTTTAGAAAATGCGTGTTCGTATGTCAGCCGAACCAAGAGAAAAAAAATACATGTTCGAGGGGATGTTCCGTTGCCTCAAAACGGATATTTACAGTGGGATAACCCTCTTTGCTTTACAACAGAGGGAGGTGTGCATTGATATCGTATCCCGAATTCTCCATCTCTCGATGAGCTGCTCAATATCCGATCCCTGAGGGAAGAACCATTCGGAAATAGGCAGGCTTACTCACATAGAATGGAGTTTACCAGGTTAGAAAGAGCCTCGTGACACACACAACCTCTCTTGACGGGAGAGAGGTTTTGAAAGCTGACGCCATTACCACCCAATTTTCTCCTCCTCGTGCTCTCTTTTTTCGTCTACCAGTGTATCGGTACGAGAACAAGGTAGGAGTGCCAATAGCAAAAAAAAAAAAAAAAAAAAAAAAAAAAAAAAAAAAAAAAAACCCCCTTGCGGTTTCAGACTTGCCGAGCAGGGTTTACCAATTGGTAGTAGCTTGGTGACTGTATATCAACGGATAAAATCCGTTGACAAGAGGGTCACGAGAAAGAAAATAAGATGGTTTCTCCTAAGATCCTACCACGGGCGTCAGTGTGGGATGAACTAAACAAGAAGAAAGGAGCTGCTGGTGGACCTTGATGGGTAGCATCTGGGTAGATGGGCAAGTTCAATGTTGTACTCACAGCATGGTACTGGCCTACCTTATACAGTTGGTATAAGTAGGTACATCCCTACTGAAGGCATACAAGTGGCGGCGAGCCTGTAGAGACGGGTTCTCGTCCTGGGTCAAAACTCTGAAAGGGCGCGCTGCGATGAGTGTAGACCATGTGTCCGTAACCCCGTGACTCTCTGGCCATTACAGGGAGCTGGTCTCTCTCTCTTTTATTTTCATGATTCTACAATGGTACGGCCAAGTGAGGTGGGCGGTTGACGTGATCGTTTCCAGATGCTTATCGGCGAGCAAGTGGCCTGATAAGGACGGATAACCTAACTCAAAGGGGCATCCTGCTCGTGGCTGCGTTCGTTGCGTTCGGCGTAAGAGCCCGGCGAGGAGCTGGAACCTTGCAGCGAATTAGACACCCATTGCTGCATGCACGTTCATTGCGTGGTTCGCCAGCGTCACAGCCTGCAATGGACATGCACAGCACAGCACACAGCCACAAAGGAGAGCTTGGTATATCGTGATATCGTGGAGAGACGTATGGAGAGACGAGCAAAAAGGGGCGAGAGTGGATTGCACATGCTAGCAGCAGTAGCTGGTGCTCTTAGCGAGCACGTCTCAGCCAGCAACTAACTGCGCAGCGCACTGAGGGGTTCATGCGGAGCTGCTCTTTTGATTCGAGGTGAGCTGGTCGCGTCTGTGGCGCCAGCTGCGCTGTGAACACAGCGGCTGCTGTTCCTCGGCAGCCCGCGCCACGCAAACCGCTGCGCCGCCGCTGCCCCTCACCGCCCCTCCGCTAGGCCAGCCAGCTCAAACAACGGGCTTTTTCCCCTCCCTCGAGACGAAAAAAAGAGCTGCGATACGGAAGCCAGATTGTGAGAGCAGATCCCAATTGGAAGCGGCGCCGGTTCGAGTGGAGGAGATAGAGCAACATCCCCACCGCTGCTGGCCCTTTTTTCTGCCCTTTTGCTCCACCGCTCTTGGGGCCAACCGAGCATCTGGCCAGAAGTCCTTTCTGCTTCTGCCTCTGCTTTGCAACTCTGTCACCAACACAACCCCTTCTTGACCGTTTTTCATCGCCAATTGGTTTTGGCAGCAAACGTCGTCAAGATGTCCAAGCCCACGAGTGTGACGGGCAGTGAGAGCGAGTTCGAGTTCATTGAGACTCCCAAGCCCACTGCCCCTACCTTTGAGAAGGACGAGGACTGCGGTGTCCGCACCACCAAGGTACGTTTTGGCTGCATTACGTGTTCTGCTCTGCTCTGCGATTGGTGAAGCTCTCACCTAAGGTGTATGTAGAGGAAGACAAGGATTGCTTGCTGCTGCTGCTGCTGCTGCATTCTGCGCTCTTCACTCTGTATACAATTCATCTGGAGCCTCTCCCATCGCCGCAGACTACTACCCTGTTTTGGAGATCAAGAACCAGTGAGCTGATTGATTGTCCGTACATCCAGTACCCCTCCATCAAGAATGCTCCCCTCCCAGCTGATGGACCAGGCTCCGACTCTTTCAACAATAAGATCCTGTTCTCCATCCTGTTTGGCGTTCCCTTCTGGCTGAAGTGGAAGGTTGGCGGTGGCCTCAAGACCTTCATCTTCTTTGCCATCCTCTTTGATCTTCCCATCCTGGCCGGCTGGTGGCTTGTTGTCTCCGCCATCTCCCCCCGCAAAACCACAAAGGCCAAGTACCCCGGCCGTCCCGTTGAGTACTACCTCGAGTTCAAGAAGGAGGCCGACCGTCTCAAGTACCATGGCACCAACAAGATCCCCATGGAGACCTTCCACGAGATGTACTTTGACGGTGACGTCGACTTCAAGGGCGACTGCCTCGAGGTCCTCGAGTACCGTCACGACTGGGCTAGCTTCCGCTTCACCATCAGCTTGATCAAGTACTTCTTGCTGGGCATGATTCCCGAGCTCATCATGCACACTCGTTCCCAGGGTAAGACTCACTCGTACACAAATGACAAAGACAAACAAATGGTATACATGTGCTAACATGTCTTTCCCCGCCACACAGATGAGGAGCAGGTTCGAGACCACTATGACCGTGGTGATGACTTCTACGGCTGGTTCCTCGGCCCTCGCATGATCTACACCTCTGGTATCATCTCTGACATCAACTCTGAGGAGACCCTCGAGCAGCTCCAGGACAACAAGTTGACCGTTGTCTGCGAGAAGATTGAGCTCAAGAAGGATGAGAGACTGCTGGATATTGGCTGTGGCTGGGGCACCCTCGCCCGATTCGCCAGCGAAAACTATGGCGCCAAGGTTACCGGTATTACTCTTGGTCGCAACCAGACTGCCTGGGGCAACAGCGCCATGCGCAAGGTTGGCGTTCCCGAGGAGCAAAGCAAGATTCTCTGTATGGATTACCGTGATATTCCCGTCCCCGAGGGCCGCTACAACAAGATCACCTGTCTTGAGATGGCTGAGCACGTCGGTGTCCGCCACTTTGGAAGCTTCATTACCCAGGTCTACAACATGCTTGATGACGATGGTGTCTTCTTCCTGCAGATTGCTGGTCTCCGAAAGGCATGGCAGTACGAGGATCTTATCTGGGGTCTGTTCATGAACAAGTACATCTTCCCTGGTGCTGATGCTTCCACTCCTCTTGGCTGGGTCATTGACAAGCTGGAGGGTGCTGGCTTTGAGGTCAAGAACGTTGATACCATTGGTGTTCACTACTCTTCTACCCTCTGGAAATGGTACCGCAACTGGATGGGCAACCGTGACAAGGTTGAGGCCAAGTATGGCAAGCGATGGTTCCGCGTAAGTCTTGACTATCAATTACAACAAAGATTTTGCTGATACTAATGCCGGTGACAGATTTGGGAGTACTTCTTGGCCTACTCTACCATCATCTCTCGACAGGGCTCTGCCACCTGCTTCCAGATTGTGCTGGTGAAGAACATCAACTCTACTCACCGAGTTGAGGGCATACCCAGCCAGTTCGCCCTGTCTGGAGCTTACGACAACTCTGAGGCTGACATCAAGTCGTGGGGCGCTAAGAACAACGTCATCTCCTCCACCGCCTTCACCTCCTAGATGGATGGAGAAATGGTGATGATTGTCTCTCTATAGACCGAACCTTCAAACAGCTGGTTTTCTCTTTTGGACAGATGCATTGAAATTTTTGTCATTGGGTGACGGTAATGGTGTCTTGGAGCCATTTCCCTTTTCATTTAGAGCTAGAGAATATCTGCTGGTTCGTATGAGACTGGTTCAGGTTGGGCGAGCAGTTGTTCTAATGACAGTCACGACATGACCTCTTTGATTATGAATGGCTATGGGACAAAACGGATAAAATAATGGTATGTCTAGGCTATTCAAGGGTATTGAAAAAGAAAATTGCAAACTTTTAGATTTCGCCGTATGGTGTTTATGAGTTCTGCAGGGATGGATATGAATAGAATGATTCTGATACGAAAAAGAAAAAGAAAAAAATGTTGCCTAGCTTGTTAGACGTTAGTCAGCTTTTGCATTTGAACGAATTGCCGCTTTAAGTGACGTGTATGCATCATCATACATGGCAAGTGTATGTGAACAAATGTGGTTCTGTGTACGACGAGCAAGTTGCTGGCTGAGTTGGGATACGTCTTGCGCGGGCTGATTCACATGACGTCTCGGAGCTTGGAGACGCGCCCGTCGCTCACGTCCATTGTCAGATTCTTGATTGACTCCTTGCCTGGCATGCACGGCGCAATGGTTTCCCTTTTCCGTCAATGAAATGATCACAAATCTCCATTTGCTTACGAGGGGGTCGTGCCGAGGTGAGATGAGATGAGATGGGATATGTAAGATAAGGATGGATGGGATGGATGCTCCGGGCGGTGCCGCTCGTAGCCGCCCATGATGCAAGGCTAGTTTAAGCCGAGGCGCTTTAGTATCGATAAGATATCTAATGAGTACTAGGTATAGCTTCACTCAACTTGACTCTGTATCTGCGCCAAATTAGACCCAGCAGTTTCTATTTTCATAAACATATTATATATATGTATAGATCAATTCATACAGATACACATTGACAATGCAGCCGAGATGTTGGAGGGTGGCAGGACCACTCCTCCGCCGCCAATGGCGCTCCAAGTCACCAATTGCTTCCTCCAAAACGACCATCTCATCATCACAGCCATCAGCATCACCATCATCATCATCACCGCGCCCATTCTCCACATCCAAATACGTCCCCGTCGACGTCCAGGAAATGAAAAGCAGACCGCCCAAAATCATCCGCGACTACCTCACCCCGATGCCCTCCCACCTGCTCACAACCACACTGTCAGACCTACTTCACGCACCGCTGCCGCCGCCGCGGGCTTCTTCCTCGGCGCTCATGTCCCCGGAGAGGGCCGTCCCGCAGGGCCATCACCTGGTGTATTTCCCGCTGCAGACGGCGGCGTCGGGGCTGGCGTCTGATGGGGCGGACCGGGATCATGCGCCGAGTGGGGGGCAGTTTACGAGGAGATTGTGGGCTGGGGGGGAGGTGCGGTTCAGAGACTGGGAGGATAAGCATGGGGATGAAGAGGGGGGGTTGATGCTTGATGGGCGGGCGTGGGTGTGTAAGGAGGAGATTGGGGATGTCAAGGTGAAAGGGGGTGGGAGGGCGGATGAGAAGGTGTTTGTGGATTTGTGGAGGAGGTATGGGCTGGGGCATGAGGTTGGGGAGGGGAGGGGGTGGGAGATTGAAGAGAGGAGGACGTTGGTGTTTATGAGGAAGCCGGATGGAGAGGCGGCGTTGCCTGCTGCGAGAGTTGTCAAATGTGAGTGTGAAACAAACTAAACAAAGGAGATGAAAAGAGATGCTGATTTTAATGTAAAATAGATCCTCATCCTCCTACACACTCCGTCGCTGTCGTCCCCACGCCTGCTCACCTCTTCCACTTCTCGGCACTCACATTCAACGCCCACTCCATCCACCTGGACCCGGAGTACGCGCGGTCTCAGGACGGGCACAAGACGATTCTGGTTCACGGGCCGTTGACGCTGGCGCTCATGCTGCGCGTGCTCAACGACCATGTTGGCGCTCCTGGGGGGAAGAAGACGAGCGACAGGGTGGGTGGGGTTGTGAAGTCCATCGTGTATAGGAATTATGCGCCGCTGTATGTGGGTGAGAGGATGACGGTTTGTGTGAGGCGGGTGAAGGAGAGGATTGGGGAGGAGGAGGAGGAGTGGGATGTTTGGGTTGAAGGACCGGAGGGGGGGATGGCGGCGAAGGGGAGTGTTGTGGTGGATGCGAGGAAGGGGGGCGTGATGTGAAGCATATAGTATATAATGATGATTAATGATAATATATGTATGCACTGAATTATTTTAATTTTCCCTCTCTTCCATCTATATAGAAAACTTCACCATTATATATATGTATATATGTATGTGTATAAAAGCGTGAAAACCAACCCCCCTACAAGAATCTTAGATTATGTCTTCCCTCTCCTCCTCCTCCTTTCTACTTCACTCATACAAGTCTTCGTCATCACTCGCCGTCCCGTCTTGAAATCCCATCACGGCTTTGCCCTTGCCTTTACCGTTGACACGCTCCTCATCCGCCTCAAGCTCGTCATCCGTCGTTGCAACGGCTTTTCCTTTGCCCTTGCCCTTGCTAGAAGACGCTGACCTGCCAGCACTCCCCGATCTCGTCGAAGAGGCCGGTCTCTTACCGCGATCTGCTACCACCAGCTGCTGCTGCTGTTGCTGCTGCTGCTGCTTCTGCTTATCAGCCCCTCCCTCAAACAGCGCCCTGACCTTCTCGTAATGCGCCAGCTCTCCCGCGCTGACACTGGGAATCAGCTCCTCGTGCGCGCCGATAAAGTCCTCCTCCATGACCATGACCGCAATGTCCGCGGGCGTGGCGTAGTGGTCGAAGAAGTACGCCGTCGAGACCTCGTGCTTGGTGGCCGGGTCGGCGTTGAGGGCGCGCACTTTTGCGTCCACGGCGGCGGCCTGGCGTGTGACGGCCTTGAGCATGGCGTCGCTGCAGAGGGCGTAGAAGTCGGCGCCCGTGTAGGTGAAGGGCAGGCGCTGCGAGACGGAGGCGAGGGAGACGGATGGATGGAGGGTGAATCTGTGGAAAAAGACAAGTGATGTTAGTTATACAAATAGTTGATTCAAACTGAAGAGATGTAAAAGGGGGGGCATAACGTACTTTCGAGTGAGTGCTTCCAAAATGGTTTGCTGCTTCTCGTGAGTGTCTGAAACACCAAGATACAGCATCTTGTCGAATCGACCAGGACGCAGCAACGCCGGGTCCAGCAAATCAGGCCTGTTGGTGGCTCCAATGACAAACACGCCTCCGGCATCCTCCCCGCCCGACATGCCGTCCAGCTCTGCCAGCAGCTGCGACACGATACGGTCCATGACACCACCGCTGTCTCCCTGGTTTCCTCTCTTGGGCGCCACGGAATCCAGCTCGTCGAAGAAGACGACGCAGGGGCGCGCGTCGCGGGCGCGCTGGAAGACGCGCCGCACGTTGGCTTCGGACTCACCAATGTACATGTTGAGCAGCTCGGGGCCCTTGACGCTGAAGAAGTTGAGGCTGTACTCTGTCGCAATGGCCTTTGCGAGTAATGTCTTTCCCGTGCCGGGAGGCCCGTAGAAGAGAATGCCGGAGCGCTTCTTCATGCCCTTGGCGAAGAGCTCGGGGCGTTCGAGGGGCAGCTGGATCGTCTCTGTGATGGCGTCCTTGACGTTGCTGAGGCCGCCGACGTCGTCCCATGTGACGTTGGGGATCTTGGGAGCGCCGATGGAGTCGGAGAAGTTTTTGCGGGCCGCTTCGACGGCGACGTCGAAGTCGGCGGCGGTGAGACAGCGCGCAGATGGTCCGCCGGCAACTTGGACGTCTCGCACCGTTACTGCCATTGAGTTGCTGTGGCTGGATTTCGCAGAGAGCGCCTCGAGACGGGAACGCTTGGCCACGGAGGCGCGTTCCACGACGTCGAGCAGGTCGCCAGCCACCAGGGCGGCTGTCTTGAGAGCAATGGCGTTGAGGTCAATGGCCGGCTCGAGCGACACGCCGCGATCTTCGATGACGGCCCTGAGGATGGCCTCTCGCTCGGCTTCGTCAGGGGCGCCCATTTCGAGCTCGTGGGTGAAGAGGGCGCGGACTCCGTCAGGTACCTTGTCGACCTCATTCGTAGTGGCAATGAGCACACGAACGTCCTCAAGTATCTCCTTGATAGACGCCTCTATTCTGTCGGCCGTCAGCGCCTCGATGTGTTGGATGAGGAGCGCACAGCAGTCTGGGCCGCAGCTGATGGCTCGCTCCGCACGCGTTCTTAGGAAGCCTTCTGTCTTGACGTCGCTTCCGCTGCCTCCTCCTTCGCTTATGATGTCGTAGGCGTCAATGGTGAATGTATGCAGGCCAATATCGCTGCAGGCGTCCTTGGCCATCGTTGTCTTTCCAATGTTGCGATGCGAGGAGGTGAGCAAGATGACAACGGGAGGCATCTTCAGATGAACGGCCCTCTGGCTTGTCGCTGCGGCTAGTAGCTCCCGCAACTGGCGTCTCAGAGGAGGAACATGCAGTTGGTCACGATCTGCCAGTTGCGGAGGGCCACCGTCTGGTCCCCGTTGCGGCGTCTTCTTCAGGCCGAGATAGTAAGGCCAGGTGCTGTCCTTGATACCGGGGATCCGGCTTGTCTCGAATCCTGAGCCGTGCATGGCAACGGTTGTGCTGTCGATGCAAGCGACAGTCCCCCACATAGATTCAGCTCCGTCCTCGTCTTCGTCTGACTTTTGCACCTGAATGTGGCCCACTTTGAACCAAGCAACGCTGTCAAGGTGTGAAGCAGCTTCTCCTCCAGAGTCGGTTGATCGTGCCGTCAGTGCCACCACGTCGTCAACTTCGGAGCCGCCAGCACCTGGAGCCTCTTGGAGAGCTCGGCCCAGCTGCGCATCTACTGGCACGGCGATCAAGTCTCCCTGTCGGACAAGGCGTAGTTTATGCGCAAAATAGCGCTTTAGCCCGCCCAACACAGCGGTTTGATACGCTCTTTCAGCGGAGATTGGGGTTCTTATGTGGTGAATGGCGATGTCTTTGGCATATGGAGGCTGTGAGGCGCTTGCGAACCTCGGCAGCGTCCCCTTACCCTGATACGTAGATTTCTTCAGTGCCGATATACGAAGATATGAGGCTCCATCAATGTTTGCAATCAAGATTGGCGAGGCATAAGCTGCCGGGCTGGAAGGTCGTTGGACCTGCGACTCGAAAAAGGAGGTCCGTCGGTCACCCTTCCTTGAACTGTTGATACGAGTGACAGGACGCTGAGAGTAGCCCTCTGGCAGGCCATACACCCGAACAGGTCGCCAGTTGGACACCTCAAAGTCTGGGTGGCTAAAGCTGCCCAGTCCAAATGCGCCAAATCCATTCAGGGGAGGTTCCTCTGCGGCTTCAATGCGGACCCAGTCGCCGGAGAAGCACCCAATCTTGGAGAGGGACGCCACATCGACGTAGATTCGCGCCTCTTCATCGTCTTCGGGAGATGGTTTGGGATGCAACAGGCCAGAAGGTATCTGTTTCCTCAGGCCGTGCACCTTGAACAGCCTCCCTCGCGACCGATCAGGACGAGCAGTAGTAGATGTAAAGTTGGAGAAGACCGAACCCGGTGTAGCCAAGCCGTTGGTTTTTCGTCCGCGGAGCGTGCCGGCCGTCATTGGCGTTCCAGGCCCCAGCGAGTTCATCGAATTCGTCGTTGGCAGCGTAGGGGCCTCCAAAGAGATGACTTCGTCCATTGAATCATCTGAAAGCTCCTCATCTTGCTCCGAGCCCGAGAAATCGGTATCTGTCTCTGTAGCTGCCACGGCGTCGTCGGTAACGGCGTCGGGCCGGTCGCGCTCTTCGGCAGCCGAAAAGAACTGATCGTTGGTGCCGTCCTCGTCGTCATTGCCGTTGAGCTGCTGATCGGAGGTCATTGACGCTGCAGGACGAGCCTGTCTTCGGTGGATTCCTCTCCCTCTCATCAGCACAATCTTTGTAGATTCCGTCAGGATGCCCTGGGCAACGGGCTCGCAAAGCATAATCTTTCCCGGGTTAGGCGGCAGGTGAGTAACGGGATGCGGCGGCAGAGGCAGCGGAAACAAATCGCCGGAATGGACAATCTTGAGGGTGCTGAGAGCTGCCCTGAGCGCCGTGGCTAGACGCTCCTCGGGCGTCATGTTGGCAACGTCCTTGGCATTGGGGCTTGTCGGATGGTCCTTGTAAAAGGTGCCCTCGCCGCTCTCCAGCCGTTTTGTCAATTCGCTCTCCAGGTTGACGAACACCGTGTCTAGCGGAAGGGGAGCAACGTCGAGGACGAGGATCTCAATGCCGCTGCGGCTGTGGCTGGACAGCTTCGAAGGGGCCACCTGTTGCAGGGTCACGGCGAAGCTCTGAAGCGCCGACGAGGAGGGCGAGAACTGGATGGTCGAATGGGACAAGTCGCCGGATCGCAGTACCGGCACAACGGACCAGGCCATGTCGACGGGGTTCGCATTCGGGGCCCATGGCGCGACTGCAACGTGGTGGACATCGTCGACGAGCTCGTCATTGGGATCTGGGCGCTTTGAGGTTAGAATCGATCTCGTTGAATAGCAGCAGCAGCATTTCTTTGTCTGCTCATGTGCAATGCCGTCAGTTGGCTTTCTTGGCTTACCATTTGCTAGGTGCGGGAAGAGGTCGGAGAACAGATCGTCGGACAAGAAGCCCACGTCGCCTTTGGTGCGGTCATCAAGCACGAGTCTGGCGGTGATGGCCGGCTTGTCTTGACGTCGCCTGCGGTTCCGTCTCTTGTGCGACACGACAGGCGCTCCGTCTGAGACAGCCATCGTGGAGTGGTTTCTGCAGCTTTTCGGGCAAGATGCACGGCGGTTCGGTTCGAGGGGGCGAAGAGGGCGCAAGGAGTCGTTGGTTGTCGCTGTAGAAAGGAGTTGGAGGGTTTCTGAGATTCACACTTTAAACAACACCCCGCAGCCGCTGGATCATGGCGCTGGCAGCAGAGAAGAGACGCAGGCAAGAAAATCAAGGTCGATGCTGGAGGATGAAGATCAGCAGGGAGTCCCGGGCAATTGGAATCGGCGCGTGTTCGGCGCGCTGCGTTGCGATGGTGAGCTGAGCTGAGCTGAGAATCAGAAGGCCAGCCTGCAGCTGCAGATGCGTGTCCGTGTCGCTGCAGATGCCACTAAGCAGCCAGTGGCTCGGCTGTAGCCGTGGCAGCCTCGGCATTGGGGATTGAGAACCCCAGATTTGCGCCGCGCAGCTCTCCTGACCATGGGCAGCTCCACCGAGACGGCGTTGCCCAGGCATTGGCGGCGAGCAGCGGGCAAGGGACTATAAGCAATCTATATTTTTACAAGGCATGATGCTGACATTCAGCGTTGATGATGGTGAAAATGCAGTAACATTGTAGTATGCATGGCATGACGGCGTAGCCGAATTGAGGTTGCAAGTTCTGTGATACCTAATATTGACAATTTACACCGAGCGACTAGCGCCAATTGCCATACCCGGGACCGAGGACACAGGAACAGTTGGAGTTTATTATGCACACGCTGAATGGCCAGCCTTATAGAGTGCAGATCTAAACTTATAATCCACCAGCCATCTTTTGAATCTGTCCTACATGACATTCCAAGGGTTCATACAGTATGAATATTTACATTTAGATGGCACGTCTCACTGTAATGTACGTACTCCCCTATTCAAGCTAGCACTGCCCCCCCAGGAGGCGAAACAGAATCAAGTGTAAGTGAAATTCACAAGCTAAAAAAAAAAACCAGACGAAAACATTACGTGGAGAAAGGGGAATGATATTATGGAGCTCGCTAACAGGGATCGTCTCTTTCTTGATTCGCAACTCGATTGCGTCACATATCCTAAATAGTTTCCAATGCAGGCAATTTCTGGAAACCGGTTCTACGGGGTTCCTAGATTTAGATCTCTTTTTTTTTCTCCTCTCTACTCACCGCATTTAGCAATTGTCGCATGATGTTGTGCTTGTTGGAATCTGTCTTTACTGCACGCTTCAGAATAACTGTATGAGCTTACTTGTCTATACGCTCTTTACATACACACATATTAGTACTCAACAAATCTCTTTCTTGGTACATTTTACACCTCGACAGAGTAATAGAAACTGGCTTAGCAGAGATTGGCTAGTGGCATGGTCTACACATTGATGTCATTGCTGGCAAGGGCCTACGACGGTAACAACAATACCCTACAAAGACAACTCTTTTTCTCGCCCTGAAGAAGAGAGAGAATAAAATAATACTCACAAAAGAAGAACCTCATCATTTATAGCCACCGATTGGTTAGAAATGGGCCATCACGAAGATCTTCCAAGTGCAACAGAGCGCGGCCTTATTTCGCCTCAGTCGGCAGCATCCGAGGTCGCACAGCATGCGGCCGAGTTCACCAAACAATCGGAGAAGCTGTCGCACCAGCGTTTTGAGGACCCCTCGCCGGCAGTTGCTGTGCAAGCTGACTTTGTTACGCCACAGGATCCCATTATAGTCACTTCGGATGGCAACCGTCTGCCGGGCGTGCCCTTGCATGAAGCTCACAAGTTAAATGTGCTGCGCGAAGACTTGACGCAAGGACTATCAAAAGCAGCAGAGACGAAACAAGGAGCCGTGAATCAAGAAAAAGGGCCAAGCCATGGAACAGAAGCTCGAAAAGTTGATCACCAGCCTGAGGACCAGGATGGACCATCTTGGCAGCAATCGGAGCAAGGAACATTGAAGCGGGCCATGCCTCCGTCGCATACAAACCCATTGTTTCCACCTCTGCCGCTGTACGGCCCGCCATCTCTGCTGCGGAATATCCAATGCTGGTTCTTTAGGGCAACGTCGTTTGTTCTGAGCCTGGAATTCCTCGGCGTGATTGTGCTCGGCTCGCTGTTTACATCCATCCCTACCTACTGTAAAAGGCTATTTCTGCCGGGCCAAGAGAAAAAGCGGCCGTTCCATGAGCAGGAGCTCCAAAACGCCGCCATAAGAAAAGAGAAGGAAACCGAATGGGACCCAACGGGGGTCCAGAGACGCCTCGATGTTGAAAACAAGACAATAGTAGACGAGTATCCACCGACGGAGGGCGGCAAAGACCCCATCATCTGTGACGTCGGCTACTATGCGCGCAGAGTTGGCCTTGACGTGGAGGACTTCCAAGTCGAGACCGAAGATGGCTTCATCATAGACCTCTGGCACGTCTACGACCCCAAGGAACACACCCCGTTGGATAAGGCGAGCAGAGAGAAACTCGGCCCAACAGTCTTCGAGGGCCCAGGCCCGGGCCCGGGAGATCCAAACAAGAAGCGCAAGTTCCCTGTGCTGCTGATGCACGGCTTGCTGCAGAGCTCGGGGGCATACTGCTGCAACGACGATCAGAGCCTGGCGTTTTGGCTCTGCAAGTCGGGATTCGACGTTTGGCTGGGCAACAACCGCTGCGGCTTCAAGCCAAAGCACGTCTTGCTCGAGTATGGCGATCCGCGCATGTGGTGCTGGAACATCCGGCAGATGGGCGTCTTTGACCTGCCGGCGCTCGTGTCGCGAGTGCTGCACGAGACGGGCTTCCACAAGATTGGCCTCATCTGCCACTCGCAAGGGACAACGCAGACGCTGGTGGCCCTGGCAAAGGAGCAGCGCCCCGATCTGGGCGAGAAGCTGACCGTGTTCTGCGCGTTGGCCCCCGCGGCCTACGCCGGCCCGCTCATCGGCAAGATGTACTTCAAGTTTATGCGCATCATCTCGCCGGCTATGTTTAGGCTCATGTTTGGCATCCACGCCTTCATCCCCTTCATGATGCAGATGCACGCGCTGCTGGATCCGCGGCTGTACGGCTGGCTGGGCTACAAGGTATTTTCGTTCCTGTTCGACTGGACGGACGAGCGCTGGGACCGCGGGCTGCGGGATCGCATGTTCCAGTTCGCGCCGGTGTATGTCAGCGCCGAGTCGATGCGGTGGTGGCTGGGGCGCGAGTGCTTTGCGCATCACAAGTGCATCTTGGCGACCAAGGAGGTGTTGAAGGCGGAAGAGAGCATGGACGGCGATGCTGGGCCGGATCCGGATGCAGGGCGCAGTGACGAAAAGGCAAAACCGCCACCAGCTGAAGCTCATGAGGCCCCGCCATCTCCATCAATCCTCTCGTCGTCATCGCAGGCCAAGCAGCAGCAGCAGCAGCACCGACGGCGCCACATCAAGGGCTCTACAGCGTGGTACAACGAGCAGGTGCCTCCGTTCGCGCTGTGGGTTTGCGGCGACGATGATCTGGTCGACGGCCAGCGGCTGCTCAGGCGCTTCGACGCTGGGCGCGAGCCGCACGTCAGGGTGGTGCACAGCAAGGTGATTCCCGAGTATCAGCACCTGGACGTTATCTGGGCAATGGATGCGGCCGACCAGGTATTTCGAGAAATCCGCGAGGTGCTGTGGAAGACGTGCGACGCTCGGGATATTTGCAGGATCCCGGAGGGCTGCGATACCGTGGCCGAGTGGGTCCCAGCCGAGGCTGTGGAGACGATGGAGCTGATGGAGTCGAGCAGCGGCAGCGGCGGCGAATAGGGAGTCGTCGATTGCGATTTTACCTTGGGAAAATCTGCTGTACCTTGGTATAATATCTTGGAGGGATTGCCGCGATTCATGAGATGGACTGGGGTTTGGGTTGATCTGTTCTATTCTTGACTAGGACTATTCTTCGTTTTCGTTGTGACACGAATAGGGGGGGGGGGGAGTTTGGTGTATAAAAAAGGAGCGATAGGGTCAGCTTTGTCAGCATAAATACAACGTTTTATTGTAGGTATTCAAGCTTATTTACACAGTCATGTGTTTCTATTCGAATAGCTGTGGCCCGTGTATACTTTAAAACCTTTTACCTTAATAGGTGCCTAAGCTTTGGCACTGCTTGTTCCGGCTACATGCAGCCACATCTGAATGTCTTAATATCAGCTAATCCGAGTGACACCAAGATGCCGAATGGTAAGCCCCTGCATCATGCATCATCATTAGTAGCAGTAGTGGTACTAGTAGGTAGTAGCGACAAATACCGGCAGGTTGTGCCAGCCAGTGTGTGAAGATGTATGCAAGATGATATCAACTTTGAGGGCACACAGATCTTTATAGTACATAGGCCATAGGTTACATGTAGCTAGGACGAACTTTAGCTGTCTACCAAAACATGACACGAGTGTATAAATCCGCGGACTTTTTCGCCAACAGCCGTCGGAGGGCTTACCATAAGCAAGGACTCCGGATATAGATAGGCGTGGGAAACCAAAAAAAAAAAAACACAAAAACCTCCACCCTGAAAGGCCGCACATGCGTATTCAGAGGCAGATGAATCTTTATGACGGTCATATGTCGAATTGCTTTCGGAGTTGCTAGTGCTGGTGTTTTGACGGATAGGCTCTCAGGCTATAGTGCAGCTTACTGCACTTGTCTAAGCTAGCAATAAGACTGACTGATTGGTAATTTGCTTAGAGGCTTATGCGTCGTGCCCAGCTGAGACGGTTGTCGCTTGATTCGCTAGAGCTGTCCCATTTCTTACTCTCACGCTTCCACGGACCTCACCTAAGCGCAAGAAGCTGCTGCTGCATGGTACGATTTCAGATGGACGGATGTCTTGATAACTGACACGCAACACACCAGTCCGGATGATACCCACGCAGTGGTGGTGATGCCTCTGCTTGCAGTGATTGTGTGTATATAATGCCACATTGTATAACCGAGTGTTGTTGCTATACATATACACTCGGATTGATTCATTGTACAGTCTGCATCTCAACCCTCTTCCCCCGCAGAGCCAAAGAGCGCTACCCCAACCGGCAAACGTGCTCCACACGCTCCATCACGGCGCCGAGGTCCAAAGGACACCAGACTCCACCGCAACCTCCCTGGCAGTCTCCGAGCTTCCGCTGAGGCTAACAGCAAGACGAGAATTTAGCGGCGTAGCTTGTGTTCTGCCCAGTGTTAGTGTGTCTGTAATGCGGGATGGAACTAAGTGTCAAGCAACGGCTAGGCAACGGAGAGAGAGCTGGGGTATGCGAGTTTTGCTCGTCCCGCTGGCATAAGGGAATAATATTAATACCTCCCCCCCGCCGTGGCGAGATATCCACAGGCTTGCTATTGCGATCAGCTTACAGTGTCTGTTCATTCGCAAACCAGGAGAATAAGAAAACGTCACCCCTCTTTAGTTCCGTCTCTTTTGTGTCGCGATCAAGGTTTAAAAAGCGGTAGACACGCCGTTCTCTTCTTCTTTTTACGTTTATTAATCTTTTTTTGTTCTTCTTTCTCATTTTATTAATCTCCTTTTTTCCTGCTGCCCATCTCCGCGAGCTTACTCATCCATACTTTGTACGAGGACAGCAGAGATAGTATTCTCACCACTGCCGCAATGCCCATTCCCTCGCTATTTACACCAATTACGGTACCGGACGCCGACACATGGACGCACTACTTGGAGACGCCTAAGGAGTATCCTACCGATAAACGTCAGTATATAATCAGTTGCAAACTCATTCGTCTCAACACGCAGCTAGCTAACATTTTGTGTTCATTGTATCAGCCCTCTTTGTCGATTGTGACTCTGGCAGATCGTACTCTCTCAATGACGTGAAGCGCCTGGCCCTCGAATTCGGCAAGGGTCTCAGCCATGTCTTGAATTGGAAAAAGGGCCATGTCATGGGCCTCTTCACGCCCAACAACATTGATGTGCCGGTAGTCAACTTCGCCGTTCATTGGGCGGGTGGCGTTGCGAGCCCTGCCAACCCCACGTACACTCCCGAGGAGCTGGCAAACCAGCTCCAGGATTCTGGCGCAAAGGCGCTTATTACGCAGAAGCCCTTCTTGGAGGTGGCTCGCAAGGCGGCAGCGCTGGCAGGCTTGCCTGTAGACAGGATCTTGCTGCTGGGAGATGGACGCGACGAGACTGGAGTTCACAGGCATTGGACGGATATTACTGCCAGAGGGGCCAGTGTTCAGCCTCAGAAAGCAGCCATCGACCCTAAGAAGGATCTGGCCTATCTCGTGTACAGTTCGGTAAGCGTGGCTCTATCAGACTGAAGCGCAGTAAAGGAAAGACTAACGAAGCTTTCAAGGGAACTACTGGATTGCCCAAGGGCGTGATGCTCACCCATTACAATTTGGTTGCTCAAGCCATGCAGATGCGCCGCGATGAGAGAGGCTTGAGTTATGATGTTGACTCTCAACTGGGCGTTCTTCCCTTTTTCCACATCTACGTAAGTCTGCGCGCCCAAGATGAATTAAAACATGGCACAGAGCCGCACATGCTGAATGAATATTTTGCTTACTAAATCCAGGGTTTGATGGTCGTGCTGGGCACATCCGTGAGCACCGGCGCCAAATGCGTTGTCATGTCCAAGTTCGACATTGAAAAAGCCTGCAGACTCATCCAAGACCACCGCCTCACCTTCATGTACGTACCGCCGCCCATCGTGCTCGCCCTGGGCAAGCACCCCGTCGTGTCAAAGTACGACTTGTCGTCGCTGCGTTGGATCAACTCGGCCGCCGCGCCGCTGAGCAGGGAGCTGGCCGTTGCGGTCTGGGATCGCCTGAAAGTCGGAGTCAAGCAGGGCTACGGCCTTTCTGAGACGTCCCCTGCAGTTATGGTACAGCTGTCGGAAGAGTGGTGGAAGTTCCAGGGCTCTGTGGGAAGGCTGTTCCCGGGTATGGAGGCTAAGATTGTGGATGAGGACGGTAAGGAGCTGGGCCGTAACGAGGTGAGTGAAAAATGTCCCTTTTCTTCCTCGTTCTCTCTTTTTTTTTTTTTTTTTTTTTTTTTTTTTTTTTTTTTTTTTGTTTCTTGCGGCAAACTAATGACATGAATGTCACTTTAGGCCGGCGAGCTTCTTCTCAAGGGACCAAACGTCTTCTCAGGCTACTGGAACAAGCCTGAGCTCAACAAAGAGACCTTTACCGAGGATGGCTGGTACAGAACAGGAGACATCTTCTACTGCTGTCCTCAAGGCCAATTCTACATTACAGATCGAAAGAAGGAGCTCATCAAGTACAGTACGTCTACCCTGATCCAACCAGCGTGTAAAACTTGTGTCAAACTAATCGTGTTCACCACTTGCAGAGGGCTTCCAAGTGCCACCCGCAGAGCTCGAATCCAAGCTCCACGGCCGCGAAGACATCGCCGACGTCTGCGTCATCGGCGTCTGGGACAAGGTGCAGCACACCGAGATCCCGCGCGCCTATGTCGTGCTCAAGCCCGGCGTCGCAGAGACGGAGGCCAGGGCCAAAGACATTATTGAGTGGCTCAATGCCAAGGTTGCGCCGCCCAAGAAGCTGCGCGGAGGCGTGCGCTTCATCAAGGAGGTTCCCAAGTCGCAGGCGGGCAAGATTCTGCGACGGGTGCTGAAGGAGCAGGCCAAGAAGGAGGATGAGGCAGAGACGCCAAAGGCGAAGCTGTGAGTGGGTAGGGGGTTGAGCAAAAGCGGGCGTTGGAAGGGCTGTATTGTATACCTATATATCGTGTATTTTTAGTTTACTTCAAATCTTACATTTAATTGTACAGTTTGGGTCGTGTATGACCCTGTAGATGCCCCATCCAATGTCTACCTGTCGACACGCCCACATGAATGAGATCCCGTCTCATCTATCTATGTATATATATATATCCTGGTGCTTATAGCAATAAATTTTCCCATGAGAGTGTACAGCTGACTTCAATGCTGTCAGTCTCTCTAATTTTTCGAATGTCAAAATCATCCCATTCTCTCCGCCTCTTCCAGCAGCTTCTCAACGCTAAATCTCGGGTCGCCGTTGGTAAACCACTCCAACAGCTTCTGTCTTTCTTCAGCCCTTTCTTTCCTCTGTCCGTCCAGCTCATCGCCCTTCTGTTCCCATCCGCCATAGAATCGCTGCAAACACATGACCAGCCATTTCGCGTGGTCCGGCTGCACATTCCTTCCCTCCATGACTTGTCCCTGCATCAAAACTAGACCTTTATCCTTAATCAAGTCGAGGTGATGCGTCACCGTGGTGTGCGGCTGCGCAAACTCCCCCCTGGCCTTGTACTCGGCCAGCTGCGTGAACAGCACCGTGCTGGTCTTGGACGCCGGGTCAAAGGTCCACTGCATGAAGTGCATCTCCGCGCCCTGGCTCTCGTGCGGCACTGGAAGGACGAAGTAAGGGTTGCTGCGGGCGAGAGATTCCATTGCTTGGTATGCCGGCGCGGGGATGACGGCGCATAGGGTCTGTGGAGAGGAGGCATGGCGGAGGCGCCAGATGGCTGTGAGCTCCTTCTCGGGCAGCTCGGCGACTTTTTCGAGATCGAGGATATCGCCAAGAGGCTTGATGGCTGGCTTTTCGCCGGAGGAAGAGGCCTTCTTTGGAGCGGGCTTTGAGGGCGGGAAAGAGGAGGGCGCATTGGGCTGTGAGACTGGTGTGCCCTCGGTCTGGGGAATCGCCGTTCCTGTTAATTCTTCGACGATGGGGGGGACATTCACGGAGTCCTTCTTGCGCTGCTCCTGTATCTTCTCTGAGTATGCGGCTTTGAGGTCGTCGATGCTTCCGTGTCCTTCCTGAGACGCCTTTTTGCTGAGCTTCTCCCTGTACTTTTCGAGAATCGCTTGTGAGGGCTGCGTCGTGAGAAATCGGACATCGTGGACTTGCGCCCAGCGACGCTGCTGGACGGCGCCACGAGCAGCGCAGCGCAGCGACCTGGTCGCAACGTGTCGCAGCGTCGGTATTCGGATCATGGTTAGATTAGAGAGTGCGTGATACCAGCCGGGAGACCAATTGGTCGTGAGAAGGCCAAGGTTTTTTTTTCTGGCACGAAGCTCGAACAAGGTCTCAAATCGATATGCGGGATTCTTCCGTCATCGCCAAAAAGTGGGCCCTGCGTCGTCGACAGAGCAAAAAACACCCCACTATGGCCGATATTCCTTTTGGCGGGACCGGAATTTTGGCTTCGCCTGTGTTTGGTGCGGCGTTTACAAATCCAATTCCATTCTGTCTTGAAGCTTGACTTAACCGAGAACGCCTGAAACGACACCGCTGGGACGGAAAATTGGAACCAGGAAGCTCAATCCTTGTCCGTGGAGTGCAAGAGGCGGTGAATTCCCTGGCAGCAGCGTCTGGTGGTTGCTCACGTACCCCGCCATATTGGAAACCATTCGGGGGGGGCATCAGGCGAAGGGGGAATCAACTACAGACGGATTCTCATTTTTTTTTGTTTTTCAATAGACTCTCTTGTTCTTGTTTAAGCACCAACTACGGGAAGAAGAGCCATGGCCGACTTTCGGCAGCTGGCCCTCGACTTTGTCCTCGAAGATGATGAGGCTAAACTAACAGCGCTGGCCCAGAGGGCGGCCAAAGGTGTGTTGTGGTGGACTACAGATATGCTTTGGACTGCGAATTGTGAATTGTCTAACGCCTTTTCTTGCTGCAGAACTCGAGAGCTCAGCCGGTTCTAACCCCGTTGCTCGGTGGGTAGAGGCTGTGCAGCCATGGATGCCGGGGAACAAGGAGACTGAAGACTCACAAGAAACTCCAGATTGGACGTCAAGAGCCAAGGGTGAGGACTCATTGCTTTTCTCTCGTCAACAAGGTTTTGATACCGTGCTAATAAGTGGCGTTACTCAGCTTTGGAGTTCCTGTCTCATACACTAGACTTTGTGAAGCCGGATCTCTTCAAAGCAAGTCAAGGTAGGCTAAACTTTTTTAGAATTCTCATGCTATCGCCTTTACTTACGTTATCTCCCTAGTGAAATTACTCATTGCTTTTTTCGGCGCTATGCTCGACATTGATCACAAAGCAGGCGTTTTAGCTTCCGCTTCAGCCTTGTCTCGCATCATAGCTATGAAATGGTTTCAGCCAAACAGCGGTTATGAAATCATCGAAAAAGTATGCGCTATGAAAGAAGACTTCCAGAGACAAACTCCCAAGACTCGTCTTGCGGTTTATGAGTTGCTGAGGTCACTCTTGACCGCTCCTGAAGTTGCAAGCAATCTGAAGCAAAGAGACGGTGCCTCTTGCTCGTATCTGGTTAATTTGCTAGAGCTATGCCGGAATGAGAGAGATCCGGACTGCTTAATCGTATGGTTTGACATCTTGAGAAGCTTCCTCCAGCAGTACGACCCTTCAGATGAAGTTGTTGAGAAAGTCTTTGCCGCTTTCAAGGCGTACTACCCCATCACCCTACCGCGATTGTCTCAAGGTGGCATCACTCCGGAGGATCTCAAGTCTCAACTTCGAAAGTGCTTTTCATCAACATACCGTCTTGCCTCTCACTCTATACCTTTCTTGGTAGGCAAGCTTGACCAAGGCGATGGCGTTACAGTAAATGTCAAGGTACTTTGACCCCTGCTTCTTGCTTGGAATCCTTGAATCTCATCTATTTTAGGTTGATGTTTTGAAAACTATTAGAGAGTGTCTTGAGGAATATGATAACCCAGAACAATCCATCATTCCATACGTTGGCCGGATCTGGGGTAGCCTCAAATATGAAGTCCGAAATGGAGAAATCGAAGATGCCATTTGGGCCACCCTTGAAGTGCTGAAAACCCTTGCGACGAAGCTAAAGGATGACCATCTCCGCAACTACACCCTAGATGTGACGCGTGACTGCGTTACCGACTTATCGAACCCGATGTACACGACTCAGGCTGGCCGTCTTATCGTCAGTGTTCTCAGTGCAAATTCCAATGCGTTTGTGCTCATGGTGGCGCCAACTGTTACGCACCTCAAGGAGAACTTGCGGCGCCCAAAGTCGGCGACTCATACGCAGGATCTGTTAAAGATACTCAATGTCATTTTAGAGACGCGATTGCTGCTGTCGCAGACTCAGATGACAGATGAGCAGAAAAGTGATTTTGCTGCTGTTGATGGCGTCTTCAAGAATCTTTATAGCGACGTGTATAGCTCTCCCATTACAGCTTCAAGCGAACAGAGTGCCAGCGAAGACGATATCAAAATTGCAGTTGAGGCTGTTCAGGGAGTCGGTGCACTAGTCTCCCAAAAAGCTATACAGCTTGGATCGGATAGCGACGCTGCACTGCTTCTTCCTAAAGCGTTGTGCTCAGAAATTGGCCTCTATGTTTTTTACATCGCCCTGCATGGGTTTGACAGCAGTTATCCATGCTCAAGCTCAGACGATCTTCTAAACGAGACAGCAAAGGCTCTGTTTAGGATCAACCAAGCTCACCCAGCAGGTTTCAGACCTCTGATCGACTGGTTCGTGACGGTCATCCACGGCAGCCGTCAAGATGAAAGTGACGAAGCCAGCGAAAAGATTCAGAAAGTAGCCGCTTTGCTGGCCTATGTCGGATGTTCCGAGCTATCCAAATCACCCATCGATATGAGACGCCATTTCTTGCATCTAATTCATGTCATGACCGCGGAATTAGAAATAGCGATTAAAACAAATGCCAGCAAAAAGGTTTGGTGTGCGCTACTTGTCGGCATTCAGACGGCTTCTCGCTACTTTAACGATGCTTGCTTGAAGCATAACCCGGAGAAAGACCAGGCATTCGATGGTACCATGTGGCTGTATCGAGTTACCTACAAATTCCCTGAACTGCAAGCATTTGTAGACGAAAAGGAAGAGCAAGACGGTATCACACCAAGTTACGAGACCGCAGCACCATCAAAGGAACTAACTGCTACTGCACTTCGCAATGACTTTTTGCTCATTGGTCTTGCTATTGTTCGAGGCCTCTATCGCCGAGCAACGACTACAGTTGGTCCTATTGCTGGGTCTACGAAGCCCGCACTTCAGCTCTGCGATAGCTTGTCGGGCTTGGAAGACTCGTCCGAGTATCGCTATCTTCAGCTTGTTTCTGACTTTGCCAGTTTCATTCTTCGCGAGATGGGCGAAACCCAGCAAGTCTCGCTCAAACTTGACCATTACCTTTTGAACTTGTTCCAAGATGAGCTAATACCGGTTCCTATTACCCTGCCAGAGGAGGGGAGAAGACTCAGTCTGGACAAATACACGGATGAAGGGGGGTCCGCATGGGGCTGGTTGACGGAAAAGACGGTCAATACTCTTTATTACGGGCTCTTGGAGGCTATGAGGCCGTCCGTTATTGCAAAGCTCGTGAGTTTTCCTCCATACTTGCTTTTTTTTTTCTCTTTATTTCCATATTCGGCTAACATTTTATACAGTTTGATTATGGAATTGCCCAAGAGCTTCTAATTAGCAGCACACTGAGTGCCTCAATCACCCAAAACCCAGTCACAAGGCCGGTAACGAGGTCAATCTTGACAATTCTGGCCAACAAATACAAAGTGGAAGATCTCAGCTACGTAATGGCCAGGCTGGAGGGCCGATTAGAATCTGCTCTGCACAATGCCCAGAATTCTTCAGACAGCGATGATGCCTCTCGTTACTTGGAGCAGGTTTCGTCCATCTACGCAATTGTCAGCGGTATAGTACGTCGGCCAGGCGGTAAACAAGCGCGAGGTTTAATTCAACAACTGCGCGAAGCCCCCCGAAATGCAGCTACCGGCCATCTTCTAGCTCGCAGAATGGAAATGGTTGTTGCGCCGCAACAGTTTTTGTCAAAGGACAGCTTTGCTGTGGTGAAGCCGCTTTGGACGCAAAAGCTGTATTTTGACTTGGTCAAGCCTATGCTAGAGATTGCGACAAGCCAAGATTCCGAGGCTGAGAGCCAGCTCGTCAAGACGAATTACAGGATTGGCGTTTTGTCAATGGTCAAGCACATGCCATTTTCCATTTGGGAAGATGACAGCGTCGAGATTCTACGCGCATCGGTGGTATTGTGTCAAACCTTGGGCGCGGGACCTGACACTCTGCCTGCTCTACAGATCCTCAAGACCATATTGGCAGAGTCATCTGAGAAAGCTCAAGACTATATCAAGAGCTTGATTAACATCTCGCTGCCTTGCTTTTCTCTCAAGCTCGCAGCAGAGCGGAAGTTGCCAGACTGGCTGCCATCCGGCTACGTCCCGGCAAAGATCCGCCCCGATATCGAGGCTGAATGCGGCAGATTGGCCCTGGAAATAGTCGGTGCGCTACCAAGATTGTTTGAATCGAGCTACGTGGTGCCATTTGTGCCACAAGTACGGAGGGAGCTGTCTCTAGCATGCGGCCATCCAGTCCGGGACGTGCGTAGACTGGCAAGAGTGGCTCGTAAGGCGTGGACAGAAATCAACTGAGGGTGGTACACATGGTGAAACGCACGCAAACACATACATATGCACAAAATAATGGCGCAGGGGCAGGGACGATGTTTATAGAAGTTCTAAACAGGAGATTTTTCAAGGTACCTAGATGGCATTGACTGGTGTTGGCTCTTGGAGACCAGATATACTCATCGTGTATATAGAAGGTGACGCCATCTGATTGGTTTGTTTTTTTATACACATTCAGAATACAGTAGAAACCGAAATGAGCGTCTCTCAATAGAAAGCTTCTGTCCGCACGGATCTTCTCTGTGGCGCACCGTGGCTGATACCGTGCGCAGCTCCAAGCAGATTGTACCTCTTGGGAGAAGGGCCATCACTGGAACTGGCTTCGTGCCACCGCGTCGGGGAGCTTCTTTCCAATCATCTAATATTAAGCTGACTATGGCTGTGACTCGCCACGGAATTGGTACACAAGCGGCTGCGATTTGAAAGGGAAATCATCATGGTGCGCTGGGTTATGGACCTGAATCTGGTGAAGCCTCATAGCCCGAGATACGGCGGTCGACTTCACTCTCGGGCTTTCGGTGACAGCTAAATATTCTACTTTTGAATGGGGATGCAGGCATGGACCTAGAGTGGGAAAATGAGGGTGCAGCAGTGAGTGCGGCCAACATCCAGTATTGGCGATCCAATTATGGTAATTCAATCTGGCGCAATTTGCAATAGCGGCCAGATTTTTCTCTCCCCAATAAATATTTCCAATGAGCGCTCCCATTCAGAGTCAAGTTCCAATTAGGACGGAATGGCGGGTTAAGAGGGAACCGCGACAGCAAACATCACTAAATACCGACTGTTTCGACACAGCAAGAACATGCCGGGCACCAATAGCCAAATATCTCCCCGCGAAGGGCGGCTAAACCTGAATTTACTTTACTTTCATCCACAGCATAACGGACCAATTGAGCGTTGGCTGGGCCGCCTTATTGCGTACCTCGAAATATCCCCAAGGAATAAGTTTGGAACCATGCCTACACGCCGCCTTACAACTCCCCCCGACCTTCAGGACCTCATCCGTCCAAATCCCGCCTCCCCAAGTCTACCTTGCCTGCATGTATGTGGCGTGGTAACAACGAACGAATTAACATGCGGGGATCTGGGAGGTCCTGCCGACGTGGCAGAGCTCCGCTGTCTTGCTGGCATTGCAGGATTGGCTGAACGTGGCTGGTCCTTCAATAGTTGAAGTACACCTAAGATAGACACGGCTCGTCTGCTCCCCTATAAACAAACGATCAGTGGCAGCACTGGTCTCCCACTCCATTGTGCCTCGTACCTCGAGCGCTCCTCGAGCGGCAATATGAACGATGGCTTAGACTGAGCTTCCGAGAGTAGTTTCCTAATCTCCTTACCAAGTAAATTCGGCAGAACCTCACACATTATTCCATCCCAGAGAGCTCTTCATCTCGCGCAAACATATTGTCGCCTACTCGAATCTTCTTCTTCTTCTTTGTTTGACTTCATGAGCTTGGCTCTTCCTTTCGTCATGGAATCCAGCCGAAACCTAGTCGAAGCAGCGTTAAATCCTAGCACTTATGCTAGGAGCAGTGCTCCTACAAGCACCCCTACGTTGGAGAGATATTTCCCAGAAGACCCCTTCAGCGGCGGGATCATCATGGCCACGTTCGACGGAAAGGGGTTGCTCTACAGGAAAGATACTTATTTTCAAGCTAAATTGACGACAGCGGAGAGAGTATTGTATGAGGGACAAGACGTATATCTCCTTAGTTTTGAGTTGAACTTCATGAGATCTTTCTCCCCGCAGTATAGGTTCCGAGGCGCCGACGTCAACATTACTTTCCAGAGAGACAAGTCTTCGGACTCGGAGCCTTCAATTACAAAAATTTTCCCTTCCATAATCGCGGTTGATGTTGGCGAGCGCAACGTTCAAGACAACGCCGAGCTTACCGCCGGTGCTGGAGCGTCAGCTGGACCTGGGCAAATTAATGCGAGTGCGAAGCAGATACACAACGACAAAACGACTTTTGAGGGAAGAAGAAAGTTCCTTGACCTAATAAAAGGAGATAATACGGCGTCCTGGAGACTCTACGAGGAACCTGGAAGTCAGAGTGGGATACCTGCAATTCTCAGGCTTGCCACTCTTGTTCGGTGCCTTAAAGGAGGATTCAAAGTTCAGCTGGAAGTATCCGTTAGGATGGCGGGGGGGCCTAAACTCTTGGGCCTCCACAAGCTCTTCTTCGACTCTACCTTCAAAGCACGTTCACATACACACACTATCTCAGCACAGCCTATTCCCTTTGACTGGCGCAAATTATATGAAGAAGCCAAAAATATATTCCCGGATAACGAAGTTGACAGGGAGGCTTGGAATAGGGATATCAGCGAATTCTTTCTTGAATCTGAAGCTGCCACTCGCCTTACCAGTAAGCAGATGAAGGTTTTAGTAGGATTTTGCGGTGATTTTGGAGAAGTAGGAGGAGGGGTCCAAAAAATGAAAGCAACGGCTCTGGCCAGATTGAAGGAGGATCTGTCTGGTGACGACGAGTCTAAGAAGTTCATACAGAGGCTCAAGGATAGGATGGGCATATCCGTTCCAGACAAGCAAAACGTCTCTTCTGAGACTGCAACGGAAACCGCAAGAGAGAACGATGCTTCCGATTTGCCCCCTGCCAACCCGCAAGTTGACGTTTCCGGTCTGACTGGAAGTTCAAAAAGGGATGCGAACATATTTAGACCTTTCAAGGTTGGAACCCCAGAAGTTAAGCTACCATTTAGAGCAGCTTTATTTAGTTCCCCGGCACCTCCACCAGGTCCTGTGTCGGCGTCAGACCCTGAAACGCCTAGCACCAAAGGTGAGTTACCTCGTTAGGGATCTCTACAATTGAGTATTAAAGTGCACCTACTAAGAAGACAGCCGCGAATTAAGGTGCCCTTTGGGGATCCCTTTGGGGATTTCGCGCAGAAGAGGACAATTCTACCAAGGAAGTCCATCTGTATCTTCACATATCAGCCAGTGATGCATACAACCGTTACTCTCCGGAGGAACTTCGACTAAAAGATTACGGTCTATAAATGTTGTGAAGGCTTAGTAGGGGTCTCAGATGAATTGCTCCAGAATCTGGCTTGCGGTTTGCTGCGTTAGAAGGTCTAAGTGATGCTGGCTGCCGTCACTCCTTCTTTACTTTTTCGGACTTTGGAGTCCTCCTGGATGTTGCTCTCGAGATACCACTCATGCGTCTTAGTCATAAGCCTCATCCTCCTAAATTCAAACTCGCCTCTCATCAATGCTTCGCTGAACAAAATGCCGCTTTATTTTGTTATCTTTTCTAATGATGGGTTGAATAGGTCTCAAGTTTTCATACTTTTAATCTAATACATAGTATGACGTGCCTAGCTGAGCATGATTAGAGCTACAAGTGGAAATCTGCCAAATATGGACTAGAAATAATACAAGATATACTATCTTGTTCCTCACACTCTATAAGCCACATGCCCCATAGCATGGTCCATGCGGAAAGAGATTCAACATACTACGAGCGGGAACTAACCTTTATTTGTGACATCAATTTGCTGCCATCTTCTACTACTACCGACTTCCGTTGCCTCGCAAAATTGTTACCAGCGACAGTTAGCATGATACTAGGTAGTATATAAACAAGTAGTACCCACTGCCGAAATTCGCGAGGGAATCCGGTAGGTGCCGGCAGCCCGACCCCTGTCCGAAGGATTGAGCCGGCAATACTATTACTACCAGGGGTTATAATTTGGTCTTCGTTTCGCAAACTATTGCTCCCATTAATGGCATGTAGTTTTCAAGCGGCTGAAAGGAAGCATTTGAACTTAATAAANCAAATTCTACTTAATGGAGTTGTTGAAAAAAAAAAAAAAAAAAAAAACTGACTCAAGTTACTGCATTTAATAACCTGTTGACATACTACTATTGTCGTTAAAGCCCAGCTGTGTTCGGCGTAAACAGTGCTGCCTGGAAGGAATGTCGCTTATTATAGCACTACCTAGTAGGTAATGATAACCGGCGCTAAGTATAAAGATAATGCATAGCTACTTAATTATAAGCAGTTCCTGGACTTTGAAAAATAGAACGCGTGTTCCTTGTAAGCTACGGCAATACTACTACGTAAGTAAAGAACTCTGTATACCTTATAACATAAATATAAACTCAGCCTAGTTTTATTTTTAAAAGGTTATATTTTCCGAGTTATGCTGCTAGTTAACCATCAAACCATGGCTATTATATAACCCGCTAAACTGCGAGATAGGAATATTATTATTCGCAGCTAAGCCATGCTTTGCAGCAAGGGCTAAGGTGAAAAGAGAAGCGGCAACACTTAACTTCTTGCTCGAGAAAACCATGTTGGCTGAGTGTATGTGAGACTGCGAGAGCAAATTTACAAGTTTTGAATAGCACAAGAAGATAGGAGCGAAGTCTTTTTGACCTGTAAGCAAAGAGATTGGATGTGCCACAAACTTGAGAGCGGTGGTGAATTCTTCTCCTGTATTACAACGGCAATCTATATGCTATATATACAGTTTCCAAGCACTCAATTATCTTGTTCTTTTGATTGATTGCAATATCTTGAAGGATGATTGCAATCTGTCAAAGGACTTTTTGCTCTTCCTCTTCTGTTTTCACTTTCTGTTTTTGAACTAACCGGTAAGCATACCAAGCCTGTTTGTTGATACGCTTTCATTGTAATATGAAGCGTGTGCTTATATTGCCTATCCTGACACGCTGGAAACTGCTGCCTTGAATCCTTCATGTGTGGATACATATTCATTGTTTCTACAAAAGGAAGGTAAAGATGTTTTTCATTTCCAATAAGCACACTCATTTGTAATATGCTCGAATGGATCTTGCCGATATAATGCCGCAGCAGACCATCTCATAAGATACTGAATCTTTCCATTGCTGGGTATAATGATACGCTCATCTTTTGCAACTTATCTCCTTCTATATTCATCATAGGCTACCCTTCGCTATTAACGCGACATGGCTGCTGCTGCTACTCAAGAGCCGGATGTGGCTACAACTCTCGTCAAAAGGCTCGGTTCTACTACAGCACGCCATTGAAGCTGCGGGACCTGCGGATCCTGTCACTGCCCATGAGCTTATTTGGCAACTCAAATCTTACGGCAAGGCGGCAGCAGTTGCGAGCAAAGAGTGAAGGTGACAAGATAGCCTTGTTTCAAGGTTGACTATCCCAGTCTCGCATGAACATGAGAATAGACAGGGGAAAAGTATATAAATGAAGACATTGCTTTATCTCGTCTTTCAGTCCAGCTATCCAACAAGCATTGTTTTAACAAAGATCAGCTATCCATTCATCTGATATCATCATGCGCGTCATCTCTCTTCTCCCGTTTGTTGGCGCTGCCATCGCGCTCCCAACTGAAACCCCTGGAGCAGCTCCCGCTAACAACATCACCGCGCCTGACGTTAACACCATCAAAGCCGTACCACAAGATCACTTCAAGAGCTATCAGACTGGTGGCTTGGTGCGCCAGTCTCTCAATTCTAAGGGATCAAAGTCCAAGCGCGACTGGACCTGCAGCACTTCGCCAACTCTGACCTGGGGCGACAGCGACAATGGCGGCAAGGGTATCTTCATCACCAACACCGACAACGACTGGCGGGGCTTCTACGCGTTCCACAACAACTGCGACACGATTCCTTACAAGTACATTTGGGTCGCAGCCGGCGCGACTCAATTTGTGTCCTTCCCTGATGGCTGGGAGGGTCGCATCCAGCGTGGAGTTGACGCAACCATGCTCAATGGCCAGGCTCACTGGCTCGGCACATGGTTTGAGTTCAGCTGGGACGCAAATGGCTGGGGCTGGAGCGACGTCTCTCTCATCCGTGGCTGTGACGGTCCTGTTCTGGTCAACTCTCAAGACGGCTCTGGAGCTTGGAAAGGATTCACGCAGGACATCTTGAGCAATGCGCCCAGCAACGCTCTTGACACTAAGGATGATGGACAGACGGTGCTCGCGGCCACCGAATTCATTGGCGGTGCCATCAACACGCCTCCTCGCGACTGGGAGCTCCAGCAGGTTGGCTCTCAGTACGTTTATGTCGATGACTCGCACGGCAGCCCCGTCATTGCAGCCACCAACGGCCGTTTCGGCACCACCTGGCCCGCCGGCCGACCATAAAGCTGGCATTTCGAGATGAAGCCTGTTTAATAACTTTAAGAGTATATATGTGTACATATATGTAAATACAGATAGCAAGAATTGTACAAATTATTGTGGAGATATTCTATGCCTATTACTAGTAACTGGTATTTTAACGTAAACAGTTGTCTGATCATGGCGTGTCAGAACTTTTAGAATCAGGGCAGTAATATTGAAAGCGGTGCGTTATTTGGTCTGTGAAATATGTATTTGTAGTATCGTAGTGCTGGAACCATCGGTCTACTATTAGCGATGATTCAGAATCAGTAGCAAAAAAAAATGACAATTGAAGGAGTGCTATCGATAACACGGCAGCAAGGAAGTGAAGTTCTTCTAATAATATTTTAAAGTGTGTTGCAGTATAGTAAGCTCTTGAGCAATAGTTAAGCATAAACATCTGGGTTTACTTTTTACTCTTCTTTTATACATACAATTGCTACCTTTATACACAAGTACTTATCATCAATATAGAATAGAAACGGCAGTACTTCGTGATGTATCTGATAGATGTCAGCTGTTCGCGTTACTCTAGAAGCATATAAAAGCTCTTGATCTTTTTCAATTGTACATAACAATATCCAATTATAGAAGTAAAAAAACGTAAGGTAAGTGTGGTCACAGTTAAGGCTGCAATAAGGCTAGTTCGAAATCCGTCAGGATCCATGGCTCCAGCACGTGGCGTAAGATGAGCCTAGACTATCCTGGAGTAGATCAATGTTCCTCTGCCCCGGCAGCTCTCTTGGTGAAACTCTCCGTTGCTGGTAAGATCACCACCTATCGGGCTTCATGGCCAAGGATTTACACAAAACTCAGGCCACGATGCAAAATCAGTCAGGGCCCGCTGTCTTTATAGATAACGTCCATCCCGATTGTTTGGTAATTAAATGTTAAATCTTTAAGCACGGAAATGTAAGATAGTACAGCCGAGAGACATCGCTGCTTGATGGCATTATATTACCGCATCACTATATATTACCGCTTATCACCGCATATTGCCGCTTGCTATTACCGCATTCTCGTATATTTCACGCGTTGTAAGATCAATCTCAGCACTCTCTATTCTATGCTGGATTTAAAGAAAATACAGCCATGTACTATAAGTAGCTGCAACTAGGCGCTGGAAATGACACTTTATCCAAAAAAGGACGGAACTCTTAAGACCGCTATAAAACAGTACATGATGATAAGATGAAGTTCGCACTATACCAGCCACAGGCTCGCAAAGCGGAAAGAAACTTTACATTGCCAAAAGCAGACACTAATTTCGGTCCCTGCTGTACTCATTTCGGGTGTCTACTGTAGTTTATGGAATTCCAATCAGGTAGGTAGGTATAGTACATACGGACAGCCATTATAGGCGATCTTGGTATCCAAGCTTTCTTGTTTGGGAGGCGCACATCAAAATGGAGAATATGTCGCAATTGACTCTTTTTAGCAGACTATTCAGCCCCCGGGTGGATAGCAAGATCCAAGCGTTTCTGGCCCTTCTCCAGCGCCCATCCATCAATATCCTATTGTCCTCCTCTCTAGCGCCGCATTCATCCAATTCATGAGCCCATGAAGATGCGGGGACACAGCCAATGAGTTGCGCCAAAACGTGCCAGTAAGCCCAACAGCAGAAGCCGGTAAATCCATCAGAGACGGAACATGTTCTAGCCCAGCGTTTTAGGCCATGGCGTTGATCATTTATGGGAGTGGACGGTTCCCGGCATTCCAACGTGCGGGGGAGATTGTATAGGTCTATAAAGGAGGGCGTGGACAGGAAGAGCCGGCCGCCCGGCAATACTGTATTGGGACAATTGGAGTAAAGATTAATAACAATTATTGGAGCTCTCCTCTCTTATTTTGACCGTTTAGAAGGGAGGTTTCTCTTTTTTAAACGCCCCGAATGTTTGACCATCTGGCATTCGACCTCTGGCTCAACCTCGAAACATCGTTCCGCAACACAACATGGATCGCTCGCTCGGCATGGACGAGGCTTCGCCGTCTTCGCAGGCCGCCATCGCAGACGTCGTCGCGGCTTATGCTGCTGGTCAGAAGAAGATCCATTGCGTCGACCAGCAGCACCGGCAGCACCAGGGCGCTCCTCAGCAGCAGCAGCAGCATCAACTGAGCAGCAGCCCGGAGAGGGAGTCGGGCTTTGAGCTGGAGAGGAGGGGCAGCAATGAGTCTGCGTCGAGACGGAGGCCGTCGCATTCGGGGTCGGGATTCCTGGGGACGATGCGATGATATTTTACTACACAATCGACTACCTTTTTGTTTTATTTACGAATTGCATACATTTTCTCGAGAAGAGAGTTCTTTTTTTTTTTTATTTCCACATGTCGACAATGGATGGTTTTCTGCGGCCTATGAGTTTGGTTCAGGGCCCGATTTACATGATGTTGATGGGGGGTTATAAGTGGGCGATGATGTCAGTGTGCATTATCGGATATTTGGGCTGTTGAGCGCTGGAGATTGATCAGCCTGGTTGACGAATTGGCAAGATCGCTGTTTTTATGTTACGTTCCGTGGTGGATAATATGATGATCATGGTTTTGATGGAGAGTTAATATTGCCGATGCCTTCTTTTCAAGTTGCTGGTGCAGAGTAGATGCACTGCGGGTTTATGCATGCGAAGTACATGTCTTGCCTTGCAAATGCAGGTCAAAGGATATAAGTGAAGGTCAAGCAAATGCCATATACTATAACTGCCAAAGTTGCCCTTTTTACACTTGTCACATATACAATACTAAAAAAATTATATATATATATACAAAGAATAGCGTCTCTTTCGTACTATCTCCCTCCAAGCCGCCTCTCCCACACGGCATATCCCGCATATGCCACCGCCGCCATCAGCGCCATCCTCCCAACTCCTACCAGTAAATTCTTCCTTGCCCGCCTCATAGCCTTTTCCCTGCCCTTGGCCTGGTTCTTCTTGAATGTCTCCCGGTCATTGGCACGCGGAAACGGCGCCTCTACCATCTCCCCCGTCTCTTCATCCCGGACCATCGGAACCGGGACTTGGAGATACTCGCAGAGAGGGCCCCAACCCTCCTCAATCCGATACTCGAGGCGCCGCTGTTCGGGAATCTCATCCCTAAAGCGCTGGTAGGTACCCGTGTACCAGGCAATGGCCTTGTCCTTTTCCCTGCGGTGATCGTACCGGAATGCAAGCCCGGACATGGCCCTGCCGAACTGTGCAAAGGCGCGCGTCGCCGGGTCGAAGACGAAGCAGAAGAGCATGCCCAGCTTGGCCAGTCGCGAGGTCGGATTCACCGACGCCATGATGGACTCGGACACGCTGCGGTACCAATCCTCCGGGTCGCGGTTCAGGACGATGACCTTTGCCTCTGGGTACATGGCTGCGAGCTCTACGCCAAAGAGTGCGGGGGGCACATCGACGCAGGACTGGCAGTTGCCGAGGACGGCGTCAAAGTCGGCCTTTGAGATTGTGCCTTGCCCGCCGAAGTGGGCTTCGATGAGGCGGATCCATTTGGGGGCTTCTTGCTGCGGGTTTTCGAGGATGTTGTGCATGTGGTAGCAGTCGCCGAAGCCGAGCTGCTGGAGGGCGATTCGCATGCCTGGCGTGGAAGTGTTGGCGGTGGCGATGCAATATAATATACATGGTATGAGTTGAGATGATATCAAGTGTGAACTTACTCAGGGTGCCTGTTCGCTGGACGCCGCAGACGATGACTCGCATGGGAACGAGACGATCTGGCGTGTTGGCCATAATGGGACGATTTGTTGGAGAATTGTATTTATTCGGATGGTGAGATGCAGATATCACGAGTGAATGATCAAACAAGGGAGAAATAATTTAAAGTTTCACTTGATTCTTGTCGAAACAGGGGAGCATTTATGGATAACAGAAGATCCCGTTTAGGCAAGTCGGGTTTAATTCAGTTGTCTCCGGCCAGGGCATATCTCGATCTCCTTCAAGCCACTACCCGCGGTCCACTGCGATCGGGATAAATGCCTTGTATAGTCAAACGACAAAACAATCGTGACAATGTTCCCGCGGGATACAATCGCCCGGCGTAAGATAGTAATAATACCTTAGTAGTGTTGCAACTTCTCGGGACCGAGCATTGATGAGATGAGCATTTGCTGCTGACGGGCCGATCCTACTACTACCATTTGTGTTAGCCGGCTGTTTGCATGTATCCATTGCCATTCAATTCGTATGCATCGGGTTCAATTATTGGTGGGGAATAGGATATTTATATGATTTCTATTTTTGTGAGCGTTTCATCGTTCGTATAGGAAGGATTTCTAGGCGGCTTATAGTCACGCACAGCCCCCACGGCGATGGCCTGAACAGCGAGGCGCGAGGTGCGCTCCAGAAATGCTTGTAAAGAGACGTGCGAATGCAATACATATATTCACGTCTTTCTCTTTTGCCTAACTTAGTTCCAGCCATCATTAGCATTCAGACTTGATTTATTTTTTATTATCTTCTTTGATTCTTATTTTTTTTTAATAAAATTCAGATGCTTATATGCGCTTTTGGTTTTACTCCAGGGTGAGGGCTGGCGTCATGATTGCATTCTAGAGAGACACTGGTGCTGAAAATGAAGAGAGCCAATCAACTTGAGACTGTTGCCTATAACAATCAAACAAACAAATGATTAAGTCTTTATAAATGATTGATAAAAAGTGAAGCTCACATCACTTCCAATGTTTTGTTTGGTTGGTTTTGTGTCTCCGTCGGCAAGTTCAGCTTACACGTACCAAACAGAAATGCTGCTTACAAGACACATGGCATCTTCCCAGCACAAATCGCATTTTTGGCCAAGTAGATGAATAAGGCATCAAGCTTTATGATTTAGATACGCGCTAGCTCCTTTCATTTTTTTTAATTCTTCAAGTACATTTTCGAGCAATTGCCCCTTTCCATGCTGCCCCCTCGCTTACGCCTTTCGTCGCTTCCCACCTTCTGATGCGTCTACTCCCGTAGATGCACCATTGTTTGCCGCGAGAATCGCATCCAAAAGTTCAGGGTTCGCATTCAGCATGTCCTGGGATTCTGATTTGATGCGTCTGGGGTCTAGCTTGCCGATGACGGGGACTGCTGTAGCTAGAATCTCCTGGAATGGAACGGCCACAAAGTAGCCGCTCTCGTCGAAGAAGGAGGCGAATGGCTTGGCCACCTCGATGATGTGTGACTTTGCGGATTTGTCTGTGACGGTAATGGAGAGTCTGTAGGTGGGATCCAGCTTCTTCGTTGTGCTGACTACTGTGATCTGTTGGGTTCCCTTGTCAGCTAGTGCACTGCCGTCTCCTATGACCTGGATTTCAAGTTACCTTCTCTCCAGATGGTGAAGTCCCCTGGTATACAACGCCCTTCTCGACAAACATCATCCAGAATGTCAGAGCACCGTTTAGAAGAGTATAGAGGGCCACCGCGATGGCTGTGTAGATTTTGGTGTCCTCAAAGCCCAGCTTGTAGTCCCATGCGAAACATGCTGCGCAAATGACGAATGCAGTGTATCCAAGCCCTAGCCGCACGTCGCTCAGGAAGTGTGTCTGCTTGAATTTTAGAGAGTTGAGGTAGTTGGGAATCGCATCGTCGGCCGTGTTCTTGAGATCTGTGGCCACGGTGTCAGAACAAGAGAGACTCGACCAATTGCACGCCAACAAATGTAGCCATCAGTCGAGCTTGGGCTTACCGGCGAGGTTATATAGGGAAATCTTTTCTGCAGCCATGGTTTCGGTTGTGTTGACGGAATCGCAGGTGTCGCAAAGCGCTGGCGCTGGTGTAAGTTGAGGCAGAGGTGGCCTGTAGTTTACCTTTGTAGTGGCTTAATTAGTGCTGCGCGCTGATCGTGGGGTGTTCAGGTGGCAATTGGCTCCAAGGCGACAGCTGTGCCGGAAATATGGGGCTTTCTGCGGCTGCCGGCGGTAGGATACTCCGTAATAGCTGTCCTCCACCTCATCATTCCCAGCTAAGCTATCCATTGACTGCATGCCTCGTAATATCTCACCCCTCTATAGCAGCACCATTGCCAACCGCTGACGGCGCCGCATTGGATTCGACTGCGCCTGAGCAGCCAAGCAAACCACCATCATGGCGCAAATCCCAGCTCAGACCCTGCACAGGGATCCCCAGCTCTTGTACGTGTCCCCGCGGCCGTGGCTCCAGCCGGCACAGCTAACGTGATGCTTCTGCTCATAGCTACTGGATCCTCATCCCCATCACCATTGTCATGGTCCTGACGGGTGTCCTCCGCCACTATGCATCTGTCCTCATGGCAACCACCCCGAAGAAGGCCGACATCAAGACCATCCGCGAGCAGCGTGCCCTCGCCCATGGCGCCAACCTGAAGACCAATTACCATGTGCTGTCACGCAAAGCCTTCGAGACTCGCCGAGACTTCCTGATTGATGGGTTTGAATCTGGTGCCTACCTGAAGAACCCGCAGCAAAAAGGCCAGCCTCCGGCGAACCCCCTGTCGGACCCGAATGCTATGGAGGGTATGATGGGCATGATGAAGAACAACATGGCCATGATTATTCCCAACACATTGATCATGAGCTGGGTCAATGCGTTCTTCAGCGGATATGTCATCAGTATGTCGTCAAAATTCTTGCCGGAGAGATGACTCTTTGTGCTGACCACGCGCAGTGAAACTGCCGTTCCCTATTACCATCAAATTCAAGAGCATGCTGCAGGCTGGAGTTCAGACCAAAGATATGGACCCTCGCTGGATGTCCAGTATCAGCTGGTACTTTTTGTGCATCTTTGGACTCCAATTTGTTTATGTGTTCCTCCTTGGTAGCGATAATGGTATGTGCATGCACAACCCGGTCCTGATTAAAGGACGTTGAAGCAGACATTTAACTAACAACCTAAACCAGCCGCTAGCCAAATCGCCCAGCAGATGCAGGCCCAGCAGATGCCCGTTGGTCCCATGGCCCCTGGCCAGGACCCTAGCAAGATGTTCAAGGCCGAGGCTGAAAACCTGGCTGTCATTGAGCATTACTCTGTCTTGGATGGTGTCGAGGAGCGACTCCTGGAGAGGATCCGGGTATAGAATGTTTGTAGATTTTTTTTTAAAAACAAAATGACAAACATGATATTATCAATAAATTGTACCCCATAACGCCTCTAATCATACCATTAAGCACCATCCCACCATAAGCATACTCCAAGACCTTCAGCGGCCATGCTGCCCTTGATCTTGTAGGGAGTCTTTGCCGGCGTGTCTTCAGCTGCAGTAGGACCGGCCGGGGTTTGGTCGTGCCATTCTTCGTCAATAACCTGAAAACGAACCATTTCATGGTTATCATAGAATAGACGCTCTTCGTCAAAGTTCCATATCCAAATTTGCTCGCTATGATTACTATTCGGCGTTGTTAGCGCTTGTGGCACGTTGACCTTGGAGATATGAATAAGAATGAGACTCACTATTCAGCTCCCTGGGGCAGCTCCTCATAGGGCACGAAGATGTCGTCGAAGAAATCTGTTCTTAGGTGGATTCCAGAGGGAGTCGAGCTGCGTATTCTGCCAAGCATCACCTCCCCCTTGAAAGGTCTAAAGACTATCATCCGAAACTCGACTGGTTTTGGTGTAAGCATATTTAGGACATGAGAAGGGAAATCCAGTCAGTGCAGCATACCATTAACATTGACTAGGCCTGTTCCATGGCCTATCAGACCCTCCGATGTCCATAAAACGTCGTATAGTGAAATACATAGTCCGATTTTTTGAACCACCTGTGCCGAATGATGAGCCTTAGCTACTTTCCCTACCACCAAAACATGCGGCGTAAACGCTAACCTTGTTTGCGTATTTCGCATTAATGTTATCCTCTATTGCCACGATGCTGTGCTTGGAGAAATCCTCTGGAGAGATCTGCACCAGATCGGAAAATTTGGTCTATGACTCTGAGGGTCAGTGATGCCATGCGAAATACGTACTCATAAAATCAAGACTTCTGGCTACATACCAGGATAAACATTCTTCTAGATTTTCACAAAAAGTCCAATGGCCTTCTCAGCAGTGATTCATAGGCGGCGACGAGAATAAGAAACCATCACGGATGAGATGCCGTCCTCAGATGCATTCCATTCCGGTACCTTGAGTATGCAGCTCTCACCAATAATCGATTGTGCATCTCATAATCTGGAAATACGTACAAAAAAGTTAAGAGCTCTCGGCGACATGCTTGCTGAGTAAGAACAAGCTAGTCACAATGTGGCTAGCTGCGCGGCACTTCGCTCTGGACCGAATCCCACCGCCTTCTTTTATCAGACTAGCGCACCCTTATGCCCGGTGGCACTTCGTTTTCTGGGAAAGTCAGACATCGTCGAGCATCTTGCCGTCGACCATCATCGTCAGACGCACCTGAGCAGCGTCTTTGCCACCAACATCCAGGTCTACATCACTTCTCGCCTGGAATTTCGCCGCATCGTGTCAATTCACATTTTCTGTTTCTCAATTTGAATTCTTATCTTGTTTATCGTCGTCCAATTCCTGCTCCTGCGTTGCAAGCTGCCCGTCGAATCCGAGAAGTCTCGAAGTCCGACACACTCTTTCGCCTTCTTTTGCGTCCGCCTCTTGCTCGAATATTCCAGCAGCCGATGCTGCCTGACACTGTTTGACTTGATTCCAAAACAGCCAGATCCGCTCCATTTTTTCTACATGAATTCATGAACAATGTCGACGTACAACTACGCACCACCTCCCCCTCCGCCCCCTACGTCGGGCAGCGCCAGCTACGGGCAGTCGAGTTCGACTCCTTATGGCCAGAATCGCGGCGGCGGATCGGGCAGTCGTCGAGGCGGCCACTACCATGGAAGCCGTGGCGACTATCACAGCTCGCAACCGCGATACGAGTACACTGGGCAGCCATATCCAGCCCAGCACGCAGTCCCTTACGGCAGCTCTCATCCGCCGGCGAATAGCTATCCAGCTGCTCAGCCGCAGTGGGCTCCAGACCACAGCCATGCTTCCGCACATCACGCACATCCGCATGCTCCTGTACCGCTCTCTGCAACAAACTATCACCCAAATTACGCTCCTCAACCCTATGCTCCGTCTCAATACCCCCAGCAGGCCCCTTATGCCGCCCCTCAACCCTACCCCTATCAAGCTCCCCCTCCTCCACCAAGCCAGGCGCAGTGGAGCGGTCAAGGAACTCATCAGACATACGGGAATAGCAGAGGTCGCGGAGGAGGCTACAGTGATCGTGGAGGCCACAAGCCATCCCAGGGCGTGCCTCCCGCCCGCCACAGCCATGAATATGAGGCGGCACCTCCGCCGATAGTTGGCGGCTTCCATCAACCATACCCCCCTGATCCTCGAGTTATGCATTATCCTCCACCACAATATGCTTATGCAGCTCCTCCGCCTCCTCCTGTTGCCGCTCGCCACCAAGACTCTTCACACGGCCAGTATCCTCGTCGAGGGCGGGGTGGCCATAGAGACGGCCATGGCAAGGGGCGGGGTAGTCATCACTCCCATCATCATGGGGCTAACGATAAAACACGTCCACCAAAACCATCCAATAACAATGTGGATAACTCTTCAAAGCCAGACAAGTCCGAGTCTCCTTCAGTCGGTAAAAAGAAGAAGAGAAAGACCAATACGTTGGGCCTAACACCTGGCGTTGACTCGGAAACTGAAGATGATGAAGGAGAGGAGAAAACCCTGACCGAGCTAATTGGCCAAGAAACTCTCAAGTGAGTCATACCATCTTTTATACTTCCAACTATATTCTTATTAACCACGTTTCCTTGGTTTAGTATTAGCGATGTTGCGGCTTTTATCGCCGAACGAAAGAAGAAGTTTCCCACCAGAGCGCGCATCGAAGCCAAAAAGGCCGCCGAGTTGGCGCGAAAAGAAGAGGACAAGGCTGCCTCTCTGGAGAAGGAAGCCGATAGACTGAGAAAGCAACTGCGAAGAGTCGAGTTTTCCATCAAGAGGAAGCGAGAGCAGGGTGATGAGGGTGACGAGATGCGAGAGCCATCTGATGACTCGTCTGATGATGAGCCAGAAGTAATGTCCAGCCGCACTCAACCCGCACCTCCTCCTTCTTCCTCGGCCAGGAAGGCTGATATTACTAGACATTGCAAATATTATTCTACTGGTGGAACTTGCGGGAAGAAGGGCAAGTGCCGCTTCGTCCATGATCCCCAAGCTAGGGAAGCGGCGATCAAAGAACGCGAGGCCAACAATGGTCGTTTGACTATCCAGCAGCGGTTGATTTTGAACGACAAAGAGCAAGAAGACTTGGCTATCCTCCAATCCATTCAATATCTTCGCGAGAAGGGCCTCATGAATACTGCTGGAGCTTCGGCGGCGGTTCCCCCCAGTTACGAGGAAAAGAACTCAACATCCACATCCACATCCACATCCACATCAATGCCCACATCTACGCTCACGTCGACATCTGCGCCTGCTTCTGTTTCTACGCTGCCACCTTCTACGTCCAGCCTCCCTGCTATCCCACCACAGCCCGCTAAGCGAGAGCCACCTCGTAGAAGCAATCCGCCTCCCTCTATCATTCCCACCGCTAATAGTATCAGCGCTCAGGGGTTGAAGCATTATCAGGGCTGGCTCCTGAAACCGTACGGAAGCTCAAGTGGGAAGCAGTCACGGAGCGACGATCTACCTTGATTGGGTTGTTTTAGTTGCGCTCGCACACAACCATTTTCATTCCTTTCTCCTCAAACCATCTGAAAAAGCCAAACTCGGATGTTTATATGCACATCTACACGTTGTTAGATGTCGTTTCTACAAACCCCATATGCACCTGCTGTTTTATTCTGTTCTTGTTTCAATGTGTGCTTGCCGTTTTGTTTTATGAAAAAATTATTCATTGGGCGGAGTTTGCTTGACAGTTTTGCAAGTGTGACAATGTCGACCTGGGGGGGAAAAAAGGCGGCGCCAACTGGCTGCTAGGATCTTGAACATGAGCTCGGCTGGATGCCTTGAGAAGCAATGTTCTAACCCCAGCTGGGACTATTCACACACATTATTCTCATCGACACCACTCATGTTTTTCTTCTTCTTTTTTTCATATTTGGTCTGGTGATTCCTTAAAGGCTTGCTTGTCTTTCTTTCGAGCTCAACTCGTTTGGGTGCGAGGAGAGACAAGAAGTTGTCTGCCTTCACAATGACTAACGGTTCTCTCTTTCTCATTAACAATTTATAGGATTCAGTTGATTGGGTCGAAAAAAAGGAGCGTGAAAAAAAAGCCAAGGATAAATCTGTTATTTACTATTCGTTTATATAAAGGCCGGTGTAACTGTTGTTTTCTATACTTTTTTGCTCGAAGATATGGTTCATAGGTTCACGGTAGCCAATACGATATTTTCGTTTTCCAATAAAGATTTTGCTTATAAATATATATCAGAAGCACGATTTGACAATTATACACATTGGTTGGCTTTCCTTGTCAAAATAATAATACTAATAAAAAAGCTAGCTCTTGTCCAATTCCAGACATTGTAGTCAGGTCCTTGTTTTTGCGCCTTGTAATGCAAATCCAGTCCTCCAAGAAACACCGCTAACAGAAAATCAAAGCCGAAAAGAAAAGAAGAAAAAGAACAGCACAAAATAGCAAATCATGAAAAGAAGAAGAAAAGAACAAGAAAAGAACAAAAAAAAAAAAGGAAGAAGAAATACTACCAGAAACAATCCACCAAAAGCCTGCGGAATACCACAAAACTTTTCTTTCTCTAATGATAAAACTCCGTCGCTAATGACTTGGACAAATGGTCTGCCATTTGTTTCTGTTGCAACGCTGCCCAACGCTTCTTCTCCTTCTCCTTCTCCTCCTTTCATATTGTTTTCCCCAACGCCTACTCTCTTCCATTCTTCATTAATTCCGCTCAGTATCTGCGTTTCGAATCGTCAAGAAACGAAAATTGTTATTTTCGCTCCAAAAATTTAAATCAAAAGTCAATAGCCGGAGAATATGTTGTAGAGAAAGAGAATCGCGCATCGAAAACAAGGGTATACCGCCGAGAGAGTGGAAGAAAGTCGCCCTCTCCTCTCATATATTCAAAGCCATCCTATTCTTGCTCTCAGCGTCGATTTGCGCGCAGAGATTCGAGAGCTTTGCGCTTTTTCTCCTCCTTTGCCATTTTGAGTGACTTTTCGAGCTGCTGCTCTCGCTCATCTTCACGCCGAGCAATTCGCTCTGCCATTCGCTCCTCATCGTCGATGTCGTCCATGCCGGCTTCCATGTCAGATGATCCATCCGATGCATAATCATAGCGTTGACCGTCGTCTTCTTCGTCATCATAATCGATGAAGTCATCCATGTCCTCGTCATAATCGTCTTCATACCGTGATCGTCTAGATGAGTTGGATCGGGGAGGAGGGGCATTGAGAAGGGCTCCGCCTCGTGGGGCGTTGCCCTTCTTCAGCGCAGCGCCCGGCTTGGGACGTGCCGTTCCGGTGTAACCGGTAGTCGCCAACGCTGCCTTCTTAACTTTCTTCTCTGGCTCTGGCACAGAAGCCTTCCTAGAAGGTGCCGCGACCTTCGAAGGCTGTCGAGAAGCAGCGCCATTCCGATCAGTCTTTGAAGATGCATTCCCGTTGGTACCGTTGCGCTGTCCCGGCTTCGATGATCCCTTGTAGCCAGTAGGGGCTTTCCTGCCTTGGGCACCCAAAGGTGCGGCCTTGACATCACCCCTCTCTTTGTCCTTCTTGATAGCTCCCCCCTCCACCTTTTTATGCTGAATTTTCCCAACCTGGCCCATGACGGCTTGTGCCCGTTGGGCTCGAGCAAGAATCTCCGCATACGAGCCCTTCTTCGGAGGAGCTTTAGGCTTGCTTGGATCAACGGGGGGTGGTGCTGGCGGCCTACTGGCAACTACTGGCCTAGCCGGTCGATTCGCAACATTGTTAGGCTTTGAAGGGATCGGCAGCGGTTTTGGCAGAGTAGAGGCCGCGGGTCGCTGTGGTAGTTTTGCAGGCTGTGCGAATAGACGCGGTGTCTTCGAGTCATTCCTTGTAAGATCATCATCGGCCTTTCGTTTGATAGAAGCGCTCTGCGGTCGTTGAACGGCCGGCGCAGGGTTGTCCGAGGACTTCCCGCCGCTGATTTGGGCTAGAAGATCTCCGATCTGGTCATCTAGATTAGCCACTGTACCTGTTGATGCCCAAAGGTGGCCAGAGGGGAGGAGAGGAAAGGATAAGGCAACCCACCGGCATCGTGTCTATCGCGAGACTTCTAGTCCTTCAAAATCGAGATTATTCCAGCTAAATTTCTCACGTAGCCCTCCCAAATCGATTACACGCGGCGATGCATAGATAACGTCGCTCCTCGGCTCATCCAGCACAGAGGAAGCGAATCGGCGCGAAGCACGCTCCCCTCAAACCAACAGGCAAAAGCCTTTCGAGTGGCGCTTTCGGATCTGTATGCGTACCGTGCGGTTATGGAGGAGATGTCCTCAAAGGGGGAAATGAAAGATAATCGAATATAGCGATATTTGGCCAGCGAAGATGAAGGGAATAAAACGGGTATCTATAACAAACTACTACCATCAAGAGAAAAAGCGTTCAGAAAGAAAGGCTGGCTCATGCCGGCAGAGCTACGGCTAGAAAACAGGCTGACGCCACACGGCTTTGGAACAAGGCAAATGTCCACGTGATACCCTGATTATCTGTGGCGGTGCGATAAGGAGATGTGGCTGGACCCCACGCCCTAACGACGATCGTTTTCGGCTAGCAGCAATTTTAGCGCCCACAATGTAAAATGCCCTGCAACTTTCTATTTGTGGGAACTTTTTTTCCAAACTTTTGTTTCGACAACAAGCCATCAACCACCACCAGAACTCGAAGGCTTCAGTCTCCGCCCAACTTGCGGTTAAAGTGATTGATTTCTCGTGTTCCTCTTGAACCTCCTAAAGTGAGTTGCCTCTCTCTTCATCGCTGCGTCGATTGAATCAAACTTGATATCGGATATCACTGTCTGTTCCATCGAGTTTGCAGAATCCGCTGCTTTCCACATCCCCGCCGCCTTTGGAAAACCAAAAAAAAAAAAAAATAAAAAAAAAATCGAAGATTTCTAACAATTCTTTCTTTCCAGAAACTTTCAAAATGAAGCACCTCGCAGCTTACCTCCTGCTCACCCTCGGCGGCAACGCCTCCCCCTCTGCTGAGGACGTCAAGGCTGTCCTCAGCTCCGTCGGCATTGAGGCCGAGGATGAGCGTCTCGAGAAGCTCATCTCTGAGCTCTCTGGCAAGGACGTCAACGAGGTATGATTTTGACCCCAATGAAAATTTTCACACTGGCATAATCTAACAGTCTCTCTCTTCTAGCTGATCGCCGCTGGCTCTGAGAAGCTCGCTTCCGTTCCCTCTGGCGGTGCTGGCGGTGCTGCTCCCGCTGGTGGCGCTGCTGCCGGTGGCGCTGCCGCCGCTGAGGCTGTTGAGGAGAAGGAGGAGGAGAAGGAGGAGTCCGACGAGGATATGGGTTTCGGCCTTTTCGACTAAGCGACCTATTTCTAAACAGGATCCGCAAAGTTACGACCCTCTACGAATTTCGGAAAAGTTACGAGCATGTTGTGCGGTTAGCCTTTCATGGCTCTGGTGGCGTGGGAGGATTGACTGCTCATGGATGGCACGGTGGCTCTTATAGGCTGAACTGATAGGTCCAATCATGAAATTGACGACTTGCCGTTTTTTTTCGAATACCCGTTCTGCTCAAACTGTGTGACTGGTTCGAATGTGATTTTGCTCTGTAGTTGAGGTGAAAGCCATGCTAAGCTTTTCTCCTGCGTAGGAAATTTGGCTTACGTGAATTAAAGGGCTCCGTCTCTCGAGGCACCAAGTGGTTTTGTTAGTCTCAACTTGTGGAGTGTACTCTGTCCAAGTAAGCTGTTTGGACTACCCTACATGAAAGATTTTTCTGAACGAAAAGCAACAGAACACTTGATTTAGCATTCTTTTAGGAGAAGATGCGGAATTAAGATGCTATTATTTGTTTGTATTTTAATATAGTCCTAAAAACTACACTGATCAGGCTGGTTTGTCAAACGAAACCACAACAAATATTCATCATCATCAAAATCTAGGCCATCATCATAACCTCTGCTCCATTTTGTTCTATAACACATGCATAAATCGTCCCATTCCAATCATAAAAATACATATATGAGCAATTTGAACTTTTCATCCATCAAATCATATTACTCGGTGCAAACTTATCCGGATGATATGTCGCCTCCGGCGCTGCTGCCCAAGAAAATATCTGACGCCGCCTCGCAGCATCGAGCTCCTCGTATTCTGGTAGCGGCGAGTTTCCTGGGTCATACGAGGCAGGCAACTCAATAGGAAGAACTGTATTTCGTTGAGGTTGCAACCGAGCTGCAGGTGGCGGACTGCTAAACTGTTAGTTAGAAATGGACACTCTAAATGTCAAGGTAACAGGCGACCAAAGTGAGACAGAGAAATCATCTTTACGACTTACTTGTATGATATGATGCTGCTACCGTCCAACTCTCTGGCAAGAGAGCTCGCCACCGTCACGGGGTGATAAAAGTAAGGCTCATTGTTGATTGGCCGCTCAGGAGGCAAAGAAACCTCTCGCACCTCTGCCACAGTCCCAAACTCCGCGGGCGCTGCTGTAGCATGTCCCGAATGCACATTCTGACTTGAATTCTTCCTCCAGCGTTTGTCGAGCTTTGTCCTGAAGGATCCAAGGTTCGGGGCAACATTGTGCATGGAGGAGCGGCGATTGCTGCGGCGGCCGGCGAAGAAGAAGAAGGCGGCGACGACGCCGACGATGGCGGAGCTTCCTATGGCGATGGCCACGATTTGCGCTGTAGTATTTACTGAGGTGGGCTGTGTTGTAGGTGGATGTGTAGTCGTTTCTTCTCCTTTAGTGTCTGAAAGCGTTGTAGGAATAGGAGATGATGAATTAGAGGCCGTTACTTGTGGCTGAGCTTGAGTAGTAGGAGAATATGATAATGATAATGATGATGACGACGATGATGATGGCGAAATAGGGGAGGTTATAAATGTCGATGGTGAAGAAGAGATGGAAGATGGCGTAGATGATGATGATGATGATGATGATGATGACGGTGATATTGATGTTGTTGTAAATGATACTGTATGAATGGAGTTGGTAGAAGATGGTGATTTGGTCGAGACTGCTTAAGATTGCTTTGTTATTACAGTTCTCCACGCCACCCCTCAATATTGCTACATACCAATAGACGTTGATGCTCCATCATGCACCGCTCGACACAGAACCTTCTCACCAAACATCACGGCCGCAAACGCCGTTATTCGAAAACACCACATCGCGCGTAAGCAGTATGAAAGCAAAGCGGTTCGATTCTCAGTACTCCTGAAAAACGATGCTATCGAAAACCATGTTGGCGAGCCCTGGTTAAATGAAGAGGGGAGAGGTGAAGAAGAGGAGTCATTTTCGGACTTGATTCCGATCTCAACGTTAAAGAAAGATTTCCGAAGGGTCATGGCGTTAACCGGATGCAAGAGAGCAGCAAGCTTGTCCCCCGAATGCCCTGTTTCGCCTCATCGGAGAGAATGGAGAATACCTGTAGCCACGGATAGACCACTTGATGGCCTTGCGTGATCTTGAAGTCAAGGGGAAATGCGAGGCAAGATGCCGGATTTGGAATACTACAATATTGTCAAACATCGGAGAGTAAGATTAAGAGCATTGGGCACCTTTGTTGCCAAAGCTTGGTTCTATCTGATCTGACATTCTGAATCTGCTTCGGATATCTCAGTTAAACAAGTCTATACATAGCAAATGCCGAAGGTTAAGGTAGTAACTGTAGAATCTGATTATGGGTTGATGATTATCTATGGGGATTTCTGAGTATTAGATAGTCTGCCACCACCCCTGCCTTCTTCTACGCCGTTGGTTTGCCGCTTTCGTTACTACCTGGCTCGGCAGTTGGAGATTTGGCAAACAAGGGGTCTCGTTTGTTTACAATCTCTGGTGACAAGAATCTCTCTCGCATAAAGAATTCGACGGACAGTTCCTCTATGCAGCCTGTTTATATGGGCCAGCTTTATCTTTCTCCAGCTCTCTTTCTTAGTCTAACAATAACGCTACGGCTGTAGCCGTATTCACTGTGTTTTCGCCTTCACCTTGCCGCCACTTGGCAAGAAGTCGGTTTCCCGTAACAACCTCCAAAAACACCAAAGATAGCAGATGGAGAAACCTGCCGCACCTACGCCGACGTTGGCGACAACCCATAAATCTGGCTTGCCAGGTGGCGGTATGACAGAAGCCTCCAGGACATGCCACGCCGCCATGGTGACGTAAAAGGTGCTTTGTAGCAGAGCTGTGCCCCACTGGACAAGAGCAGATTGTCCTTCTTGGAACGGTGCACTCCAAGAGGTTGGAGGGAGGCCTAAAAGGTATGCCCAGAGGAGAGTGAGGGCTGTATATGGCACCCTCAGGTCGACTCTGTGTAACAAAGGGAACAATGTCCAAGCTCCGAGAAGATTGGCAAAGCCCACCCAAGCACGGACTTCGCCGCTCATTCCTTGTTTTCCGGCTAGCAGCAGCGTCATCGGCATCAGGGGTAGAAGGACGCTCTTCTCGTGGACCTGCCAGCTGAAGAGGAAAAATCCCCATGCGGTGGCCGCAAACGCTAGCGGAAGAGCCGACTTTCGCGGGCGTAAGAACAGGATGATATTGGGAGGGATTATGGAAAGAAGGGTCATCCCGAGAGCGGCTTTCTGGAGGAGTTCCACGGGGAAATTGCGCAGCTTGATGACGGTATTGAGCGCACACCAGAAGTTTGCAACTTTGTCTTCGAAGAGGCCACGAGAAAAGGGGAAGACCCGGTGAACCATCTGGACCAGCTGCTCAACAATTGGATAGTAGAAATGCTGAGTATCAATGTAATTGGTGATGAATGAGAAAATGGGAAGTGGTGCCGCAGACCCTTTAAGCTCGGGCATAGCGTCAATGCCGCGGTGCTTGTCGTAGAGCACACCAAGAGCCAGAGGCAGAACCAGCACACCGAAAGAAATGATGGTGACTAGTGCGATACCGAACAACCTACTGGGATTGATACCCGTGGTGATGCATCTTCCCAGAAGATACGAGAAGACACTAAAGGCATAGTAGAGCGCCATCTGTTTAAATCCAAGGGCGGCTACAAAGAAGACAGCTGCCCACATGTACCTCTCGGCAAGCATGCTCGACATGCTGGCCACGACGAAGCCAAGCATAACGGTGTTATACTGGAAGTGAACGTGGTCGATGAGAATCGTAGCTGGCTGCATGAGAATAGCTACGAGGGCCAGATTGCTCGTCCAAGTATTCACCCCATTGAGCCGGCTGAATCGCCGCACAAAGACAGTCGTGGCGGGAACAAAAATGAGGAACTCGGAGATGATGACAGTCGCTCTCATGAAGATTTTTAGTGTTGGATCGTGGGAGCCGCGCGAGGACACCAGGGCGAACCACTCGGGGTTGATCAAGCTTCCAATCTTGCCCAGAGCCCAGCTATGGTACGCCGTGAGAGGAGGATAGTCGAGCCCCCACCATTCCAAGTCATGGAAATACCACTGAGAAATGGGCAGATGCGCGGTGATCTCCATCCAATGGCGCTGGGCCTCGTAGTCGCCAAACAAGGGCGGTCGTTGGAATCCTATAAGAACAAGCCGTCTTCTTGTCAGCCGCTGATCAGAGGAAAGCAAACATTCGCATCGCCATTTTCGCAGGCCTCACCAGAGTATCCCCAGAGCCCGGCAGCCCATCGAAACAGCCCAACCACCATCAATACCAGCGGCAGCACCTCCCATTGGGACAAGGACGTGCGCGCCGGCCACAGAAAGGCCGCCAAGGGGAACGACGGCGTGCGCACGAGGGCTTCGGATCGCACCCGCACAGGCTTGTCGATGTCATTGTCGGATTTCTTAGGCTTCCGCCGAGGCTTGTGCGGCGCTGGGCTTGAGGACGACATTGTCACCGCATGGGATGAGGGCTGTGGCTCGCAATGCTGCTTCTTGCTTGTGATGCTCGCAGATGGAGATGGACACTTGGAGCTTTGGCGTCAGTCAGGGCATCTCCATATTGGGAAACTGCAGTGGAGCTCCAGGGAGCCTAGCTGCCAGACATACAGTGCAAATGGCGCCGTTACAGCGTAGATGGCACTATAACGATAGGTGTGTGGGTGGTGATAACTCGGCTACGCAGGCCGGTAGATGCTCGGAAAGATGGCCACGCGCCAAGCCGTAGTTAGCTAATCATTACGTTGTTTATCAACGGGCTTTTTTCCATGGACTTTTGGGACTTTTGGGGATTCTTGGTGGGGGCGAGCAAACTCGATTGAACAAACAACGCCAACAAAGCCTCCATTGCCATCCGCACGCTTCACCCGGCTGTTGTTTTCGGCGCAGGCGGATTTCTCTTGCCCTGAGACTTTCTGCTGAATAATGGCGAAGAGATAGTCCGTCTCAAGTATAGTACTGATTGGCGGCTGCGCTGCCCGCCACGGACTGCGTCGCCTGTCAAGGAATGCCCTTTTGCTTTGCGACAATTCATCGCAGTCGAGATATACCAGATGACCATGTTTCTCCCTAGCAGATTTTCTGCCTCGCCGCTATTGCGAACGCTGTACCACGGTTCGTAGCTCTGATTGACTCGCCATTGCTGCTCGGCGCCCCCCCGTTTGCTAACGACCTGATAGCCTCCAGTTGCGCGTCCAGACCTCGTCAGGCCTCGCCGACTTTATGCTATAAATCGATGTCACAGGCGCTGCGCTCTTATTCTAGCGCACCTCTATCCTCGTCTCCAAAATTTTCGTATCACATCGCCGCGTCTTTTATCGCAAAGGATCGCCCATATGACCCATCCACTCACGTCTTCCATTTCAACCCGTACAATCGAATCCAGCCTCCCCGACATCGCCGAAAGTCCTCGCGACCCGAATCTGGCCACGATGCTTTCTTCGTGAGCCGAGTTAATGAGTCGGGCTCTGTGGCCTTTGGCGTCGCAGATGGAGTGGGCGGCTGGGTGGATTCTGGAGTCGACCCGGCTGACTTCTCACACGGATTGTGCGACTACATGGCCGCCGTGGCATACGAATACCCCTCGGGCAACGATGCGCCTCTCACAGCAAGAAAACTCATGCAAAAAGGGTACGAGGCGGTATGCGAGGATCCAAATGTGCCCGCTGGCGGCAGCACGGCTTGTGTTGCGATTGCGAGACCCGAGGGCGTCTTGGACGTGGCAAACCTCGGCGATTCGGGCTTTCTACAGCTGCGACTTAACGCGGTACATACATACTCTGAACCACAAACCCACGCGTTCAACACTCCATTCCAGCTTTCAGTCGTCCCGCCTAGTGTTGCCGCTCGGATGGCAGCCTTTGGCGGATCGCAGCTCTGTGATTTGCCGCGGGATGCTGATGTAACACACCACCACTTGCGCCATGGAGATGTGCTGGTCTTTGCTACCGACGGTGTGCTAGACAACCTGTTTAACCAGGATATTCTTCGGATCGCTAGCCGAGTCATGGCGACGAGTGGCGCATGGAATATGGCTGCCAATGAGGCGGTCACCGTGGCTGATTCTCTGGACAGCCTTACGGGATCTCCATATGAAAATAATGCAGCAGATGGGAAGACGAAGAAAGCCGTGACATTGCAAAGTTTACTCGCGACCGAGCTAGTCCTGGCTGCGAAGCAGGCAAGTGTAAACACAAAGAGAGATGGACCATTCGCCAAGGAAGTAAAGAAATACTATCCCCACGAAAACTGGCATGGGGGTAAAGTGGACGATATCTGCGTTGTCATCGCCGTTGTTTCGGAAGATGCAGCTGGCATCAAAAGCAAGCTCTAGAAGATTAGAGCAAACCAATTCGCAATATTGAATGAATAGAATTTAGACATGCCCAAGGCAAGCATATGGACTATATGGTTAGAGGGAGCTTGGATTGGACTTATAAATGGGATGAAGACTGGGTTATTTTGCTAGCAATTCGTTCGCATTGAGTTGATGCGGTTGTCCATTTGTGTACATTATATAACAAGATTAAACATATTATTAAACCAGTAGAAACGAGAAGAAAAAAAATCAAATAGAGTGAGAGCTAAATCATTTGTAAACTCTTCAACTTGGCAAATAGTTTGCTGCAGCGTGAACAACAAAATGATAAAAGGACGGAGGCTGGTTGACGTTTATGATGTCATCGACCCGATGATGTATTGAATACATGTATTTGCATCTCGTCCACCGCCATAGCGCTGCATTCTTTCACAGCAAAGAGCCATGTGAGCATTCAATATTCTTGAAAGGGTTACAATGAAGGAAATATACCTGGTAAGGCTGTTCTTCGCGCGCGCTTAAGGGAAAGCGTTACGATCTTTTTTGGCATTTACACGATATGGAACAGGCCGGTGCCGCAGCGGCATTCACAGTCGATATGCTCATATATCCTCTCGATACGCTGAAGACGCGCTATCAGAGCCAAGATTTCGTGCCCAAGTCTGCAACAGCGCCCAATTCAAAGCCTCTGGCCTTGCGTGGCCTGTACCAAGGCATAGGGAGCGTGATACTGGCTACTCTCCCAGCAGGTATAGCATGATATCGATCTTTGTTCTTATTTGTGCTGTGAATTTACTGCATATAACCAACCCATGAAAAAGGATGAGCTAATTTTTATTCTCTTAGCTGGAGTATTCTTCGCCACGTATGAAAGCGCAAAGGGTATATTCGGGCGGCATTTGTCTGTGCCTCAGCCAATGGTTCATTCGTGTGCCTCATCTGTCGCCGAGATGGCATCCTGTCTCGTCCTAACTCCAGGAGAGGTCATAAAGCAAAATGCTCAAATGATACGCGCCGAATTTACGGGATCAAGTTTGCGCAAATCCACGTCGTTGGCGGCATTCCGTCGCCTAATTGGAGCAGGTAATGCAACAAGGAGTCTATTTTCGGGCTACACAGCGCTGGTAGCACGAAACTTGCCCTTTACGGCCCTTCAATTTCCCATGTTTGAATACGCAAGAGGGCGTTTGTGGGACAAGCGGTTGCGTTCTCGAAAGGACCAGACGAAAAGCGTCATGGAGACGGGCCTGATAGCTGGATCGAGTGCGGTGACGGCCGGGGCCCTGGCTGCGTTTGTGACAACACCGAGCGATGTGATTAAGACACGAATGATGGTGAAAGCCGGCACCGGGGATGACAGAAACAACGCTCAGCGACATCGCAAGGGCGCAATCTCGGTGATGAAAGACATCTGGCGTGGAAAGGGGATCCGGGGATTCTTCCGCGGGGGAGCGTTTCGCTGTGCTTGGACGGCAGTTGGCAGCGGTTTGTATCTAGGCATGTATGATGCTGCGAAATTATGGCTTGGAGGTGAAGAGGGAGTCTTGGCCGATGGCTGAGAAAAGGGGTGAGAATTGCTATAATGTAGCAAGAAACTTATTTTTATTCATCAAAGACAGATTATGACAAGACAAACCTAAATCAATCTATTGAACCACCTTCTTACTTGCGCACAAAAAATGATAGCTAAAGAAAACGCACGAAAATCCATGTATTCAGCTTTTACGACCCCAAATTCTTGCAGCCCGTCAGTATCGAACTAGTTAACGTAGTTAACGCGATGAAATGTTTCTGCCTTGTGCAAGCCCGGGTCATGCCACCACGTTACTGACGCGTCGCCCAAAGAGTCTCCCTTGACGTCGAAGTGTAGAATATAATGCTCGAGGGGTAAGCCAGTAGGTTGATGTCCCATCATCATCCCGTCCCAGTCCAAACACCAGGTAAAGCTATCGCCAGAGAGCTGCCACAGTAGAAACGTTTTCTTGTTATTTAGAAACTGGACCGACATTTCGGCTCGAACGTTTTTTCCTTTCTTGGGGTCGTAGTCATGAAGAGCTTTTGTTCCTCGATAGACCTCGGGCCATATGATGAGAACCGGTATATTATTAGAGGTGGCATATATCCCCGCATACTTATTAAAAGAAGGACTGCGAGGGATCCCGGGCTCATTTGCCTTGACGAGCCTGCTAAAAACGTCTTCGTGCTGCTTGTATGCACTATCAATGCTCACTCGCACTGGGAAGAGACTTAGGCTGCCGCCCAAGAGCGTGTGAAGCAGCAGCTGCCCGATCCAATCTGCGGCATCGTTGGCTGTCCTCGTGTTTGTCAATACTATAACTGCAGATTTCGTTTCAGGTAGAAGCGCAACAAAACTGTTTGCTCCGCAGTGCACCCCTTGGTTCCAGTATACTTTGCTTGCTTTAGTTTGGCCCATTCCGATGATGGGCATCGAGACCAGCTTGGAATTAATTCCAAGGCCTTCAAGTCTGCCAGGTAGCGTACAAGTCGCCCAGCCTGCAGCATAGCTGCATTTATTTTTGATCATTTCATCGTTCGATGTTCCGTCCATGTCCTGAAGGGGACTAAGGAGCAAATCCACGTCCGGAAATGCTCGTTTACAGCCACGATGTTCGGGGCGCAGGATCCTGACTTTTATCAGCGGCCATATTGAGACCTATGCAGTATTTGATCAGATCGTTAACGGTACTTGACATCCCCCTAGCAGAATCCGGCATTGTGGCCCTTTGAAGACAGCCAAACAGTTCCGATGTTGCCTGCAGAATACGGAGCCTCATGAGTTTCTTTTCAGCAAGGGTTGTTGCATTGTCGGCGTTATCAAATTTTGGACAGAGTGTGAAAATGCACTCATCCAACTGCCGCCAGCAATAGGTATCCAGTGACTCGAAGTCGTGAAGGGGAATGTCTGCATCTCTGAAAAACTTGGGATAATCAGGAGCTAAAACACTGTCAAGGCTATCAACGAAGTGTGATTGCAGCTGCTCGCCCTGTCGCCCAACATAATACAGCTGTGATCTGTCGTCTTCAGGCCTTTCAATGTATACATTGGTGGTATGAGACATGCCCAAAGGCTGCAAGATATTCGTTTCAAGGTATTTCCCATACCCTTCAGGGCAGTATTGACCAACAACTTCTCCGAGTACAGTGTAGTTAATCGCGCTGTGAATAAATTTAGAGCCTCGATTTGCTTGGCACCTGAGATGGTAATAGGCATGGATTATATTGTCTTGGCGTAGAGAGACACGACCCCCGTATGCAGTCAAGAGAGACTCAGCCGCTTGATACCCTGTGCGATGGCCGAGAAGATCTCCAATTGTTGTGTTTCTTTCAGCGTTGTCTTTCTCCCATGGTTGTATGAGGCTTCCGAGATGGTCTGAAACCTTGTCATTGTAGTGTAAGATGTTTCTATGCCTCATCTGAGCTACGACAGCTGCTGTAAAGCTCTGGCTTAAAGCTCCAAGAGGGAATACAGTATCTGGAGTGACTGCTGTTCCCTTGTCACGGTTGCTGTAGCCAATGCTTTCTTTCCACACCACCTCGCCTTCATGAATGACAGCAGCAGACATGCCAACGATGCCAGTGAGGTTACATATTTCCTTGACTTTGTTAGTTATGCTGGCCTTGCTTGTTATTGAGCTGAAACCTATGGGTATCTCGTCCTGAGACTTCTTACTTTCGGCCGACCTATTTAAATTCAGCTTCCAACATTTGATAGAGTAAATAGACGGACGACTGACATTTTTGCTAATTCACTGTATTTCTGGAATGTTAATATTGGACGATGAGGATAGTTTTGACTTGTAACTTAAAACCTGCGCCCATAAATTGGTGGCATATATATACTATGAAAATATATATATTGTTCAGCAAGGTCTTACACTTGATCGTTTCATGTACGAAGTGCGACGATTGAAGGAAGGGAACGGCGCAACAAAGGATAGAGATTATTATTAATAGTAGATACGAGACTGGCGAGAGTGCAACAACGCTTTCGGCGAACACTTTGAAAACCTTTTCCTTGATTTTAGTGTACCTAAGTGTGTAAGAGATTTTAGAATTTGTACTTCAATCATATCAAAAGAATCCCTTCAAGCGGTTCAAGAAGAAGATTTTATAAGTGTCTTCCATTTATATATAAACATCAAAGAAACTTGATGTCAGATAAATATCGATATGTGAACAAAGAGTGCAGTTGGGTCGCTTATATCTAAATCTGCCTAACAATATCGGCGGAATGACTGCTGATGAAATTTTGACCTTTCGGACGGTTGAAAGCTCAAAGGGAGGCTTCAACCTTCCTTGTTCGTTCTATTCCAAAACCACCGCTGGTGCTACAAACAGAATACCATGATCTATCGAACGAGAGCCAAAGTAACAGATAGCGTCATACAACAATACAACAATACAACAAAGAAAATAGCAAGTGATACAGAACCAAAAGAAATACAGCCCTTGAATCCTTCCCCACAGTAAACATTAACCGTTAACTCGCCGATTCCAAACCACCTCTTTTTTGCAAAATATTATTGCTTTGCATCACCAAATAAAAGGAATCAATAAGCCTTATACGCGCAATCTCTGCGCGATTACCTCAGGACAGATACCTCACTCTTCTGACCTGCTTACTAGGCCCAAAAATTCCTAGGGTGACGCAGAGTTGGAACAATGTGATTAAGAGCTGGCTGGACGTTCTCCCTGCAGACTATTCGCGTTAAGATGATTCGCCAGTATCTGCTCGGTCTGCTCTAAAGCCGCTTGTTTTAACTTCATCACCGCCGTGGGATTGGTCGAGGATGTCTAGCTTTGCGATCGGATGAACATCTGCAAGCTCCTTATCATCGATCGTGAGTTATTTCGAAGGAATTTCAAATGATCTAAAAGCCGTTAGCTCAACTTGCCGTTGGTGTCATCATTATACCGCCTTTCACTCAAGAAAGCAGGCATGTATAGACGTACGGATATGATTCTCTTTGTTCCCCTTTTAACCGATTTGTAAGAGGCGCCGGAACCTCACCCATAGACACCGAGTCTGCTTGAGACGATACAATGCCCCCCCCCAGAATATGACACTACATCTAGAACTTCGCGCGGTAACCTCTCGTATGGCCAAGATTGGAGATTCTTAGGATCTTGCCTATGGTCTATAGACCATATGAATAGAGGTGCCCTGACCTTGTAGGACCTCCAGAACATGTTTCACGTCTCTTACATGGCTCTCTGGCGCTTTTACACACTCTGCCACGTGGGCAAGAGCGAGTGGTAGCCCCTCTAGCAGAGTCGAGACCTATCTTAGGATCACTGCCTCATAGGGGCTCGAGGCACGACGTGGGATGTTGTCTGCTATTTGTCGACATTGGTAGCAAGCTCAGTGAGATACTGTGATCTGGTACATGCAGCGGAATCGACAGGTCTTTGTTCCGCGTAGTGACGAGGACCGAACCTTGAGACAGAGTTGGCCAATACAGGTCTGCCATGGCTTCAAAGTTATCTGCATTGTCGTATACAAGTAGCCATCCATTGTCTATGCATGTTAGCCGTTACCAATTGAGAGAAAGGAGTTTAAATGCACTCACGAGTGGCCAGCCACTGCTTAGCCAAATTACTAGGTTCCTGGCCATGCATCCCAGGCTCGACATCTAGCCTCAATATCGTCGCAATCTCGCCAAGTGACTCTTTTAAATTGACCCGTGTTTCTGCATTGAGCCAAAATACTGGCCCCTCCCATCGGCAGGCGATATGGAGGGCGAGCTGTGTCTTCCCTACCCCTGGCATCCCATGTATGATGCAGACTCGGACGTCACAATCTGACATCGCTTTTTCGGCGTTCAAATGATGTTCCACTTGCTTGACCTCACCACCTCTGGAGTGGTACTCGAGTCGTCGATCCGTTGGTAGCATCTTAGCTTCAGGCCAGCCCTTATGCTCTTGCATCATGTACCATTTCGACGGCCCTTGGATGGCCGCCATTGCCTGAATGTCGCGATGCATTGCATGGTCTCTCTGATGTTTTGCGTAGCTAACCTCTTTCTTAACAATTTTGAAGCATTGCTTCAGATCTTCCATGACTTTTTCCATGTCGCGAGAATCTTTTCCACCCCAAAAGAGACCACGGAAAAAATTAACTAGATGGAATTAGTAAAAGAGTGCTTGCTGCTTGTGCGTCAAATTTATCATACCAGATGGACACTTTTTGAGAAAATTTGCTGAGCGAATACATGTGTCCAAGTAGGTCATGTACATACTGATGAGTGCCTCATCGAGCCGAGGATGTCCTATGAAATCCTTGGCATATTCCATGTACAGCTTCAAGCTGTACGTGTAGCTCTCAAGGAGCTTTGTAATATGCCCCAGAATCTTGTAAGAATGCATAGCGCACTTCGGAAATGTCAGCCAGGTAGAAAATCGCCAATACAGAAAAGGGCTCAGTTCAAAACTTACTTCTAAAAGCAGTTGGATTACACCCCAGGTTATCGAAAGACCCGCTGAATTCTTGGTGAGAGTATTAAGGCCATCTGTGTATGCTTTGAGCCCTTCAATGACTGGCTCAAATGCTTTTATAAACTTATTACCCCCCTTCTTCCCGTATTTTGTTTCGAGAATATCGATATAGTTCTTGCAAGTGTCGGCCGTCAGTTCTAGTTCCAGGCGCCGTCGGTCTTCATCACTGATCGGAGTATCGCGTGTCTCCAGAAGCAATTCTATCCACTGCCATTGCGTATCAGGAATTTCGGCTGAGAAACCTGGGTCTTGATCCCCAGAAAAGGTTTCGCGTGTTGGCCCCGCCTCACTTCTGAGCGTAGCTGAGGAGCGGCTCGGGCCCTCCATTTAGGTGCTGGCGAAGGTAATAGCTGATTCCCTTAGTAAATGATAGAATTGAGCTTCGTTATGTGAAGGATATTGGCCTAATATTATAATATATATATAAACATATCGGTGGTACCCGTTTGCATTTTCGCGCTACAGTCAAGAAGGAGCGGTAGTGATACAAGTGAATTAAAATCTTTGCTTTGACAAGACTACAAACGACGATAATAGCAATTATATTTCATGTAGTGGAATAAGTATCTTGTAAATTACAATAGATACCGGATACCTACAGTCCACCCCTGTTCCACGTATCCGGTTCTGCTAATTCGTTCATGGTACAACAACACCCACGCACTATGAGTTCCTAGATTAAGCACATATGTTAAATTATCAGAAGTGGTTAAAACGCAATACATGTACAAGTAACAAACGTTAGTGAATGTAGATTTTAGATCTCTTAGAAAGTGATATGCTCTACGTTCGTTTGAGTAGCACCAGGGCTCTGGATTTTCGGCACATCAGATCAGATTTATCATTCCTCCGTCGGATACTAAATTCAGTGCCGTGTTAACTTGGGAGTCGACAATCCACTGCAATTATACATAGTAATTTATGTATATTAGAATGCCCAACAGCGCGCACATACATGAAATTCGGGGCATTCAATAATTCGGCATCGGAATAGTTCTGGGTCTTAGCTACGCGGACCCTGGGATATGCACTTATAAACCGCCTTGCTACCTATGGTTGCTCTGTGCCAACCAAATGACTAAACACAATAGCTATATGCGATTAAGGTGGAACAGACAGTGGAAAGCGGATAAGTATAATATTCGCCACATCTCGGCTGCCTAATGTATACTGCCTCCATTTTTCTAGCTGCAATCTCTTAACTTGATGGGATTACTCTAAATGACATGAGATAAATGATCTATGTTTTGACTATAGTTATTCTCAGCCAAACGGGTAGTGTACATTTGGTGATAAAGCCTTGCTCGGGTTTGCTCCTTGTACCTGATTTCCCGCATCCACCCCTATCAAGGAGCTATTGTCGGTCATTGTTCAAGTTTCAAGTTTTAGGCGGAACAGCTGACCGAATTTCGCCACACACGGAAGTCCGTGCATTTATTTCTATACGCCTGGGTGCCGTGACCAACGCACCCATGGCTCTCGTTTGGAGGATATCTGTTTGATGAACTAACGGATTGGTCTGAGTTGACGAGACCCTGGAGGCATTGTACTATGGAGGGAGAACGTATGTGCTCGCAGCTTTTCTCTGAAGCAAATGCTGGTAGCCTTGATGGATGCACCATTCGCAGCCTATGGGTACGCTTTCTCTTTCGAGATTTTACCCACGTATTCTATGGATTGCATTACATATCTCGCAGTTTATGTTCGACTGTAACAGAGCCAAGCTCTTTTGCCGTTTGCCGTTCGCCGTATCATTATAGCAGACACGAGTTCGGCAGATTACCTTTTATATCACCCAAACTTCCTAGATGCCAGAATTTTACATTATTAAGTTCCTTCACGAAACATGTTCTATAGTGAAATGAAGGTAGTGCCTGTACTCTGATTACCTGCTACTTATGCCCAAGTCTTGAATTATCCCAGTTCCGTATTGATTGAGGTTTATTGACAAAGATTTCGACGTTATAGGCAGCTGATCGTACCGGTATTGGCAAGGATATAGATTGATCAAAGGTGAATAAAATGAGTTCTATGTGTTGTTTTGCTGTAATAATCTCGTTCTATTCCCTTACTACGAGATAGGAGATTAATGGGGTTAATCAGAAGGCTCAAGATTTGTAGGATAATGAAATATTAAGAAGAGATGAAAAGGCATTTTTGATACTTCGGCTAGACGGCTGAAAAGCGTAGGCTATCGCGGCGTCAGCTTAGAAGAAAGGCAAGGAAAATAGTATTTCTCAAAGTTCTTCTATTAAATGCCTGACTACAGTAGGGTAATGGACTGATCAAATAATCTCATCAACCAACGGATCGAGTTCAAATGATTCAACATATGATATGAACACATCCTAGCAGTTCCATTATAACCTTTTAATGATTCCTGCACCAACACTGGCCGACATCGTACGCTGTCTTGCAAGCGGTTTTGTGGGCATCACTCGTCCTGCAGTTAAAGGTATACCGGCTGCCATCGGATGTACAGTAGCAGCCAGCACTCAGGCAGTGATTCATCGTCGATTGAGCAGCGCACTGGAGGGTTGCTGGCTCCACAGCATGAGTTAGGGCGTTTTGATTATCCAATAACTGTTCTATATCTTTGAATGTATTCTGATCTTCGGTAGAAGTGGTAGATTGGCTGACTTCATTGTCGATAATTTCAGCGAAAACTTTCACGGTCCTAGCCAAGCCTGGTGTCACAACAGCGGCAACCACCAAGGCAAATTTGACCTTATGAATATTAGCACCTGGTTCAATTTTTTTTTTTAAGAAGAAAGCATATCTTGTAATTACCTTGTTCCAAAGCATCTTGGTATGATGGTAGTAGTTAATTTAATACGTGTGAGCGAGAGATTGCCGCGTTTCCAGTGTAAAGTAATAGATAATGAAGTAAAGAAAATTGGTTTAAAGAAGTCACAGCAGCATAGAGTTTAAATACTTCACGCAGAGTGATATGAATTGACAATCATGTTTCTAAATGATACTGGTCGGGTCATTTCCTTGTTCATTGCTAGCTCAGATAAGTGATGTAGGACTTGCTGAATGCTTTCGTGGCTGGCTGATACTCTCCCATATCGAACAGCGTAATTCCACATTCCGCATAGCTACCACTAGATCTTTGCTCTAAATGGTAAAACCCCACGGCTGAGCATAGTATGCCCTTCCTAGCTGAAAGCTGAATACTGGGGTAGATTCCACTAGTTGAGTAAATGACACTCGCTTGACTTAGCCTAGTGTTTGATAGTCTAGGTATTAAGTCAGGCGTATGTATGAAAAGGAATATTGCTTTCTCTTCAAGTATTGCCCCAGGTTGGAGGATTTTGCCGCGAACTTTGATGAACATTCCGATATCCCTTGCGCTTACAGCTATTCATGCATCGTGGCCTGTGTATGGGCAGGCGCGGGCTTATGCTATTGGAGATTGCCAGATTATTCCATTGGAAAGGATACACCTGTGCCACCATGGCATTGATAGCGGGAGCAGGATACGCACATCATCTAATGCTCACTCCTAAAAAAATGTTCACAGCGTGTAGTTATTATATATGTGCTAAGGTTGTAGCTATATGGGGTCAACAAGCTCTTAATACTTGAAATAGAGATTCCATTGTGACGAGACTATCAACGCTTTTGTCGCTGCCACCTCTCCTGATGCAGGGCACGAACCTCCATATCCAACTCGGGAATTGGCCCTTCAACTGGTACATGTGGAGTCACGGTGTTTATTGGAAGGCCTGCAACGGCGCCCCGCTTGACGTTTGCCTCGTCCATCCAGCGCTCGAGCTGTTTTGTAGAAGCAATGTACACAATGCGGCCCAAGCCGACGTACCCATGCGCGGCCGCACACATGGCGCAGTGCTCCCCTGATGTGTACACGGTGGCAGATGCTCGATCCTCTGGAGTCAAGTTTTGCTGTGCCCACCGCGCGATAGTAAGCTCAGGGTGCAGCGTCGCATCGGCCTTCAGATCTCCCTTCTCGCCTGTGACGGTGCGATTGCGATCTTGGTGTATAATCTTGTCGTTTCGATCTACTAGGACGGATCCAAAGGGAGAGTCCCCCGCCTCAAGGGCTTCGCGAGCGAGACTGACGCAAAGCCGAAGGGCTTCTTGGTTATACGGCTGTGCCATTTGTTCTTGGATGGGGGTGTATATTGGATGTGAATCGTGTGAGCTGGGGAGCTAAATGTGAAGTTAGAGTTGAAGCCCTTTACGTGGCTCAGCCGTTGTAGTCGCTGTGGGCCCCATGGGCTTATACCGTGCCGCTAGCGAATTGATTATTGGTCATTTTCATACTTTGTGCTATAGTCAACATATATATTGCTTATATATCACCTCCAGTGGCTTTTGGCCTTGGGCCAATTTGCCTTCCAATCCAGTGTTGCGCTTTACCAGGCAATCGGTGGCTACCAGCATCACTAACAGCGAGTGAGTGACCTTGCAGAAGAGACAAATGCACTTAGTGGCGTACTGGGTTCCCTAGTCGAAATAGCCTCGGCTATGACTAACAATGATCTCTCCTCCCTTGAGTTCAACGGCATCCTCCAAAAAACGTTGAAGATGTTGCAAGATTGGGGGATGAATGGAAGTTAACCTTCGAGTCGATTGATATCTTATCGAAAGCAAAATTCTCATTTCGAGAGCGAGGCAGGCGTTATAGAGAATCATGCAACGAGTGATGCAATGCAGGTTGTGGTTGCCTCTGATGAGAAGCCTCTTTACAGAACGAATCGGGGACGCATACATAGTAAGACGCCGCGGGTGATATCACAGGACATGGTATCCGTCATTATTCAAAATATCTGTAACTAACCGCAGCCGCGCCAGGCGAAATGGAAAGCGATAATCGATATCCAGATTTCAATCGGGGGTATGGAAAGGATTCAAAATCACATCTATGAAATGAGTATCCCACCGTTCTTGCAGCACAAGACCAGACTGACGCTTATTTACCTGCAAACTATGGCGCCATGCCGGATAATCTTTCAGCTGCTGTAGTATCCCGGTATTCCCATTAGGAGCACGGAGTATTGTATGAATAAGAGAAAATGCCTCTACTTCACCCAGGTGATAGTTTCAAATGAACATTCCATGATACACCGTTTGACTCGTTGTATTGCCGTGAACTTGCTACATTATTGTCACACAAAAATAGTGCGGCTGTTGTTCTTTTCTTTGGAAGCAGTGACCGAATTAAGGGGGCATTTGACCTCATTATGTATGCAACTGCCGCAACGAAGCAGTCCTCCACTGACTTTAGTTTGAATCTAAAGGTCTTATCCTACGAGACGGATGGCTCTGTATGCCATGAACAAACCGGAAAATTTTTCCAGCCATGAAAGAACACCGATGATAAAAGATCAACAGTGTTCTGTTATACTTTCCTTTTTGGGCTCAAAAGACTAAAAGAGCAACTTGAACACGGGTATAGCGGTACGCCCGCTGCGGGGTTTTAGCGCCTTGATTAGTGCATAGAAGCGCTGCGGCATCGAATGTGAGGAGATCTATAGAGGCAGTCCACGACGAATCTGGCTGACTACCCAACTTACGTCAGTGCCTCTCGTCAGGCGCGGCTTCACACCGACGCCATCATCATTGGCCGTCATCGGAAGTCTCCCCACTCTTTGCCAACGCCCTCTGGTAGCACGAATGGCTTCGAATCAGATGTGTCTGGCGTCAGTGCCTGACCGTAAGCGGTATAAAAGCCCATTGGAAACGAGATCCGAAATTTGTGAAATCGAAAAGCTTCCGTCACTTACACTGCGAATATCAAGAGTCTAGTTGCCTCAGTCGCTATTATTACAATCGCCACAAGGCCCTAGAGCATTATTGTTTCTTTGTTATTCTATTTGCGTAATCCATTACAATGGCGCCTCCCACTGCCACCACTACTTTGGAAGAAGAACAGAACCAGCAGCAGACTGTTATCAAGATGAACAGTGCCGCTGCTGCCCAAGAAGAGGAAGAAATGGAATCCCAGCTATCTAACCTGAGCCGTGGCCCTAATCCTCTACAAGGTACTATTTTCTAAATTTACGACATCTTTTCCCATTTGTTGAAAAGTCTACCATGTCCCTATTTGTATCCCATTGTTATCTATCTTCCTCCCCATATCAGATATAATGTGATTACCATCAGCCTTGCGGTTCAAAGCTCCATCTACTCTCCGTTGCTTAACCTGGCATTAAGGTACGAGACAGAGAGCTCTGCTAATCGCTGTTGTGCCAGGCATCCCTACTTTCCCCTCCTTTCATGAGCATCGTAAGCATATAGTGTTGCATATGGCCGCCGTTTTCCGCAACTGGGCTCGCAATGGCTACACAGAGGGTATTTCCGGTCATATTTCTGTTCGTGATCCAGAATTTCCCGGTCTTATCTGGATGAATCCTATTGGCAAACATTTTGCTCTCATGAATGGCAGTGATATGCTCTGCCTAAGAATCAGCGATGGAGAAATTGTTGGCGGTAATAGAGTATGTCTTTGATCGGGACAGTATCCATGTCCTTGGCTTGAAGTATTGGGGCTAATTTGGTGCTTTCAGTCCCGCCCTGTTAATAACCCAGGCTTCTATATTCACTCTGAGGTGCACAAAGCACGCCATAACATCCACGCTATCTGCCATGCCCACACCATCGCCGGACGTGCTTGGTGTGCCTTCGGCAAGCCACTTGAAATGATTACTCAAGACATTTGCGATCTCTACGGAGTGCTCGCTGTGGATACCGAATATGCAGGAATAGTTACTGCTGAGCAAGAGGGCAGGCAAATTGCCAAGGCTCTCGGGCCCAAGGGCAAAGCTGCCCTGCTGATCAACCACGGTATCATCACTGTGGGACAGACTGTTGACGAAGCTTCCTTTTTGCTGGGCTTAGTGGAGCGCAGCTGTGAGATCCAGCTCAAGGTTGAAGCTGCTTGTGCCGGCAATCCTAACTTAAAAAAGAGTATCATCCCACATGAGCTCGCAATGAACAACTTTAAGATGGCAGGCGAAAAGCACTGGCTTTACGAGGAAGCTCAACCCGATATCCAGCTTGAGATTGAGCTAGCGGGAGAGGTCATTTCGAGGGGTTTGGATGATGTGAAAATTGATACCCAATAAACTTGGCAGAGAGATAAGACGGAACATCTTGCCTACATGTGATTTGGATATGGGGTTTTCTTTATATCTATGTTATAAAGCTCATGAATACATATTTAGGTATTGATCAGAATACCACATACAATTTAGATGCGCTTTTTGGTCACTATAGCAAGTGTGCTTCATACAGAGGCCTTCTCTTACGCGTTGGCTAGAAGCCCTCGCCCAACAAATGGGCCTTTTCTGGCCACGATTTTGTATTTAAAGAGCGATTGGCTGTTGTTCAAACGTGCTGTATTTGCCAACACCCCCTTGGTATTACAACGCATGAATCAAAGTTGAAGCAGGGAGAGGTGCGAAATTAGGTGGCGCGCCCCAGACCAGCGTTTTTATGGGACTCACTCTCATGTCGCTTAGGTATCTTTCAGAAGCTTCTTGGAACTTTTTAAAGTACAAATTTCGTAATATGTCTGAGATTTAGGAGTGCTGTGAGTCGCAGAAACAACGTGGATTTGCTAGCTACCTGTGCTGAAGTACTCGTACTGATATGAAGTAGGTAGACGAAAGAGTAGTGCGAAGGGAGCGACCATGAATGGTGCCATACCATGGTTTTCTTTGGCATCTGCACCCTTGTTTGCGCATTGCTGATTTTACCTCTTATTTTCGTTGTAGAATATCGTTCTCGCTAGTATTGTCCATCAAGACCATTGTCTTCTGTCTTCACTAACATGCCGTTCACAACTCCGTCGTACATCTCCAAGCTTCCTTTTGACCCCCCAGACTCCATACCGATCCATGAATTTCTCTTCAGCAATGGAGATAAGTACGGTCGATATCCGATTGCGGATTCTTTACCCCCATTTACTTGCGGCATCACTGGAAAATCTCATTCTGCCGCTGATGTGAAGGATCGCATAGAGTGGCTTTCGGCTGCTCTCGCATCAGATTTGGGCTTTGATGTTAATAATGGGAGCGAGTTCGACAAAGTAATAGGACTGTTTAGCTTCAACACGGTATGCATTACGAGTTCGAATAAATCATTTTCTGGCTGACGTGATTCACATCAAACAGATCGATACCATGCTCGTCTCATGGGCAGCACATCGCTTCTCAGGAATTTCATCGCCAATCAGCCCCTCATATTCGATAGCCGAGCTCACTAGACAGCTTAAAGCAGTCAAATGCAGAGCGCTTTTCACATGTGCAACACTCTTTCCCACGGCCCTTGAAGCGGCTCTTGCAGCGGGCATTCCCAAAGCGCACGTGTATCTACTAGAAATCCCCGAGAAAGCGCTGAAAGGCGCCAAGGTGCCCATTGATATCAAGTCGCTTGATCAGCTTGTTGCTGAAGGAAAGGAGCTGGCTCCTCTGCCACAGCTTAAATGGTCTCAGGGTCAAGGTGCTCGCCAGACTGCCTTCTTGTGCTCTTCTAGTGGAACGTCTGGGCTCCCAGTAAGTTTTCGTTTCCTACGGTTGGCGTTATTTTAAATTGGAATTTATTGAATCTTACCTAAGTCAACTAGAAAAATGTCATGATCTCACATAGAAATATTATCGCCAATACCCTACAAATCAGCACATACGAATCGAATTACAAAAGTGGAAAGCCAGAGGCTTTGCTTGCTGTACTTCCCATGAGCCACAGTTACGCCCTGGTTATCACAGGGCATGCCGGAGTGTATAGAGGCTACACTGCAGTTGTATTGCCTGGGTTTGACCTTATTGATGTGCTTGAAGCAGTACAGAAGCAGCATATAGAAACGCTCTGGATGGTAAGAATAGGCCCATCTCTGTCATCGCCCACTTAGGGACAGAAGTATGCCATAACCTGGACTAAAACGTGAGCTATTAGGTTCCTCCCATGGTAGTAGCCTTGATCAAAAACCTAGATACTGCTGAGAAGTACAATCTTACACATGTTAAAAGTACTGTGGTTGGCGCCTCAAATCTCACGAAAGAGGTTAATGAGCAGTTTACTCGGCTTTTCCCCAATTGCCAGCTTATCCAGGGGTATGGCCTCACCGAAACTTCAGTAGTGGTTTCTATGCAGAATAGAGCAGACATCATGTTTGGCTCTTGCGGCCACTTTATTCCTGGCTATGAGGGTCGACTAGTGGACCGAGATGGCAAGGAGGTGACTGAGCTAGACACGCCTGGAGAGCTTCTTTTGAGATCACCGACGGTAATGCTGGGATATCTGGACAATGAGAAAGAGACGAAACAAGCGTTTACGGTCGACAAGTGGCTACGAACCGGTGACTTGATGGAAATTCGTAAAAGTAATAATGGCAACGAACACCTCTTCATTGTCGATCGAGTGAAAGAGTTGATCAAAGTTCGGGTGAGTTAACTACTGCTACTAACATTGGTCGTCGACAGTATTTACTTTTGGTCTGGGCACTAATCTGTGTTAAGGGCATGCAAGTTTCTCCGACCGAAATCGAAGCTCTCCTCTCTAGACATTCTTGTGTCGCAGATGTCTGTGTCGTTCCACTTCCTCATGACATCGCCGGTGAATTGCCGCTCGCATTTATCGTGCGGACACCAGCCGGCAAGGACGCAGATGAGCGAGCACTAAAGCAGGAAGTCCACGAATTTGTTAATCAAGAGTTGGCAGATTATAAGCACTTAGCTGGGGGTATTGAATTCCTTGAAGCACTTCCCAAGTCGGCGAGTGGAAAGACGAAGAGGGGAGACATGAAGGAACTAGCCAAAAAGATGGCTGATTCGAGCAAGGCGAAGAACACACCAAAAGTGCTGCAGGTGTATGTATATGAGACTTCTGACGAAGATAGTGAAGATGGCGAATGAGCATCTGGCGATTCTTATTTTACTATACGACGGACTGAAAATAGGAGGTGTAGTGGATAATACTTCCTCGTGGTTTACTTTGTCTCACTTTGGTGAAATTGTTTACGTGTCAAGACTCTATTACTCTGCCTCGCTATTTTGTCCTAAGCAGTAGTGATAACATATTATTTTCCCTATCTAAAGGCCAATAGTAACACAATCCTTCACCTGGGATGTCGCTCATACGGAAGTTCTTCATTTTGATGCTCACATGATCTCATACGTGGAGAAGGACGATGATATTCACGCACTATTCTCACTCCATTTTCTTTTTCTTGACACATAAGACATTTTCAACGGCGTCGCGTGTATTAGCACTTCCAAATGGATTGTGTGCTCTAAACATGATACTTCCCGAGACATTTGTAGGAGGGGTCCCAGACCACTATTGCCTCAAGGCATATGCCAAGCGAGGCCGCCGAGGATCTCTCACATGGCCAATGTTTCGAAAATTTAACTAGAAGTTATTAATGCTGAGTACAGTCCATCACCTATTAAGATCTATAGAGTCTGCAGCATAGAGAGCACTTCATTTGCCAGTCGCATTATCATTGACTCTCATGTTGCTAATATTTGGATATGGTATTGCTACTATAATACGTAAAATTGGCACCATAGATGATGATATTCTTGGCTCTATTCGTGCTAAAAAGAGGGGAAAAAAAAAAGAGAGCCCAGTTTCCTCTGAAGAGTAGTGTTATGTATCCTAGTGTCACAAGATGAGGAATACGCTCATTAGTATATAACAATTATGACTTATGATCAAATTTCTTTTCCGTTTCGTTTTATGAAAACCAAGGTAGGTAGCTGAAGCATATGTACCTTTCTCCCTTGCAGATATAAGCGTGCGGGCACTTCAAGTGACCAGCTGACCCCCTCAGCACTACCACCCACAGCGTCTTATAAATATATCCCTCTATTGGCAGATACCTTTTATGAGAGGATTAAAGGCTTTTCCCGCAATCTGATATACTTGGATGAGAAGCATTGTGGCGCTGATGGCGCATTTTTCTGGTTGCCCTCTCAGACAGAATGATGGAATGCGACATTTGTTACGCGAATCAACATCGTCGTCCATGAATTTGCTTCATGCCTGGCTTCGCCCTCTCTTGCTTCGGACATATTTTGATTTATGCATGTGATAACTAAATTTGACGGGTTATGAGGCCAGGCTCGAATCGTTAGTGGTGGAGGAAGCGCTTTAGACTACCGTGGAGTTTTCACGCATTTAAACCCAAGTAAACCAAGTTAAGAAAATTGCTTAAAAATATAACTGAGACTCACTAAAAACACCAAATTATAGGGGTTATAAAGTTCAGGGAGAATGGGGGTCTTTGAGAAGACACTGTTACGTTTGTATACTAGGGAGGCCATCCGAGGTTACACACAGCGAAAGGACTGTGTTAGCTAGGGATAAGTGAGACCGGAAAACAACGTGTCTCAGCGAATTGGTCTGCTACTCAATTGAACGAAGCAGTAATTGTGGTGCTAGTAGTATGGAAGCGGAGAGAGCATCTCCAACAAGAAAATAAAAAGGGATGTACGACAACGAATAACACTTTTCGTACTGGTACATTCCTTTCATTGTTCAAATTACTCCTCGCATAATTATCCTAGAAAAAAAAAATTGTATCTTACTCTCAAAAGAGCATATTCTCCCTCATTCGTATTTGTTTGCTCCGTATTGAGTCAGCTTCATCCTCTTCAACGGCAGAAAATCTTCCCAACGCATCGTATATTTTACGGGAATTCACGAGATTCAAAGGAGAACAAGAAGAGGAAAAAGAAAGAACTGAATGGAAAAATAGTGGTTACCATTGTTTGGTTAGCTCTGGAAGAGCTTAAGCATATCAACAGCAACAGCAGAAGTCGAATGCATACAGGAAGAAGTCGAATGAATACAGGAAAACAGAGATGCTCGCAATGGAGCCTCTCGACGGCGCACCGCCGCCAATCGCCATTGTCGGAATAGGGTTGAAGCTCCCTGGAGGTATCACAACAACAGATGAATACTGGGATCTTCTCATAAACAAAAAGAGTACACAAACACAGGTTCCGAATAACCGATTTGGCGCGCACGCCTTTGAAAGCAAATTAGGGACGCCGGGTACGCTGAAGAGCACATACGGGCACTATTTGGAAGGCGATCTGGAGAAATGGGATGCATCATTTTTTTCTATGAGTAAAGCCGAAGTTGAGAAGCTTGATCCCCAGCACAGACTATTGCTTGAGGTTATATGGGAATGCATGGAGGCTGGTGGACAGAAGAATTGGCGTGGTCGCAACATAGGTTGCTACGTTGGCGTATTTGGTGAAGATTGGCTAGATCTATATGCAAAAGACCCCCAACATTTGGGAACGCATCGAATCTTGACCGGAGGGGATTTTGCCTTGTCAAACCGGGCATCTTATGAATATGATTTGAAAGGTCCCAGGTATGTGTAGAATACGACGTCCCTACACTTCAAAAGTTGACACGAAAATAGCATGACTATCCGTACTGCATGCTCGTCTTCACTTATCGCACTTCATGAGGCCTGCCAAGCTATCTATATTGGAGAGTGTGAATCTGCCATTGTTGCTGGAACTAGCCTTTTTCTTTCGCCGACTATGACTATCGCCTTGTCCGAACAGGGAGTCCTCTCACCAACGGGATCATGCAAGACGTTTGATGCCAAAGCAGACGGCTATGCTCGCGGTGAGGCAATCAATGCCGTCTTTATTAAAAAGCTGAAAGATGCTATTCGCGATGGGGATCCGATCCGCGGTGTTATCAGGGGCACAGCAACCAATTTTGATGGCAAGACCATTGGAATCACGAATCCCAATCAAGAGGCTCATGTAGCTCTCATGCGACGAGCCTATGAAGTGGCCAAAATATCCAATATTAGTGATACAGCGTTTGTTGAATGCCATGGGACAGGAACACAAGTTGGTGATCCCATGGAGGCCGGAGCTGTGGGGCGAGTTTTTGGTAATCGAGGCATATATATTGGATCTGTAAGTGATTTTGCAAGCTATGAATTCACTAATACACCATGTTTATAACAGACAGACTAATACAGAGGCTTTTTAGGTGAAACCAAATATTGGTCATGGAGAGGGTGCTTCCGGCTTGAGTAGTTTGATCAAGGCTGTATTGTCTCTGGAACATGAGACTATTCCACCACAAGTTAAGTTCTGCGTCCCTAATCCAAAAAGTAAGCATACACAGAAGTCGATCCCAAATTTCAATAATGCTAATGATCCGTATAGTTAAATGGGCCCAATACAATTTGAGAGTTCCAACGAAACCCACACCATGGCCAACGGACCGCCTACAGCGTGTGTCAGTGAACTGCTTCGGCGTGGGAGGTGCCAATGCTCATGCAAGTCTCACACATTTTCTTAAGGTGTTCTCACTAACAATAGAACAGGTAATTATTGATTCGGCTAAGCTTTACATCTCACAAAAACAGACGGTGCTCGACCCTAATCCTCAGTTGCTTGTGTTCTCTGCCCACCAAGGCGCCTCTTTGAAAGAGAGAGCCGCCACGATATTTAACTACGCTAAACAGCATCCTGATCAACTACCCAACGTCGCATATACTCTAGGATGTAGAAGAGAAAACTTAGCTCAGCGTGCTTTTGCCATCTACGATGGTGTAAACACTCCCGAGCTCTCCCCTGTTGTCAAACATAAAACTTCTCCTCGGGTTAATTTTGTCTTTACTGGGCAGGGCGCGCAATGGGCAAGAATGGGGGCTGACCTTTGCTCTCAATATCCCAAATTTCGTGATGCTATACATCAGATGGATGCTGCTCTTACGAAACTGCCCCGTCCTCCTAAGTGGACAATAAAAGAGGAGCTCATGCGCTCTGTGGAAGAAAGCAAGATTCAGCAACCGAAATTCTCACAACCGATATGCACTGCACTCCAGATAGGTCTTGTGAACCTACTAGAGGGGTGGGGTATCACTCCCGCGGCTGTGGTCGGTCACTCTAGTGGCGAGATGGCGGCTGCGTATGCAGCTGGAGCTTTGACTCTTGAGGAAGCTATCATTGTTGCTTACTATCGCGGACAAGTTACTCAGAATCACGGACGAATTGGTGCTATGGCAGCTGTTGGCCTTGGCCGGGAAGATGCCGCCGCTTACCTCCAAGAAGGCGTTGTCATTGCGTGTGAAAATAGCCCCAAGAGCATCACATTGTCAGGAGACGTTGAACGTCTGGATGAGGTTATTGCTAATATAAAGAAAGATTTGCCTGACATCTTCGCTCGCAAGCTGAGAGTTGAAAGAGCCTATCATTCACACCACATGTGTGAAATTGGCGGTATATATGAGAAGCTACTGGATGGTTTCGTGAAAGATAAAAAGCCTTCCGTTCCTTTCTTTTCCAGCGTTACCGCAAAACAAATCAAGAGACCTGGTCAACTTGGACCATCATATTGGAGGCGAAATTTGGAAAATCCAGTGCTATTTTCACCGGCAGTGCAGCTCATGATGCACTCGGCAGTAGAAGATACGGTATACCTTGAGATTGGCCCTCACACTGCTCTGCGCGGACCTCTAAGGGATATCTTCAAGTCCGTGCAAATTTCGACTGCATCCATTTATATTCCCACTCTCGTTCGAAATGATAGCGGTCCCAAATCAATCCTCAGCTCCCTTGGACAACTGTACCAAGAGGCTTTTCCTGTCAATATTGCTGCCACAACAGCAGGTCGCACCGTATTAACAGATCTTCCTAATTATGCATGGCAACATGACACTGCATACTGGTATGAGAGTCGAGTTTCGCGCGATTGGCGCCTTCGCAAATTCCCTCCTCATGAGCTCCTTGGAAACCTTATTCTGGAGTCTGACGACTTGGAACCTACTTGGAGGAACATGTTCCGTTTGGACGACGTTCCTTGGGCTCGCGACCATAAAATTCAAGATGACATTGTTCTACCAGCTGCAGCTTATATCGATATGGCTATTGAGGCCCTTAGACAACTCAATGGAGGCGGCGAGACCGATGCATCTCTAAAGCAAGTGGAGATCCAAAATGCCCTGATTCTAAAAGAGCAGCAAGCGCACGAAATTGTAACACACGTTCGCCCTGTACGCCTAACCTCTAAACTAAATTCCACATGGTACGAATTTGCCATTTCATCATTCAATGGTGCCTCTTGGACGAAGCACTGCGTGGGCAAGGTGAGGTCGGGTAAAGAAATTAGTGCTGGTAGTGAAGATGTCGGACAACAGCCTCGTCAAGTTTCCACCACCGGGTGGTATCGTATCATGAAGAAAGTAGGGCTGAATTATGGACCTGATTTTCAAGGCTTATCCGACATTTCAGTCTATCCTGGACGCCATACTACTGCTGCCACCATAAAAAACCGCGATCCAACGCTTGGTCCTTATTACTCTCTACATCCTAGCATCATAGATCTTGTGCTCCAGGCGTTCACAGTTGCCATTGCTGACGGGTTAACTCGACAACTCAGACAGCTCTGTGTGCCAACATATATAGATGAGCTATACATCAGCAACGGCCAGCCTGAGATGCGGCTTGGCACTGCTGCTGTATCAAGTGCAACTGGGGCAATTCGTGGCTCAGCCACTATTATGGCCAACAATAAGGTAATTTTGAGCTTAAGAAATGGCGAATTCAGTCCACTAGAGAGCGGTGATGCGGATAAAGCCGGTCCCACACCAGCTGCTCATTTGCATTGGAAGCCTCATATCGACTTTATTTCGCCAAATAATCTCATCTGTCCAGTCCGTCCCTTGCCAGATGTAGATGAGGTAGTGAATATCGAAAAGCTGGCTCTTTTATACCAATTGTCTATCCTTCAGCACATTGAGCGAATTCAAATCCCTAAACCCTATATATACTTCAGCAAATGGCTCAATAAGCAACGAACAAAAGCTCTTAAAGGCAAATATGAAAATGTGCCAGACAGCGCGCATCTCGTTCAACTAAGCCCAAAGAAGGCTAAAACAGAAATTGAACGTACCAAGGAACATCTTCTGCGAACAAGCTGTGCCGGGATTGCTACTATCATTAACCTGCTTGCTACAGGCGCAGAGGCTATCTTTAGGGGCGAGCAGAACATAGACGATGTACTCAAAGACGATGGCGGATTTTCTAGCTTATACAGCTTTATTGATAGTCGATGTGACTTCTCATCTTTGTTAAGCACGCTCGCTCATACCATTCCCACAATGAGAGTGCTAGAACTTGGCATTGGAGCTGCTGGTATTTCCATAAAGGCCTTGAAAGCCCTCATTAATTCAGCTGGAAAGCATTGCTACAGCAAGTATGTTTACACAGCTCGCGATGAGGGATCTCTCGATCTTGCTCGGCAGAAGCTAGAAGAATGTGAGAATGTAGAGTTCAAAACTCTTGATCTCACCAAGGATCCCAAGTCGCAAGATTTTGAGCTTGAATCTTTCGATCTCATCATTTCCACCAAGGCTTTTCACCGCTGTTCTGATGTTCGGAGTGCCCTCCGAAACGTTCGCGAACTCATGAAGCCAAATGGCCGACTACTTGTTCAGGAGGTATCGCCTAGTGCGAACTTTTATAAATTCATAATGGGCTTCTCTCCTGAACGATGGGAGGTAAAGGAAGACTGTCGTGACGATGAGTACTTATTCGATATACACCAGTGGGATAATCTCTTAATGGAAGCCGGATTTTCTGGGAGCGAAGGGTTGACTATGGACAAAGACAATATCACGCTGAATATTCTTACTACGGCAGCTAATCCACTACGAGAATATGGGAAGATCACTCTTCTTGGTCATCACGAGTTTGAAGATCATACGCAATCTCTTTCTGAACTGCTTAGTTCACAAGGCTATGAGGTTGCGTTTCGTACACTTACCCAAGAGCCGGATCCAAACGCAGATGTTATCTCTCTGTTAGATCTGCATGATACAATGTTCTTTCAGATGTCGGAAAGCACATTCAATGCATGGCAACGATACATTGGCAAGTTCCCCGCGGAAAAAGGACTATTATGGGTGACCGGTCACGCCCAAGTTGGATCACAAGATCCTCGATACGCCACTACAATTGGGGCAACCCGCAATATTAGATCCGAACTTTCATTGGATTTTGCGACACTTGAGCTAGATTTGAAGGATTTTGATGCAGAAGGCGTTCTACACGTCTTCGAAAAATTCTGCAATAGGACCAAAGACGATGAGTTTGATCCTGATTGGGAGTATGCTCTTGTCAACGGTAGAGTCATGGTCCCGAGATATCAGTGGATAGATATCGCGGAACATAGCGGAGGAGAAGCAAATATTAAGTCCAGCTCCCCAAAGAAGCTCGAGATGGCACGCATTGGCCAACTGCAGACTTTACAATGGACAGAGGATGAAACTATCCCGTTACAAGATAATCAAGTAGAGATTAAGCCCCGTTCCGTCGGCATGAACTTCAAAGATATTCTTGTTGCTATGGGTATTGTTGAAGGTTACAAACCAGGTCTTGGTATTGAGTGCTCTGGTATCATCCGCAAAGTCGGTAGTAGCGTCAAAGACTTGTTCCCTGGAGATCGAGTTATGGCGATCGGTCACGGATGTTTTACAACAAACTACATTTCAGACGCAAGGCTTGTGGTCAAAATACCCAAAAATCTAAGCTTTGAAGAAGCAGCTACAGTTCCGTGTGTTTATGCTACTGCAATTCATGCCCTTATTAACATCGGTGGATTACGTGAAGGCATGTCAGTTCTCGTTCATTCCGCCTGTGGTGGCGTTGGAATAGCAGCACTTAATGTCTGCACAATGATGGGGGCTAAGGTCTACGCCACTGTTGGAAATGCCGAAAAGGTTCAATATCTGGTAGATAACTTTGGCATCTCACGCGAGAACATCTTCAACTCCCGCGATTCTTTGTTCTACAAGGATCTAATGGCGGCTACAAATGGTAGAGGTGCAGACCTAGTGCTTAATTCTCTGTCAGGAGAACTGCTTCATACGTCATGGAAGTGCGTTGCCCCCTTCGGCAAAATGCTGGAGATTGGTAAACGCGATTTCATCGGCCGAGGACAGCTTGGTATGGAAATATTTGAGTCGAACCGGTCGTTCCACGGCATCGATATGTCCCAAATGGCCGTGGAGAGGCCGGATATGTGCAAAACAATTCTAGAGCAGTTTAACAAATACTACGAGCAGGGCGCCATCAAGCCTATCTCACCCTTGAAGCGCTTTGACGTTACTGATGTTATGGAGGCTTTCCGATATATGCAAAAGGGGCAGCATATTGGCAAGATTGTGGTGTCCATGCCAGCTGACGCGTCCAAATTACAAGTTGCGGCAAAACCTCATACAGCAAAGTTCAAAAACGACAGGACGTACCTCTTGGTTGGTGGCCTCGGGGGTATAGGCAAATCTGTCTCTAACTGGATGGTACAAAATGGTGCCCAACATATCATGTACTTGTCTCGATCTGCTGGAGATTCTGAGCAAGATAAGAGATTTATTGAAGAAATTGAAGCGCAAGGGTGTGATGTACAGGCTATCAAGGGAAGCGTTACGAATTTGCAAGATGTTTATCGGGCAGTGAAGCAAGCAGCGAAGCCGATTGCCGGTGTTTTCCTAATGACGATGATTCTAAGGGTAAGTCATATACATACGGCTCTCGCATACCGTTTCATTTATTAACATATATGTATAGGATCGTGGTATTTTACAACTCTCTCACGAGGACTGGTTCACAACGGCTGGGCCCAAAGTTGATGGCGCGATCAATCTTCACCAAGCTCTAGAATATTGCGATTTGGACTTCTTCACCTTGTTTAGCTCCATATCTTACATTGTAGGACAGGTGGGCCAAGCAAACTACTCAGCAGCCAACGCGTACCTGACGGCATTTACTCAATTCCGCCACGAGCAGGGACTACCAGCTGGTGTGCTGAACGTCGGAGTTGTAGATGACGTAGGATATGTTGTTGAGAACCCAGCTCTGCTTGAACAATTTCGCGCCCTCAACTTCTACACTCTTGGAGAAACTGAGCTACTTGACGCCCTTACGTATACGTTATCTCATCAGCATCCTGCAGCCTCCTCTTCGGATGTTGGCTTCTACAACCCATCTGAGCTTGCTATTGGCCTCAAAAGCACGAAGTCACTCTCTGATCCTACTAATCGCTGTATTTGGAAGCGTGACCGACGCATGGCCCAAGCACATCTTCACGACGCTGGCACTTCTTGCAGCAATGGACTCCCCGAAGACTTTGGCCAATTCATAAAGAGTGTCCACACCACTCCTTCGCTGCTCGAGATGCCGAGGAATGTTGACTTTTTGACAGGTCAAATTGGCTTATGCATTTACAACCTCATGTCACGAGATGTGAAGGATTTGGACTTGAGTCTTAGCCTCATCCAGCTGGGTGTTGATTCGCTCGTCTCTATTGAGATTCGCAACTGGTGGCGCCGCACGCTGGGCGTTAGCATCAGCACGCTTGAGTTCATGGGTGCTGGAAGCATTACCAACCTGGGCAAGTTGGCTGCCAAGGCCATAAAGGAGGCTCACGAAGCTGCTTAAAGGTTCCCATGACACGGGTCGTTTTGGAGGCTCTCGATGTCCCTCGTCTACGTCGGATCGGGCCGGTCCTTGAGGGATTTCCGGAAGAGCTCCCTAGATTGAGCTCGGTTGGGGGATATTGATGATACTGTTACAAGCTATCTGGTTTCAGCAACTTTCATTCATTCGTTCATTTCTTTTTCTTGTAATTTTGTTTCGAAAGAAATGTGAAATGAAGGTTAAATCGAAAATTTGCTCTTTGCATTATGTAGCTTTTCTTACATCTATTATCATAATATGCTGTATACGAAGCATTTCAGCCAGTACTATTATTCTAGCATTATTTCCTAGGCATAATTTAAATCCAGTTATCTCATGGCCATATCCAGTTGGACAAGTCACTACCTTCCTTGCGCTGCTTGCAGCCGATACAAATCTATACAGCCGTAAACCAGTGTCGAAATAAGCGGTGAAGCCGTCGCTTTCTCTGTATCATGACTTGCATTCCTCACAATACGCCACATCAATTGCGTGGACAAATAGCAAGCTGAAGCCGCGCTCAGCGTGCAGCAAGCCTCTCTGCCACGTCGTCTAGCTTAGGTGACGTTGAGGCAGAATCCCGGTTTCATTTACATGGATGCAATGCAATGCAAAACAAGAGACACTGCGCTCGTCCTACCTACTACAGAGTACATACACGTATTTAGCTAACATGATTATGCTTATAATAGAATGTCCATGCCTGTAAACCGTGCTACATATTACTTGCATACAAGTGCTGCAAAACATGCAAAGCACTGCAAAGCTCATGCACATTAATGAGCACATATGCTGCTTTGAACGTAGCCAAGACGAACAATTAAAGCGATGATATGGGGTAGTGGGGTTGTCGCCAATCTTATCTAATCGTTCAGGGTTTTTGCGATGCCCCAGCCGTGAAGCCCTCTCAAAGCCTTCTCTCTCTTTTCTGTAACAAAAGGAGCATTTCAGTAAAACTAGTGTTTTATATACATACAATCGGAGCAAAATATGTTAATCCCATTCTCATTCCTTTTCGTAGAACCTACTGCTGCCATGCTTACTGATTTCATGAGTCGTGGTAGGGTGCCTGACTGTACTTGGATGCTGCAAATAATCATGTCATCGCATCTGTCAGCTTTGGTGAGTACAGGGAATCTTTAGACACCATATATATATATATATATAGAAGAAACGAATAGATCCAAAAAAAAAAAAAAAAGTACTCTTTTAACTACTCTAGCCAACCGCTATAGCTCGATGGGGAAAGAAAATATATCAGTTTATCAAACATGAATGTATGCCTCCAAGGAAAGCGAGTTAGAAACAGTCCAATCTCAACGATCCAACTTCATCAACCCTATCGCGCTCTCACCAGTGAGCTAACACCAGCACCAACAACGAAGATGAGAAATCCCCTGTTCGTGCCTTTCCCACATGTCTCCTCAAAGATCTTGCTTCGGGGAGGCAGTAAGTAGGCAGAAACAAGGGAGAAAAGGAGGGGCCGGTAAGCGCTGCAGAGCCCCCACATCGCCCTAAGACCTGTCGGCCGATGCCACTAATGAGATCGAAGGCGATCATCCGCTTTCTTGTTCAAGCATACCCCCCTAGTGCGTATGATCTTTTGGCCAACCCTAGATGCATATGATATTTGTGTTTACTAGTTGGAACCAGGGAGATAAAGAGGAACCTCCATGGGAAGTTCTTTGTGAGGCTTGAGCGAGTCGATGGACCCAGACACATGAGTACTCTCAACAGGCTTGCGAGTGAAGAATACAAGCATGTCGCGGTGAGCCTCTTTGGTCTTGTCCACAGGGTAAACTGCGGACAAGCTGTGTTTACGCTCATGGTCGACAATCATGAGCGTATCAAGAAGTCTCTTGTGCTGAACTCGCGCTAGCAGGTGCTTCGGCTCAATCTCTTCCAAGGGAATGCCTGTCTTCTCATCCATGTCGTGCATAAAGGTGGCAGCACTATTGTCCGACATGTTGTAGCTCCCCAGAAAAGTGGTCATGGTGTGGTCGACACCATCGGAGTGCACACCCTCCAGCGCAGGCTCTCCCAAAATGTGGGGAGTAGTGACAGTACGGAGGTTAAACAGAGTACACACCCACTTGTTGATGCCATACTCCAGCTTGGGGCGGTGGGCAATTTGCATGCCGTGGATAATCATAGCCTTGAACGCGAACAGCGCTTGGAAGACTGAGTTGAGCTGTAGGTTGTTTTGGACCTCGTCAAAGCGGCGAATGGCTCCAGAGTCGTAGCGATTGAAATCTTCCTCGACAGTTAGGACAAAGGGCTGAAACTCTAGACGGCGAATAGAGTGAGTGTCAAAATCAAGGCAGAAGCGACTGTTGCGAGAGAGGCGGAAGGGCAGAGTAGGGTCGTGATACAAGGTGTCTGAGACCTTCTCCATCTTAGGGAGGTCGGCCTCCTTGGCGCCGAGGCCCAACACAATATCGATCATATCAGCAGACTCGACGAAGATGCAGCGATCACGGAGGTATTTCTCACGGAGCTTCATGATCTTGCCGATGGTCTCGTAAAACTTTGGATTATATGCCTGCTCCCTGACGTTAAGCTGAGTATAACCTTCCGGCTGGGGGAAAGGCTCTGCGAGGAATTGCTGATGCTGCTGTAACTGCTGGGCCACATTGGGGGGAGGAGGCGGGCCATTATTCAGAGGCGTCTGCGTGACTATGGCCTCGACGGCTTTTGCCTTGCTAGACTCATGAAACAACCGCTGGCTACCGCGATTGGTGATGGTAGGCGAAAAACGAAGCAGAGGTGCCGAAGCACGGACTGTGCGTTGCGCATACCTGAATGTAGACATGATGTTGATGAGTCAAGTGTGATAGATAACAACCAATAAAAGGCTTGTGGAGAGTTTGTTTTTTCTTCTTTAAATTCTTAAAAGAAAATAGATCTTCAATTTTGATTTCAAAAATCTTTAATGATCAGGAGTCAGTTCAGGAGTGGCTCAGGATAGCCCCCTATCAGGATTTGTAAGAGTAGCTCAGGATAGCTCTCTGTCAGGAGTTGAAGAGTAGCTCAGGATAGCTCTCTGTAACAAAAGGAAATCAGGATTTTTTGAGTTTGGTATGGCTCAGGATAGCCCTCAATAGTAGATATAAAAAGCAAAGAAAAGAAAACTGTTTATCTGCTCTGTCAAAAGTTCTTCCTCAAGAAAAACGACAACGAAAAGGAATCTAGGATAGTTCCCTCTTTAGGACGTTGAAAGTTGATAGACGGAGAAAAATAAGAAGAAAAAGAAGAAGAGGAGGAGGAGGATGATGATGTTTGGAACACAGACGTGTAAAGTTGCCTTGCCTGTCTTTTCAATGAGATCTTAGAAGATGAAATGAGTATGAGAAGGTGGGAAACACCTCCCTCTTATTCTCGAAGGGACACTCCCAGCGCCAAGGATGTTGTGAGACAAACGGCTCATGGTGGGAAGGTGAAAGCAGGGGAGGGATGGTGTCGATCAATCCCATTGAGTACCATGACCTTCGACTTGAATCCTTGGGAGGAGTAGTCCTACACATAGTACTAGTGGTACCGTAGTAGCATCGCTTCATAGGTTCCTGAACGAGACACACCACGAATAACTGCGTCTTTCAGCCAGCCTCAGGACACACTAGCGTCGTATTCCTATGTCAACCAGCATTGATTCAAGAGGGGCCTTCTTGTCTACGCGAGACATCGTACACACTTTTAGTTTGCTAACACCACAGCTTACTACAAGCACAAACAAGGGGAAAGAGTTGGACAGCTTTAGCGTGGTATTACTAGCTACTGTATAGTCTCTACTATAATATCTTAATCTGGTTATAATTGAAGGGCATAATATTACAGTTCTCGAAGCAAGACGATGGATTCCATAAGCTATGGTTTATCTTACGTTGACCATGTTAAAAATTTCCCGAGACAGTCTCTCTCATGGGTGCCACCTAGAACGAGACAACAAGACGTGCCCCGCATGTATATGAAGTAACTCCAACAAATCAATTGCTTTCAACATCCACGTATGTTGCTGGTATGACGGGCTCAGACGAAAGTGAATGTGATACTAAGATGTAAATACATCATACACTTCATATTATACTGTATCACTCACACCGGTATAGCGATATCAACGCGAGGGTGCATGCAGGGCCGTCTTACTATGGCTTTGAGGGCAGACCAATGGATTTCCTTGCCGGTGCCTCAGCCGGTGGACAGGCAGCCGGTGAACGTTGCTAAACTGCTGCGTGCATTAGCTTCTATGCAGTTCTCAAAGGAGATAACAGTGCGTCTGAAGCTGAAATCCTCTGATTCCCGCGGGTACATCACTAGGCTAGTGGCCAAGCCCGATCAGCAAGCTGCATACACAGAATATGCTGTTTCCAAATGGAGATGAGCCGCGGGTAATTTTCAACTTTTCTTTCCGAGTTACACAGCGCACTGCTGTATGACCTTGAGCACATACTGCAGTAGCCCGGCGGCATGTAGCGAATATTTCACCGACTGAAAAAATGGCCCGAGACATAGTGAACGGGAGAATCATTCTGCTACAGCGTTTTCACTATACCATGTAGAACCTGATACGTCAGACTCGGCGGATGATGTAAGGGCGGTGCAACATTGGTGCTGAGGAGAAGCGATTCGCTGTGCGTGTTTGAGTGAAGATGTCGTTTTTATTCATCAGTGTGATGCAACCGAACGCATGCATTCCACAGTTCCAAGCAGCACAGAGGGCTTGTAATTTGGTGGCTGGGGCGAAAACAAACGAACTTGTTTATTCCTTCTTTCCCTAGGCTAATTAACCGGTATACATGTAGCCTTGATATACTGGACTGGGTGCTGCGGCATGATTGGCAGCATATATTACAGGGCTACGGCGATGTTGCGAATTGTACCTTTGCAACCGAGGCATGCCGAGAAGTTGTTTTCACGCGGGCACAAGTACTATTTCAAGTTTGGTCTCTATTACTTACTGCTTTAGGATATGCGGCATCCTGCACAACAAAGCTACATTACAAAACGCCTCGGGGCACAAGCGTAGTGTAGTCATCTGAAAGCCATATTATAGTATTACATATGCAAATGCCCTTTGTACCGTGATGCCAAGTAATCATACATTCGTTCATCTATTAGGTACCTAGCCGGGTCACCATCCGCTCCCGCAGCCCTCCATCAAGCCATTCAGGATTCGCGCCCTCAGGTATTCATCCCTCCAACTCTCACCACTACGTCGCCACCACCTGCATGTATCTCTGCCAAACCCTCACAAACGTAATCACCGCCATAAGGGCCCACGCCTCCCCCAGCTCACCGGTTGCCCCACTGTTAAGGAACTGGAACTTGGCAGCCTTTCTCAGGCTCATGGATGAATCCGCCCAGACAGCCAATATCTCCCCAGCTGGGAGCTCATTCTCAGATTCGTCTTCGTCCTCCGCGTCACTCGCAATTACGCGCCTTAATTTCCACCCGTGAGTCCATTCGTTCAAATCCTTCACCTCCTTGCGTCCTGAGCCCACCCACTCAAATCTCTGAACGCGTCGCGTTGTTTTCTCCCCCTCTCTGGTGTCCACAACCGTGGCAAATGAAAAGACGTCCGTCAAGCCCTTTCTTCGGCGAGACATTTTCTCATCAATGACTTCTTGGCCCGGCCCAAGAGGGGGCAGCGTGACTGCATCTCCCATCCCCGACTTACCAGTGTTGCGCACAGCGGCCAGCGGCGGGTGTTCCAGAGTAGGGCCGTTGTACATGATTAGATCCCCCCACCAGCCTTCCGGTAGGTTGAAGACATAAAGTGGCTCGGAAGGAGCGTGGCCGAGGATCATTTTGAACTTCTTCCATGAGGGATCGTAGTAAAGCTCAAAAGTACTGGGGAATGTAACTCCAGCAAGGGTCGCGTTGTGGATTTTCTGGTGGGCTTCTTTTGACTCGGCGCCACCCATGATTGCTAGTAGTAATAGAGGAGTATTAGGTGTAGTAGTAGATTGTGCTATTATTGTAAAATGAGAAATACACTCAATTCGCAGTCTTTTTATGCTGGTATTGAGAGGAGATGTAGTTTCAATGCAAGTAATTTTCATGAAATTCTCTCCACACTCGCTGCTATATATAATTGTTAATTTTCTCCATCCTCGCTGGCAAGAAAACCCTCAATTTCTCCTGGGCTCCGTCATGATTTCCAAATGCGGTAATACGCAGCGCTGGCAAGGCGTTGGGCCACATCAAGGCTCATTAGGAAGCAGGATCACTCCGCACAGCCACATTGCATAGCCAACGTGCTCGACCTAGGCCTAGCTTCTTTTCAAGAGAAGCTCATGGGTTCTATAAAAAATTAAGGTTACGCGTAGTGAGTAGAATCACCCGTAAGCTTATATGCTATCGAATGATTGATTTTGATTGATTTCCATTTGCTTTTGCCAAGGTTTAATGAGCACTGCCGCAGCCGGGATAATTGCGGCGCATAACCCATGAAATGGCCTGATTCCTACTCGAGATCACATTTGCAGTAGTTGACAGTGAAGGAAATAAACAAAAATAGCTAGAATAAATCTATCCGACACTTCCATCTTTGCTATGGCAGGATCTAAACTTAAGATGGTTTTAGGCGCTCTTTGCAGCAGCAGCATCAACTGCATCCGCCATCTCCTTCATGTTCTTGAACTTCCACGAATAGGCCACTCTCTCTTCATACTCTTTCGGATCTCCACCCATCACACTCTCAACTTCCTCCCCCCGTTCAATCCACGCGCTCGCTATGCCAATCTGCTTCGCAGGCACATGATCGTGATGCAAGCTTTGTGCTGTATGCAAGATATCTTCCTTCTTCACGCCTAGGTCCTTGTCGCAGTGCCCAATGAGATATTGGAAGTTTCTCAAGTCGGGTTTGTACGAGCCAATTTCCTGCGCCGTGTATATAGCGTCAAAGGGAAAGCCCAGAAACTGCTTTTCAAGCGTGCGCTTGAACGAATCAAGATCTACATTGGAGATGATGACCAGCTTGAAGTGCTTGTGCAGCCGAGTCAGGGCATCAAGAGTGTCTGGGTAAATGGGCCAGCTGCCAACACTGTATCCAAACTCGGCCTTGGCCTCTTGGTCGGCGGCGACACCTAGCTCAGCGGCGAGATTGCCATAAGCTTCAGCTAGAACGGTATGATAGAGGTAGGTCGGATTGGCAGTCTGAACGAGGCCCTCGTGCCGAACTATAGCACGAAGCAATCCGAGACGGTCATTCTTGAGAGGATGCGAGTCATCAAGCTGCTGGTACAGAGGCCGAAGGTTGTTGTAAATGCCAGACTCCCAGTCCACAAGGGTGCCGTAGCAGTCGAAAGTGAGAGCCTTGAAAGTGTTGATTGCTCTTGTCGTTGTCATGTTTTCTGTCTTTCTTTCTTCTTAATTTCGTTTCTTCTCTTTTTGGTTATCGATTCGGTTGATACAGGATACGAAACCACTGCCTTTGCTCAATTAGCCCAACAGCGTGTCAAACTCGCGGATGCTATTTATCCCCACTGATAGGTAATCGCATGAAAGCATGAAACTTGGGCCGTGCAATACCCCTCCAATTACCACTATAGAAGATATGAACGACGCGGGGTCTTCAGCGCGGGGCAACTCCATAAGACGCTGCTGCAAGGCGTTCTCTGGCCGCATTCCCATAATCACACTGAGTATTTTACCTCACGTAATGTAGCTACTACCGGGGCGGCTGTAAACGGTAATTCCTAATCGGGAAGTCGTATTACATCATCCACCGTGGCGCTCAGAATTCGCCAAAACAGCGGCCACCACATATCGGATTGCCATTTCTCGTTCTGAAAATCTTCTATAGCCCCTATAGCAATCAGAGATTATACTCCATAGCATTATCTGCCTAATTGCAACTTGAGATGTAAAGATTAAGGCAAGTAACATGTGATTTCCAAGGCCATGAGGTGGCAAGGTCAGCCAAAACTATGTAAGCTTTTCCTTGCTTACAATTTTCGAGTTGGATAAAACTTGTGCCAGAGGAGGAGATTCACAGGCATGCAATCATATTTATTGATGTCGGCCCTAGTATATTATTGGTATCTATTCGATATGGCAGCATGAACAAACTGCTACGTATGTGCGCCTGGACATCTCAACGAACTATGATGCTCCAATAATAAGAAGCTTCAGTCGCATAGAATATGGACTAAATCTATGAGTCAGAAAGATAGAAAAGGTAGCCCAGCAGCAGTCTCTCATAAAAGTGCCATAGTCAGGGATGCCGTCTCTCGATCGAAGCTATAGCCGGAACCTTTACCCAATAGCTCGGCAAATCTTGCAGTTTCGAAGCGCACAAAATCCCGCTTTCTAATCAAGCTGATAAGTTACAGTGATGAATGCTATTACATATAAGATTCGGGGCCGGACCGTATTTCAACTCAGCCATCACCTATCAAAAGCCATTAGTAGTGGCCGTTCCCTAGTAGGCAATGATACAACCTAAGTTGGCAAAGCAAATTATATGCCATATTTAATATTCTATTCAATCTATTCAGTATGGAATGACTTGCTTGAAAGAACTTTATCTTAAATAACCAATGATCTCCGCTACTTTTCCCTGCTCACGCCTCTATAGGTCTATCATTAAACTGGACTCAGATTTTATGATTCACGATGCGGCCACTACACGTTGAGTATCTGTTTAAAAATAGTCCAACGAGGGTTTGCCTCCGGAAGCCGGCTTTGTAGAGCCGCCAATACTGTCTAAAATCTCTAGAGCCAGGTTAAGCCGCGTTGTAACATCTTTGATCTATATACGGCATTAGCCATACGCAAACCGCTTTGTTCTTCAAAGAGTCAATATCCTTACCCGCGTGTCGTTTGTCTTATCAAACATTTCATAGTGGTTTGAGTCTACATCAAGTACTGCTTTGATAAACTCTGGTGTATTACCTGCCCAGCCTAGGGTACGATCGTTGCGATACTTGTCTATTATGAACGGCTGAGTCCTGCCTTCAGGGAGAGGCATAGGCTCAGTGCACCGAAGCAAGACTGTAGGCGGCGTAATTAGTAATGCTTTTTCAGGCTGCGATTCCTCCAGCGGCTTATACTGTGGCACTTCAATCGGTGACCATATTCCATTGAAGGGCTTATACAGCACTTTCCCAGGTGGAACAGAATAGCGTCTTCCATCAACACCAAAGAAGATAAATTTGCCATCGCACGCAGGACCGTCCCATTTAGGCACCTCCCAGTTCTCAAGCATCTCATCGCAGCGGTCGAAACATTTCTGCACAGCTTCTGGGATATTTTCAATGACAGGATCGTCGGTGGGCCCCTCTTCTTGGTTGTATGGAGTGTGATATGGCGTGTCCATCATCACGATACCCAAAATCCTGATCTTAGCTTCAGGGTCCTCAGCCAAGAAGCGCGCAACAGTCAGGGACAGATATCCACCAAGAGACCAGCCTGTGACACAGGACGACATAGAGACGTTAGTCTGACAGAAACTAGAGTTGCGGGTTGCAACGCGCATCAGAGCCAGTCACCTAGCAGAAATCCTACAGGATAACGAGCACAGGTATGGAATAGCACGCGCTGCTCATTCTGCACCTACCGCCCAGCAAGATATCGCCCTTGATGCCCGCATCATTCATATATCCGATGTACAGCCGCGCCATCTCATCTAAGCCGCCTTCAAAGGCACCTCCATCGAAGAAATGAGGATTATGAATTGCCCATACATCGCGATAAAGATTCCCCAGCATAAAATAACCAAATGTTGTGCCACCTCCATCGTGGATTAAAACTAACGGTGGTGACGGATTTGCCCGCTTATAAGCCGGCGAGATTTGGACTTTGATGGGATTGGGTCCGCCTTCGTACATTTTGAATAGATGCTACTGTGTATGAATATTTAATAATAACAGAATTGAGAAAATTAAACAATGGCGCAAACAATGCGTACGCTCTAAAAAGACGTATGTCAGCACTCTATCAGGCTCTCCGCAACCGCAGCCCAAAGTGCGTCTGTCTTACGTTCCACATTGCTAGCCGGACGAAAGCTATTCCATCCCGGTAGATTCAATGTTCTTTTTCTACGAAGGAACAGTCGTCTTAGTATAGCAATGGAAGTTATGTAAGCCCGTGCTCTCAAAATTCCAGAGTCCATGATCAAACACAGGGATATTATTGCGGGTGCGCTGCGGATCCGCGATGTTAACACACCAACCGCTCATAATATACCACCAATACTAGTAGCAGTTTGATGCCCTGACGAAGCGGTTGTGGTGATCAGTTAGATGGGAGCTCCGCTATAAATGGGCTGGAATCGAGATTGGGGCATCCACAGGGGAGACGCTCTATTTTGGGTCTAATCGCGATTTAGTTGTCACTGCTGCTACGAGCGCAATTCTGAGAGTAAGAAGTGAACAAGTATCCCCGCATTGGTATCAAAATGAGGCAGAATAATAATATTAAGAAAACGTAGCTGCTTTTCTCATGCCAGTTGAATAGTATCCCATCGCCAACATATCAAGTTGCCCAGCAGTAGCTAATACTTCAAGTTTCCGCCATCGCCAGCCACCCGTAGGCTAACCGGCCCCAATCGTGATCGGCAATTCTGGCGGGTTGACAGCTTGACAGGTAAGCACTTCGCCCTAGGATCCATATTTTGACAATTGTTACCGTTATCCTGCTGTGATAATATGGGCTGTGAGCAGGCTAACGACTCTCCCTTGCTGTGGTCTTGTCTCAGAACGGTGTTAAGGCACGCCTTTGGATCGGGGCGGCTCTGTGTTACCAACAGGAACTTCAAATTTGAGGCTTTCTCTCCCTACCTAAGAAGTGGGTGCCTCGTACGAGTAATACCTTGCATTTGCGCCCTCTCGCTTGTTCCACGTCCGCTACCTACACGTACCTAGCAATGAGCGAAATTACCTACGCTTTTGCCACGTTCTTAGTGTATATGCAGGGAGAAAAGGCACGAGCACACGCAAATGCCGTCGCCACGCTTCTAGTGCATATACGAGGTTGCATCGCATTTAATTTTGAAAGGCTTCCGAGAAAAGTTAAAGTATACAATCGGAAGCAGGACAAAAATATGGAGCAAGTCATAATTACTATCATACCGATATGAAATATGCCATAGCACGAGTGAATATGCTGTGCTCCGTGGCACTATGCAGGAGTAGTAACAAGGAATAGAGAATAGAGTATTGACCAGATCTTTTTTCCCGCCGCGATCGCTGCATTAGCTAGGGCTAAGGAGAGCAGGGGCAGAGACAAGGGGCAATGGCAAGCCACCTCATCACTTTTCATTTTTCGCCCTAAACTGTATTTACTGGAGATTACTCAGATTGCTCCCATCTGAGTAATATGATACCTACCTCTTTAGGTCTGCGAGCAAGTGTCGAAGGGAGCAAAGGATTGAGTTTGAGCTTCAGGTTAAACTGGTAATGCAAAGGAGGAAAGAGAACCAACGAAATTATAATGTCAAATACCTACATGTCAGTATGGTCTAATTCTAATTCTATCTGAATATATAGTGCCTTTATATCCCCAGATACCTCGCTGTCTGCAATATATCGAACATCTATGAGTTTAAATTAATCGCTTAAAAAGTAGACAAAACGAATTAATTACCGGTAGTCAGCAGCGAAAATACTTACAGGTTGTTACAAGTAATTCTGAACCTAGGTTACCTATACGCAATCATATCGCTTGGACGCTTGCCCACGGTATCGGATGTCGCATAATGCACCCTTTCATATCTCTGTTCTCTAATACCAGTGTGTAATTTATACTGACGTTAGTGTTAGCTCTCCTATATTAAGATCTATTAAGCTTAGAATTGGACTATTATGGTAACAGCATTCATGGTTCTTTCTTTATTTATCATATATATCTATGGTCTTGGAAGTTGATATACCTTGGATGGTAATTTTCCCAAAATGTTGACCGGGAAGTAATGTCGATAGAAAGCATGAGCTCTTCTCTTAAGAATTTATTCTTCTTCCATATAAATATCGACTTATTTAAGAGCTTAGTATTAAGCTCTAGGTCAACGATGTTTATATAAATATCCCATATTCGGGGAACGGCATCTCAGTTATGTTCGAGCTTGTATATTTCTTTATTATGCGGACTTTTTTTACATTACTCTGAAACGTTCTCAAGTATATGTGGATAGTTATAGTTTCTTATGCACTAAGTATGTCGATATATTTACAAAATGTTAATAGTCAACACAGTAAAAGCTATATTATATACCATATAAAGGTAAAACATTATGGCCTGTGAAACTCGTCGGTTACTCTACTTATTAAACGAAAGATAACATTGTGCAGTACAGTATTATAAGGCTATTACTGGAAACTCGATCTAATTGAAGTGATTTTACATATAGCCTCGGCATTTCTCATGATAAACTACGTTAAGAATGCTCAAGTATGTCGGCTTTATTACGATACCGTACCGTTTATACTGCTCTGCATTAATCTCATCGACTACCAAGTATTGTTCAGGATGTTCCGGGTGGCACTTTATTTGTCTCTCATAACGTGGAATTATTAAATAGATAAGCCAGAGGTAGTTGCCATAAGGGTCAAGGCCTATATATCGAATCGCGAATATTGCACTACTTTCTTTATATATCCCCATAATATACTAACCTATACTATATGTAAGCTGTTTTAAGAAGCAAGAGGTTCATCGATTGGCACAAACGGATCAGTCGAAATGAGGATCAAACACTCATAAGGTCTATGTATAGAATTTTAGACTATTAAGGCCAAGATTCCAATGACAATCATTTGTAAATAAGGGAGCTTAGGTAAATTGCCCGTCAGTGGGCTATTTCACTCATCATTGAGGACATATAGACCTTAGTACGCTCAATATAGTCTTGCAGTAGGTACTTCTTGAGGAAATAAGCAGTGATGGAGCCGAACCACGAAATGGTACTCATATTTTTAGATTTCTGATCAAGGCTACTTGAATTGAATATGTATATATAAATTAATTATTTGCTAAAATGTTTAATTTCACTTTTTCTCGTTACCGCTCGATGCTAATAATCAAAAACCCAATGGCGCCGCAACTGCCCAACTGAGCGCCATGCGCCAAGGTCACCAACAACCCATCTGGGATGCCAGTTTTTTATTTTCAGTCACAGCAATAAATATTTCAATGTATGAACTGAATAAGATAGGGAACAAATCAAAACCTATGTTAATATCGCACGACCATTAACCTTTGTCGTAAATGCGATATCTCCATGACATCTTGCCTCTGTATACATGCGCACCGTCATACGAATGATGACATAAAAAAGGGGGGGAACCTTTCTTCAGACATGAATAAAAAGATTCAATGAAATGTTATCATCGAATACTTTGTGCCTGGGAGTGATCTCTAAAGTAGATCCAGGGGCTGGTTGCAGCCGTAAGCTGAGATCGTTGCGTATAGAGCAGACGCATAGAATTCGTGCAAGAACAGCGCAATAACCCAGCCACGATGAGTAAAATGAGCCTTTAAGATAATAAAGCCAACGGTGCGTATTATTATCTCAGAGGCATGCGCCAATAATCTGCAACAATTGGTCGTTGGGTATTCGTCCTGAGAAGTTCGTGAGGAGAGTTGTTGCGAGTGCCGTATTCGAGCGGTCTCTCTGCCATGAATTGCGGCTGTCAAATGATAAGGCCATCCCTAGCGCCCATGAGTTGGGTAACTTGATGAGCGTTAGATTGTATTCATAAAGTATGACACAGCCATTCCACAATTACTCACCTGGTCTTGAATAGATCGCTTCAAATCAACAAGGGCTTCAGCGGTAGAAACCTGGTTAGTGATCTCGTGTAAGTCGAGAAGAGGGGTAATCTTGGCCATTAGAGGATTGTGGGCACTGGCAGCCTCAGATTTCAGCATAGACTCGGCTGTTTTGAGTATTTCCTCTTGGAAACCACGGCGCTCCCACGCGCTCCAATGCTTGGTTGCTTGAAATACATCGTCAATGACTTTAGGCAAGCGCCTATTACGGCTCAGTCGCTGCTCATTAGCTAGAAAGGAGGCCTCTCCAAAGTTGCCACAGTAATACGCAGATACAAGGGCATCAAAGCTATCAAAGCCAGCTGCTCGAACTTTCTCCATGATGCCCTCCATTCGCTCGTCTAGAGAGATGGTTTCCTGAGCTAGTTGAGGCATTGGAGATATAATACTGGAGCCGGAGCCAGTAATTTCATGGCAGTCTAGCACTGCATTAGGAGTGGTGGGTGCTGAGAAGGGAAGCATATTATTGTTGTTGTTATGGTTGTTGTCATTATGAGATGGTGGCGACGGCGACTCAATTTTCGACATGGTACCTGTTTTCCATACTTCCACGTTGGTATTCAAAGAATATTCCATAGCCTCTGCATGGGTGGGAGAGAAGGCGCTGACGCAGGGAACTTGCTCAGCCTGGATGATGCTTTCCAAGGCTATATCCAAGTCAGCCCTCGTGGCCCTTTTCACCAACAGAGGGCTAGAGGCTTCAGGCTGAAACTCACCTTGCGATGGTACGCCACTACCGGAAGGATACGAAGGGACGAAGTTGAGTTGCTGCTGAAGGCTATTAAGGCGGTTCAACAAGTGAGTCTGAAAACGCAAGCAGTCGAGTACGAATTCGTGAGGCAGCCTGGAGATTTGATCTACCATAGGTTGGTTTGGTGGAGATAGTAGGCCCCCAGCCTCTAGGTGAGTCTGTGCTTGCGGTGGACTGTTCAGGTCATTTCGAGGTATTGGTGGGAATATGGGCTCTGTCCCATCAGCAGTGGGCTCTTCGTACACGGCCGGCTGCATCAAAGAAAGCACTTGGCTAGGAGAGCTTTTGTTCTGAGACACAGGAGACAGAGGAGACTCGATGCCTGGCATTTGATTGATGGCTGTAAAGCCGCGAACCGCTGCTGCGGAAGTAGATGAATCACTGCTTTTTGGGAGTGGCTGTTGGGCTTTATCCTGCTCCCGGCCTTCTAGACGGGCTTGCAGCTCACCAAGACGTGCCTTCATACGGTGACCTGTGATTTTAAGCCATTGATAGTCAGCAAACATATTTTATGTCCAAGCTAATCTCTTCTCTCGACCTCGATAGATAGCAGGAAGTGGCTCTAAGAGCAAGAGCGAGAAGCATTGAGGGCGGGGCAAACATACGGTATGTTCTTTGAGCAACACGGTTCTGTATCTTTTTCTTCTCCTTGGGGTCTTCTACTTTCGTCCAGTCGTCTTCCTCCCGCATGTATACCGGGTAGTTTGGCAATACTACCTGCTTTTTCTTCTTGGCTGATGGAGTGTGAATGGGAGTGGTCGTGATATCTGCAGGATCAACTGTATCTGGAGGTGTAGAGTATTTTGGCGTGACTTCTAAAGGCATAACGTCCGGTTGTAATTGGTAGCCTGAGTCATGCGGTGAAGTTGAAGGAGATGTTACTGAGGTAGAGGGAGCTGAAACTGAAGCTGAAGGGACTAGAGGGGAGGATGAGGAAGATGAGGGATACTCCCAAACGAGCGTTGAGAAGGACATATTATCTGCCGTGGAGCTATTTGGCGAGTAATATTAAGCAAGTCGTAGGTTGAGACCAGATAAGATGGAATATTCCGAGAAAGCCTAGAAGATTGATGCCAATAAAATTAGATTACAAGTCAATAGCGGCCGCGGCTGATATAAGTATGAGTTCTTCAAGCTGTGATTTAGAGCTGTGATGCATCTTATACCACGTAAACGGGGGCTATAGTATTAGCAGCAGTTCATCCCACCAAACAGGTCGAAGCTTCCATAGCGCCTCCGCCAAACGTCTCAAGCTTTCTAGCCTATCAGCACCACGCAGGCACATGTATCCAAACTCCCTGTACGCAGTACAAGGACAAGGTTCTGGTGCTGCTCTTTGCCTAAGCCAACAGCGGCAACGCAAGCACCAGGTATAGATACGCACCCCATGATTCTCAGCCCGTGGACCTACGTACATAGTTACTTGTGGCCAGGGGAAATTCAGGGGTGTGCATGTAACGAAATGATCTCTCCTCCCTCCTCCCTACATACATGCACTCAAAAAAGGCGTGTTCATTGATGTATCCACACGGAGAGAATTACCTGTAAGTCTGCTAGTACTACCCCCGATACTAGTAGTAGATCTACTAGAAGCATGTATCCACACCCTCTTCTTCTCAAATGGCCAAACAGGCACAACATATCCTGGTCCAGTGGGAGCCTTGTTTCCCAACCATCACGAATGGGGCGAATGGGTGTCATTCTTGCTGTACGCAGTGTATATGCAATCAGGTATTCCTTGTCATAGGTTGGTAGTACCTACCTTAGCACCTGCTTTAGCTCCAAACTAAGGGTATACTATTCATGCAGCGGAACAAGAGAGCATCTTTTCTCGCTTCTTGCCCAAAGACGACGTTGGGCAGCCATCGTTGTTGGCCATAGAGCGGCAGACAGGCATGAGCGCAAGCACAGAATTAGGCCGGCAGGGCATGTGGATATAGCGAACAAAGCGGCCTACCAGGTTGAGCAGGGCACTGGTTTGTATGTAACTGTCGGTGCTGTAAACCCACTTGCATCCAGTCCTGTGCATCGGCGCCAGCAACTTACAAGTAGGTATACCAGATATGCCGCCCTGCATCAAGCAGCACTACAAGGCCAGAATATATCAGGAAGAAGAGAATGCCGGAAACATCTGAGAGCAATGTAGATTAACGTCGATAATAGATATTGATTGTCATTTAATTGTTAAATAACATGCTTTGATTAGGATGCACTATTCAGGAAGACGCGTCATTTACGGATCGCATATAGCCCCTGCTATCTTTAGGTACGACAATACTAGGACGCCAACAATATAGAGCAAAGCAAAATAAATCAACACAGAATAGGAATTTGTTCTCAACCGAACTTTCATTCCCACTCTCCTCTCCTCTGCAACCTCTTTCTCTATCTTTTGGAAATATATACATCCATTTTTGTGTGTCCAGCTATTTATTGGACATCATCCAACCTGTTTTGTAGGCCATCCCGTTTGCCGGGTCATTGGATCAACTCACACCGAAAGAATAAGCGTGTTCTGGTCCAGCTAGCCACTCAATTTCCACTTACATGGTCTCATATCGACTCGCTTCCGAGGTTTTTAATTTGCCCATCCCGGAGATTCTTCCGACTCAACCATGCTATCCTCCTATTATCCCTTGATGTCTTATAGTAATGGGGTGACGTCGCAGCCACTTAGAAACGCTGTTGTCGGCATCCAAGCAGCGAGCTGGTATTTGCCCGGCATGATATTTTGCCAACTGCATGTCGCCGCAGCACTAGCGGACTCTATGTGTGAGATGGCGATTCATATCCAGAGCTCATCGTACATCCCCAAGCCTGTGGCGTAGCTAATATGAGATCACAACCGCAGCCTTCATTTCTTTTTCGCTATGCCATTCCAGAAATGGATGCCCATCGCGCAAATCACACAAGCGCCAGCTGTATTACCACTTAATCTGCCAATTCGGCACTCGACCCCCGACCCCCGACCCCCAGCTTAGGCTGCTTTTGTTCAGATAATGTGCAACCTCAGGTAGTGCCGCTGTCAGCGCACTGATGTCCGGGCCTCTCGGGTTACATGACAGGAGACGAAGGATGGGCATCTAGAGACGGCTAGGGGTCGGCTTTTTACCCAATATATTCCGTCTCCGAAGCCACGACGGAGAATGCAAGGCGTGAACGATGTGGGAACTTTTGTACTACCCGCCGTGGGCCAGATCGGCCATGACGGCTTTCGGTCAGTTTTCACCAGGTTGATGGCTTCCGGAGCAAGCATGCCACCTTGAAACAGACGAAGTAAATCATTACCGAGAAAAACCGGAACAGAGGGAAGCAGTGAAAGGGAAAGCGTTCACATCTCAGTCCCTGGAACACTCATGTCCATTTTCCTCTATACGTCTTCAGTCTCCCTCCCACCATTTACAGGCATATCCTTGCCTTGATCCAGTAGATGGTGCTTAGTGACTTTACGGTGGTACCACAAGTACGAGTAAAAAGTTCCAGCACAGCTCCTCATCTGAAGCAGGCGATTCCTGATTAATACTAGGGATAGGGTTACGACATGAGAAGTTCCGAGAGCTGGGACTAGTATCTGGCATGGAGCGCGGGAGGCATCAGTGTCCGTCCTACTGGTGCTTTAGGTTCCCCAGTTGGATTTTGTGGCTGCATCAAGCTAGGTGAGGAGTATGAAAAGTGTCTAAGAAAAGTAAGACACCCAAGAAAAGCGGTCTTGGAACAAACATCAATGGATTACCGCCAACTCTCTATTGTGCATATGACCGGCCAAGGTGATGTCAATGTTTAGGTTCCGGTTATGGCTGACATGCTGGACAGAAAAGGCTTATGTATTCAGTCTCATTGCCTAAAAAAAAAAAAAAGAAAAGAAAGGGGGAAGAAGAAAAAGAAGAAAGGGAGAAAAGTAGGAAGAAGGAAGAAGAGGGTGGGGGAAGAAAGGAAGTCCTACGGCAAGCAAAACAACTGCTTGGGAGAGTTGAAAGAGAATTAAGCCACCAAGTGAAGTGTTACCACCCCCAGCCTCACCGAGGATATGCATTGCCAGGCTCCGATGCGCACCCGCACTTTATGAGCATCGGGTGCGCTGCTCGTAGCCCAATAAGGATGATCTGGATAGAATCACCAAGGCATGCCAGACGAGGCCCACCAGACTTGGTGGATCTCTCCTTAGCAATCGAGATCGCTTAGATGCGGCCAAGCCATCCACTCTCGCGCCGGTTGCTAGACCAGGATGACCTGGCTCTCCACTTTGCTTGCTCCTGTGCGGACTTGGTCTAAATGTCTTTCTTTCATCAAGAATAACGGTAGTAGTAAATATATTGCTTCATTCAGCTTTTATGTACTCAAATAATCCCCTCGTGAGGCGAGTGGCCCGAGGATGCAACGTGGTGGAAATAAAGGCAAAAAGGCTGCTTGTGAAGGAGCCACTGACGAGCTAGAAGGCTGCTCGTGCTCCCCTAATGCTACTTTATCCATTGCTCTTTTCCCAGTGCTTGCTACTACCACATAGCAGCAGTATCACTTCGCACAATACTCCTATCACCGTCTTTATAGACTGATTATGGGCCTGTATTTGGGACGCTAGCGTTCGAACCCCCAGCCGTAACCCATGGATGCTGCGAGGCAAGAGAGATGAGCACGCACTATGATGTCGCCCAATGGAAAGGGATACTTTTTATTCCCGCTAATAAGCCGCTACGGCACCAGCCGCTTCTCTATTTATCTTGGCGCCGCTGTAACAGTAACACCGAATCCACAAGCAAGCAGCTAAGCACTTTAAGGTGATCGGCTGTGACAGCAAATGCAGCTCAGCCAGCCTCAGCTAGCCATCGACTCATGCAAAGACAATCTTAGACGACACCCCTGAGGCCGCGGGACGGTTCCTAGTACCCTTGTATTGGATGGACAAGAGAAATCGCAGCCGTATTTGGGGTACCATCGGCGCTTCCTCAAACTACATGCACGAACTCACACTTACGTGACCACCTTATAGACTGGTGAGTGAGGAATGCGATTCTTACCTAGGGCTGCAGGTTATTATCAAGAATTTTTTTACTACTACATAGGTAGTAGCATATAGTAGTATCCAAATGTCTCATTTGTAACACATTCTTTCCTAATCCACATAGTAAACCACAGAGAGAAAGTTAGCTTGTCAGCCCTTAGATTCACTTTCCTACCAAAACATCTCTGTCACACAGATTTGGTTACAATCACAACGTTAGATGATTATTACCCAGTCGAAAACTAGCACGCTAGCGACACCTTTGAACTATGTGCTTATACCGTCGTTTTCTCATCCCTGTACAGCTGAGCAAGCACGAAAACAGCCACCCAGTAGCGGGGGAAGACTCATCGCTCAGTCTAGCTAAGTTATACGCCGCGGCTTTCAGCGAGAGACAGAGACAACAACAACGGGCGGGAATGTGTGGATCGCTAACGAAAAGAATCCTAAGCGCCTCATTTTTCCTTTCTCCTCACGCCATCCGTCCCTAAAGTCCGCCGACAAAGCCTGTTAATTAGTACATAAAAACATCAGATGAACAACCGGGCCTCTAGATTAGATGCAATCAGCTAAGTACATAGTAGCTCTTGATTTGCTCATGTCTCTATTTTACAAGGGTTTTAATTTACCACATTATGGAATTGGGTAACCCAGTGGCCGATATTCACGCTGTATAGCGTGTACATCGAAGCAACTACAAAAATCTAACCCGGGTATAATGCATGATTTTTATTCTTGGTATTTAGAGAGAAGAGAAAGCCCGCTAGGGTAAGTCTCGCCATATAAACTGGGCACCGGCTTGTTATTGTCTTCACCATCACGGTGAATAAATGACATCCCTTACATAAAATCTATAATTTCGAGTAAATTTCTGCTGAGAGTTTTCTGATTAGATATAATGGAGTACATAAGTTGTTTGATGATTGTCTTCAGGTTCAATTGAGCCTCCATGCAGGAAATTCAACGAGCAGCTAAATCCTTTACAGCTGGACCTTCTGTCATCCAAGCCTGCTATTGCCGCTTGAAAGGATTAGGTCCTTCGAAGTTTTCTGCCTATACTTCTTGACTCAGATGGCAATTTGCCACCTTCAAAACGGGACGGAGCGGGGGGGCAAGACTTGGCCTATGTCGTGATGCCATCGCCGTACAACAACAGTCCCGCTCCTAGTATTACCCCGGAGAAAAAACCTAGCAATCCTAGAATACAGAAATATGAAGAACGCTTTGATCGAGGATGATGCCATCCCTAGAGATTCTTGCAGTTCGCTCAAAGAAACAAGGCCCCGAGTGAATGAGATGTCCGAGCTGATGCTAGGTGATTTTGGAGAAACATGCATACATTAAGAACGTACATGTATAAAGCAAGTGGAAACCCTGAGCTACACCGTGACATTCAGAGCGGGGCTATTTACAGCTATTTGTAGCTCCGCGGGGAGCATTCCGAGGTTACACTTATCGTAAGAAGTCGGGCTGCTGTGTAAAATGTGGCAATTTATAAAAATAGTCTGGCTTGCATTGTGGAGGCATCACTCTACCTGAAGCTTCAAAAAAGGGGGGGAGGGGGGGGGGGGGGGGCGCTTGGCAGTTGCGTTCTCTCCTCTCCTTCTTCTTGATATGAGACAATGAGTAGTGAGAGGGAGATGCATCCTACTAGCAGCCACTGTATGTTAAGGGTTGTTGGAACAGCTTAGAATTTTAACTGCCTCTTCTTTTCCCGACACACTGGTAATTCTGCAAGGGAGACGAGATAGGCGCTCGATCAAAGACAAGCTGCTGCTATTAATATTATTGCTGCCACCACCACCACCACCACTAGGTGGTACATAGCTCAGTCACGTACATCTCAGCTAGTAACACCAGAAATAGTGAATTTGCTAGTAAATATCACTTGTATGTGCAAAACTCCAATATATAGGACTATTAGAGACTTGTACAGGCCATTATCATCATCGTAGGCGCCATATGCATGTTCTAGCTGCAGAGACGGAGCTTGATGGGATGAAAGGGCCTCTTGTAGGGAGGGAGGGGTTGATATAACAAAGTCTAAATTTTTCTACATCCTATTTTAATCTTTAAGTGTGATAATTCATTACTGATGATGGAGTGCTGTATCTGTACAGTTCATACTCGGATAGGCCAAGACCAGAATTTCATCCTCTCTTCATATTTTGGGGGCTCTTTCCAGCTAAACTGGAAGAATAGAATTAACAAACAAGTCGTTTTTGAAGTTTTGAAACAGATATTGAAAGATTATTCAACGCATATCTGCTTAGGAGACCCCAACATTCCTCGAATACCACAATAGTAAGATGTGATATGTGGGGGAAGAAGGATGCGCGTATCCAATGCGCGTAGAGGCTCGCAAATAGAATATATTCATACAATACCTATTAAAAATATAAATAGACCAGTAGAGAGAATTAAGAAGAGCTGAGATGAAGAGTCCAGTATGTAGAGACGCCTTTTCCAACTGGCTGAGCGAGTGGCAATGGTTAATTGTGATAATGCTATGAGCAGATCTTGTATTTTTACCTATATGCATAAGCAGCTTTTCCATTGGGCCGATCCTATCAAACGTATATTGAAATAGGGAACAGCAACGATAGAAAATTATACCCGTGTACCGAGGCTTCTGCTCCCTCTTTCTGCTTACGAGATACCCAACCTGTACACGAGGGAGGAGTCGTGTTTTAGCTGATTCGCGACATGAGAGCTTTTTCGTTCGCTGAGAATGGGGACAGGGATCTCACGTTCCTGCAGCGTAGGCAACTTCTTCTCCCACAGGATGGGAGGCTATTCGTGGGTGAAGCCTTGTATGCTTCTTGCTGTGCCACTAAGGATGTTCATAAACTGAGCACTGCTCATGACTTACGCAGCTAAATAAATGGATGCATGACTCCATACGTAAATCAATTATAGCTATTGCTCACGAAAAAGATATTAAATTCTCACAAAACGAATTCTTAAGGAGATATCTCTTATGTGGACATATATCAACTTGCATGTACCTCATGTGTCAATGGTCGCTTGCAGCTAACCGCGGTCCTCAACGGGCTTTAATGGTTGGTCCCGGTAGCACAACGTTATTTGCCGCCTGTAACCCATACGAGGTGGCGCATCACAGCACTCACCCGATCCTCGAAAAACTTGAACACCCAAGCTGCTCAGTGTGGCATATCCTAAGTTTGTTGTGCTACGCAAGCAGAGAATTGCTGTGCTCACATAGCTGTACAAGGATATCCGCTGTTGATCTTGCTCGCTGCATGC